ATCATGAAGACATTTAAGACTAGTGAGATTCTTGAAATGCTTTTTTTTTTTAAAAGATTGATTTATTTATACAAGAGTCAGGGTACAGACCAGATGCGCGGGAGGGTGAGAGAATTCGCCAGAGACAGAGCAGGGAACAGAATAGGCAGACTGACGAAATACGCTGCTGAGGGGAGCAGCGGACAGGAGAGGTCTGCTGCACCATGTGGGTTTCTCCCCAGCCGGCTGGGATCGAACCAGCGCTGCAGAGGCTGCGGACAGCTTCACAGTGCAGCGCTCAACCGCCTGTGCCACCAGGGAGGCCTGAAATGCTTTGTTTTTTAATGTTTTTAAAGTTGGAAATGTCAGTGAGTTTACTAGTTCATGAAGACTGTTCATTTTTGGTTCTGCAGTTGTTTTGGATTTTGTATGCCTGTTTAATTTAATTCAGCACATCTATTTTGAGTGAACGGATGCTGGGTAAGTGATAGAGTTCTAGCATTTCACAGGGATCTTAGAACCAGCAGGACTTTGGTACAGGTGCATCAGAGACTGCTCCCTTGAGTTTTCTGTGCTTAGTGCTTCAATTTACCATGCTCTGCTCTGATGGTTTACTATCAACCTGCCCTTCATTCTTTAGTCTAAAAGACTACCGTAAAGTAAAGAATAAACTCAAAGTACTTGATTTTTTTACTCCTCTGTTTCCATTTCTTTGACCCTGTATTTTTGGTATTTCTTGGAACGTGGTGGTTCCTGATTCTGATACTCTCCAAGAGCTTCAGAGGGACTTCGAGGCTGTGGAGTGTGGCCTCCCTGGGGGCTATGGGTTCATACTTTTTTTCCCCGCTGAAAACAAAGCTCCGTCATCCTTCTGTGAGGACGGGACTATGATAGCTTTTCAAAAATCATAATTTGAAATGTGCATTTACTGATTTCTTCACTGTGGCTGGGTTTTAGAGTCTGTATCAATGAGCTAGGATAGGCAGGCTGCCTTTGATTTGACGAAGATGGGGCACGTGAAACCACCTTTAGTGTAAGGTTCAGAACATGCAGTGTTGAGACCCTGTGTGGGTTTGAATCCTGGCTTCATGCTCTGCTGCTCTGTGACTTCGGGCAGGTCAGTCTCTTTACCTCTTTCCTTTCTAGAAAATGGATAATGATGTTATCTTCTTTATAGGGTTGTTGTCATGATTAAATGAGTTGTTATGTGCAAAGTGCTCAGAACAGTTCCTGGCACATTGTAAGTGCTACATATATATGTGTTGTTGTTGTTGTTATCAATGCTATTATTATCGCCACCACTGCTAGTGTCAGGGTGTGCACCCTGCCCTTCTGGTTGAGAAATAGACACAAGGAACTGGTGGAGAAATAGACACAAGGAACTATTTAATCCTTGTCACAATGTTTTGTTTGCATTAGAAAGAAACTGGTACTTTCATTTGAAACATTAAATAAAATATTTAATGTATAAGGTGAAGGCTTCCTAAGGGTAACCTATCTTAACTGTGGGGGATATCCAAAAAGTTAACTTTGCACTTGCATAAACTATTAGTGAGCTGCTTCTAACTTCCACACTTTTAACCATTATTTTCCTTTTTTGTGACACAAGCACAAGAGCAAGACGATGTGCTCATAGTTGATTCGGATGAAGAAGGTCCTTCAAATAATGCTGACGTCAGTGAAGAAGAGAGAGGCCGTAAGCGGAAGCTGGATGAGAAAGAAAATGTTAGTGCAAAGAGGTCACGCATGGAGCAAACAGGAGAGCTGGATGACGTCATCGCTCTGGATTGAAGAGAACGCCTTGGCCAGCCCCACTGCATTGGCCTTCGGGCGCCCCAGGTTACTTGTTATGTCCTTTGTTCCAAAGGGAAAAATTGACACCAGTGAGTGACTGAAGATAATTCTGCTCCCTTTGAAAGTGTTCATTTGGCTAGAACTGTTAGAACAATGCAGTCTGTTTGAAAGTAGGAATATATAGTTTTACAACCCTCTGAACAAAGTGCGTAACCTCATGAGATGGAACAACACAGTGCATGTTGCCTTTTAATGTACATACCCTTAGGTATCATTTCATAGTTTTAAAATATTGTGGTTTAGTAAAGTTGATACCTGGTTATAAATATTATGCCTTTATTTTTGGTTAGAAGAAGAATTATTTTTAGCCTAGATCTAACCATTTTCATACTCTTAACTGACTGAAACAGATTCAAAGAAGTATCAAGTGCTATGCATTGAAACTTGTTTTTAAATGTTGACTGGCACTATGTATATTAATGTAAAACAATGTTTATTTACTCAAGTTTTCAGCTTGTACTGCCTGGTATGTTTGTGTAAGAAGCCAATTTTTGTGTATTGTTACAGTTTCAGGTTATTTATATTTGATGTTTTGTAAAACACAAATACAGCTATACTGTACTTACGGACCAAATAAATGACATCTGCATACTTTATCCTGTCCACACTGTGCTTCTGTCCTTTTAAGAAATTAATAGACGGGATGATTAGAAGATCCCCAGTGTTTGCTTGTGGGTGAGTGTTTTCTCCGATGTTGCTTTTAAATTTGGCTAGTGAAGGATTGACCTTTTGCTTAGAGCATTTAGGTGATCTTTTCCCAGGCATAGTAACTGGAAGCCTTAGATTTCCTCCATTCTGCTTTCTCTGGCTTGCCCCCTGCTTTATCAGACTCACTTCAGCTTACAGATGTGGACTGGCCATACTGAATGGAGCAGCACTCCCGTCTTCTCTGACCCTGACCAGGTGACCTTGGCTCTGAGGCTGCTCTCCTCACATCCAGATGGACCTCGACTTTTCAGGTAACTCACTGAGCTCGTCCCCATTCTATACCTTGCCTTTGGTGTGTTTGCCAGTCAGTCTCATTTCAATTTGATAGTTCATTGGATTGTTCCACTTTATGTAATTCTCACTCAGCCATCCAGCTGTGGACTCTTACTCCTTTTTTGTAGAGTCTAAATTTAGCAGCTCTTGTATGCATAAATAAATAAAAATCTTACAAAAAAATACAAGTTGCAATGAGAAAGTGTTATGGTCATTCCTAGGTGCAACATGGATGGTCAGCTCAGTCCATCCTTGTTGGTAGTGACTTAGAAATCTCTTTGAATTGAGCCTCCAGTAACTAAGGAGAGAGCCAGCCTGTAGGGTTGGAATTAACGGTTCACTCGGCAGCTGCCCAGAAAGCATTTGGTTTGTGAAAGTAGCTCCGGTTCCTGAAAAGTGCTGATGGCTGGCACGCGTGTCTGAAGTACACTCGCCCTGTACCCAAGGAACACGAATGGACATGGATGGGCCTTTTTTTTAACAGAAAGCAAAAGTTAGAAAGTAAAGAAAACCCAAAGAAACCAGAGAAGAAAAATTTAGACAGATGTTTCTAGTCACTGTGACTTCTTTGCATCTTAAAGTAGCGTTCCTGAGGCCCAGAATCCACTCGGCCGTTTTATGGAAGGATATGTTTATATAAGTATTTTTATAGATACTTTCATACTGGGACTACATTGCTTGCATTCTGCACACACAGAGAACTTTCGTCCCCCTGCATCTAATTCAAAGTAAATTCCAGCCAAAGCTTATTTAAGAAATTTTGAACTGCTCCCACTAAAAAATCAGCTGAGTTGAGCAATTGGGTTCTGACGTTGCTGTGCAGTTTGGTTATATTTTTAAGACAATTGTCTCCCGGGATAGCATTTTCAGGAATTTTGCTAAATGATGCATGACAGATTTACATTTTTTGAATTTTTTTTAAAGATTTATGCATACAAGAGCTGGGGTAGAGGCCAGAGATGCAGGAAGGTGAGAGGATTCACCCAAGAGAGAGTGGGGAGCAGAACAGGCAGACTGAAATACACTGCCGAGGGGAGCAGCGGGCGGGTCAGGAGAGGTCTGCTGCGCCATGTGGATGCTCCACGGCCGGCTGGGGAGGCTTTCGGATAACTTCATAGTGTTGTGCTTAACCCCATAACACTGGACCCAGGAAGAAAAAGAGTCAGAAGGAGGTAAACAGAGAACGTCCTTACCTCGGGGGAGGACAGAGAAAGTCAGTGGAGGTTCAGCAGTGAGTCCAGATGCTGCTGCAAACCCCAAGTCAGCTCTGGTCCCTCCTTCGCCCCCATCTCCCTTGCTTCTCAGGAGAAAGAGCCAGCAAACTGAAATCAAACATTCACCACGCCTTTAGTGGGGATACAAAAGAAGTGGGGATACATTCAGACAAGTGTGGACGAGACCACTCAAATTATGACCACTACTTCGTATCCACTTGACATCACAGTGGGAGGATCTCCCATACCACTGAATATATTTTTTTAAAGATTTATTTATGCATACAAGAGCTGGGGTGTAGGCCAGAGGTGCTGGGGTAGGGGGTTGAGAGGATTCACCAGAATCAGAGTGAGGAATAGAACAGGAGGATAGACTGAAACACGCTGCTGAGGGGAGCAGTGGGCGAGTCAGGAGAGGTCTGCTGCCCCATGTGGGTAGTTCCCTGGGCAGGGATCGAAGTCGTGCTACAGTGGCTGCTGATAGCTTCATTGAGCTGAGACTTAACCCCTTGCACCACCAGGGAGGCCTACCACTGAGTATTTTGAAATATTTATAAATCACTGTTCAATATATTTCCTGCTTCATGGAAGTACTTTATTCTAATGGTGAACATATAATTTTTTTTTTTTTTTAAATAGAGGCATGTTTTATTTATTTATTCATTTATTTGTTTGTTTGTTTTTGTTTATACATGCACTGGGTACAGTCAGAAGCGCGGGAGGGTGAGAGAATTCACCAGAGCCAGAGCGGGGAGCAGAGCAGGCAGAAGGACCGAAGTACACTGCTGAGGGGAGCAGCGAGCGGCAGGAGAGGTCTGCGCGCCATGTGGGACCCTCCTCGGGTGGCCGGGGAGCAGCCGGGGATCGAACTGGCGCCAGAGAGGCCGCGGGCAGCTTCGCAACCCAGCGCTCAACCGCTGCGCCACCGGGGAGGCCCTGAACATATAATTTATTAAAACAAATTCCGGTCAATTTAATGGAAGAAAAATTTTGCATGATTTATTTTTTTTTTCTTAAGGATTTATTTTATTTATTTATGCATACAAGAACTGAGGTATAGGCCAGAGGTGCAGAGGGTGAGAGGATTCACCAGACACAGAGTGGGGAACAGAACAGGCAGACTGACCAAACTACACTGCTGAGGGGAGCAGCGGGCGAGACAGGAGAGGTCTGCTGAGCCATGTGGGTAGCTCCCTGGCCAGGGATGGAACTCACGCTGCAGTGGCTGTACACAGCCTTATAGGTTGCGTCTTAACCCCTTGCGCCACCAGGGAGGCCCCGATACATTGTTTAAATCTTATCCTTTAAATCTTAAAAGCTCTTGAAAACTCTCAAGTGGACCGAGATGGACGCATTGATTAAGAGCTCCCTCTGAGCTGCTGCTTGGAAGGCTGGAGGTCAGGACAGCATAGTCCACATACATCATGCGGTCAACACTTCTGTGCTTGCACTGTTGTCTGCATTCTGGTTTCCTTCCCCAAGACTGCTTCTTAGAAGCTGCGTTACTCTTTATGGGTGTTTCTGTTTGTGAGGATGTTGACACCCAAATTGCTCTTCCTGGCAGGGTATCCACCTTACGCTCTTATCAGTAAGACGAGCACTGCTCCACCACAGCCTTGCCTGTATTTCCATTATAAAACAATAGGAAAAATGGGATGTGATATCTCATTTGGTTTTCTTTCCTCAGTGTGGAAGATCATTTTTCATGAGATGGTTCCCCTGGATATTTGCTCCCCAAAACACTTGGCCCCACCTGTGCCTGCCCCCATCACCCTGAGCCTGGGTGAGGGGAGTGGCAGGATTTCTGCCAGCTCTAAGGAGGGCGGGGAGGGGTACTGGATCATACCTGGCAGGAAGGAGACCCAAGCCTTCTCCCGGAGGCCAGACACCCCTGTCAGTCTGGGCCAGGATGATCCCCCGTCTAGAGTCCACACTCCCTGAGACACTCTGGGCCCCTGCAATTCACTGAACAAGGGGTGCCTGGAAAAGAGGAAACTCCCACTCAAGATTATATTCCCGGGTCCAACAGCTCCTGCCAAATAATGGTTAGGTTGTCCTACCTACAGCTATTTGAAATGTATGACAAGGTGTTTGTAGCTTGTGTTTTGGGGGAGGAAACCCTAGTCACCTCTAGTGCCCTCCCCCCAACCCATGCAACCCCCAAAGCTCCATCAGGTCCCAGGACCTGTGGCAGCACAAGTGCTTTCTGGAGCATCCTTGGTGCCTTACCCAAGACCCCGAGGGCAGATGCTGGAGAGAGGTGTCCTCACACTCCTCGGTGAGGGGTGGGGGTGCCCCAGGTGAGGTTCACCCGCCACTGGAAGCTCACCTCTGGTTTAGCCCGAGGCCTGCTAGCGGCCTGGCCTGACCTTGGGGCCTCCCGCAGGGGCCGGCGCGAGGCCCCTTCTCCACCCAGCCCCAGTGTGACCCCAGTTCACTCCCGGCCCCGCGCGCCTGACCCGCTCGGCAGCTGAGACCAGGGCGCCCCACATCGCGCGGCCGTCGGCACAAGATGCTCCGCGTTCTCGGGGTCCGCGCGCGGGCGCAGCGCCGTCGGCCCAGAGCGCCACTCGCCCGGCCCGGCGCCTCCACTGGCTACGCCGGGAGGGGAGCTGGGGGGGCTGTGGGGGACGTTTGTGAACCGCTCAGATTTCTCCGACCGGGGGCGGGGAGCCGCCGCCAGCTCGGCCCGCGGGCGCCCGGGTCTGCCCGGAGGCCCGACGGCCCCGGCCGCCCCCCCGGCCTGGGCGCCCTCGGCGCGCCGCGGCCCCGCGCTGCTCCCCGGGGCGGGTCCCGGCGGCCCCCCGCGCCCCTCCGGGCCCGGCGACGCGCGGACACCGCGGCCCCGCCGCCGCCACTCCCCCACATTCCTCAGGCCGCAGCGCCGTCTCCTTCCTCGCATTCCTGCCCCCACAAAAGAATCCCTCCGCCCCCCGCGCGCGGCGGGAGGAGGGGGCGCGGCCGGCGCCGGGAGGGCACATTCCTCCGCCGCGCGCGCCACCCGCCGAGCGCCGCGGCCGCCGGACCGCGCGTGGCCGGCGCAGCGACCCCGGCCCGGCGCCGGCCCCGCCCCGCCCCGCGCCCAGGGGTCCCGGGGCGGGCTCCGGGCCGCGGGCGGACGATGCGGCGGCGCGGCCGGAGCGGCGGCGGCGGGAAGCGGAGGCGGAGGTGACGCGCGGGGCCGCGGGCCGGGCCATGCAGCGCTCGCGGGCGGCCGCGGACGAGGCGGCGGCGCTCCTGGCCGGGCTGGCCCTGCGGGAGCCGGGGCCGGGCGGCGACTCGCCGGGCCGGGGGCGGCGGGGGCCGCGGCCCGGGCCGGGCGACGAGGCGGCGCAGGCGCGGGCCCGCCGGGGCAAGGGCGGCGGCGGCGGCCCCGAGGCCGGGGCGGACGGCGCGAGCCGCGCGGAGCGAGGCCCGCGGCGCGCGGGGCCCGCCGAGCTCGGCGCGCCGCCGGCGGGCAGCCCCCGGGCCAGCCTGGCGGGCTCCGACGGCGGCGGCGGCAGCGCGCGCTCCAGCGGCATCAGCCTGGGCTACGACCAGCGCCACGGCAGCCCGCGCCCCGGCCGCGCCGACCCGCGCCCCGGCCCCGGGCCGCCGTCGGGGGGCAGCGCCCGCTCCAGCGTGTCCAGTCTCGGCTCCCGCGGCTCGGCCGGCGCCTACGCCGACCTGCTGCTGCCCGGCGCCGGCCCCGGCCCCGCGCGCGCGCGCTCCCCCGAGCCGGCTGGGCCGGCCCCCTTCCCGCTGCCCCCGCTCCAGCCGCCCGCGGCGGGCCGGGAGGGCGGCCCGAGCGCGGCGGAGCGGCGGCTGGAGGCGCTGACGCGCGAGCTGGAGCGGGCGCTGGAGGCGCGCTCGGCGCGGGACTACTTCGGTGAGCGCGCGCGGGGCCGCCCCCGCCGGCCCGGGCCCGGGGCTCGGCGGCCGCCGGGAGGGGCGCGCGGGGCGGCCGGGCGGGGCCGCGCGGGGCCGGGGGGCCGCGGGCGTCTCCGCGCGGCGGGCGCGGGGCGCGGAGCCCGGGTCTCGGGGCTGTTTGGGACGCGCCTTCGGCTCCGGGTCTCCCCGACGACCGAGGGGCGCGGGCCAAGCGGGCGGACGCTCTGCGCGACGGGAGCGAGGCACGGTCGCGGGAGAACGGGGCACTTTCTGGCCATTTCTTCCCCTCCCTACCCGATGCCGGCGCGGACACTGGCTAGGGGACCCCCCCCCCAGCTGCCCGGGGTGTGCGCGCGAGGGGGAGGCGGAGTGGCCCAGGTGCCGCCCGAGCCCGCGCGCCTGACCTGCGGCTCTGGCCGTGGAAGTGGCCGGAGGCCGAGGGCGGGGGAGCCCCGCCAGCAGCCGCGAGACTGTGCTGGGTCTGGGGGTGTTTTACTGGGAATCGTGCTTCACAGCCCCCCAGGCTCTGACAGCCGCAGCCCCGTCTCCAGCCCGACCTGGGCCGCTCAAGCCTGGCGCTTTGGTCGGTTTAAGATTCTTGGGCTCCAGGTTCTTGAGTGGAGGCGTGGGGAGGGGGCGTCCCTCCCTCTTGCTGGTGAGCAGGACGGCCAGGCCCCTGGCTTTGAGGGCAGGGGTGCGTGCTTGGAGCGGACTCCCCTGGGTCCACTCACTCCAGCTCTCCTGGGGGTGCCCCGAGCTGGGTCTTGGGTGAGGAGGAGGCTGCATGTCCTGGCCAGCTGCGGGGCATTCCAGGCAGAGGGAGGAATGTGGGCAAAAGGAGGCGAGTAAAGATGTGTCAGGTCCTCTGCGCTCCCAGGGGTGGTCAGGGGAGTGTGGGGGCCAAAGGTCAGCCTGCTTTGCAGGGGCACCAAAGGGTTCCAGGGTCACCTGCTAGTGTTGGGGTGGTTTTATGGTTTGGCTGGTCTTGTGCGGCCTTCCCGATGGCCCGGGAGCAGTGGGGAGAGGAGTTAGGAAGCTGTTAGGAAGCTGTCTCTCCTGCCTGCCCCCCACTTGACCCCAAACTCTGCAGCCCCTAGTCGGGGGTTAGAGTGGGGGGGCAGTTGTGATGTTCTGTGTCCCTCAGTGGCTACTCATGGGTCTGTGTGCAGCTGAGGGGGCTTCAGTCCCAGACAGGTAATGGGAGAATGAAGGGGGAATAAAAGACCATAGGGGTCACTCTGCCCAGTGGGTGACAGCCCCCCAGGAGGGGCAGATGAGCCAAGATAGATCGTTTTCCAAGAGCGGTCAGATTCAGGTAACAGTCCCTGATTTTTTTTTTAAAAGATTTATTTATGCATACAAGAGCTGGGGTACAGGCCAGAGATGTGGGGTGTGGGGAGTGAGAGGATTCACCAGAGACAGAGCAGGGAACAGAACAGGCAGATCAACCGAAGTACACTGCTGAGGGGAGCAGCGGGCGAGCCAGGAGAGGTCTGCTGTGCCATGTGGGTTTCACTCTGGCCGACCAGGGATCGAACTCGTGTTGCAGAGGCTGCAGATTGCTTCATAGTGCGGTGCTTAACCCCTTGCACCACCAGGGAGGCCCTCATTCCCTGATTACTAAGGACATGGCTGAAATGCTCATACTTTACTGCTGGTTGTTGACCTCCGGGAGCTGTGAAGCTCCCGCAATTGACCCTGAAGAACGTGGACTTGGCCTCAAGAAAGTGGGCAGGTGGCAGGTGGCTCGGAATCGGGGTCTCTGCCTGTCCTCATCCTCAGCGTGGCTCTTCCGCCGGGTGCTGTCCCTTCCTCCCCTGGCCCTGCGCCAGCTGGCCCCGGCCCTCTCTGCTGTTCATGGAGGTCTTTCTGTCACTCATCTCGGAGCCCCACCGCCACTAGCCAGCCAACAGTCTCAGGTTCTGGAACCTCTTTAATTTGGGGGACCTCTCTGCCTTCTCTTTCGCCACTGCCCGGCCACACGTTTCTGCTTCACTTCCACGGCCGCTGTGCCTCCCCGTGCTGTTCCTCTGCTGGCCGCCCTGACTGCTCGCTGCTGCTGTGCCGGGCGGGAGGCCGCGGGCTGGTCCTCGGGCAGTTCCCTCTTTCATCCTCTTCACCGCCTTCCTTGTGCCCCTGCCCTGCCCTTACTACCGTGCCCAGAAAACTCAAGGTCAGCAGTTGTGATCCCCGTTGGCTCCTGGGCCTCATCCGCAGGTGGTCAGCTCCACATCCAGATGCGTCCCCACCGCCTCCATCTTGGGCTTTCTCCCTTCCACTCGCCCTTTCCCCTTTGGCCGTAAAGATGTACAAGGGTCGTCCACTGAGCACAGAAACCCCTGACCTACATGGCCAGAGGGCTGCTGGCCTCTCCTCACCCCTGCGTCTGGTTGGCAGGTCGTTGCTCCTTTGCCATCTCCGCTCAGGGGCTGAGCCAGCTCTTGCACAAGACCCAGGCGACACCAGCCCTCGCCTCGGTGGGTGTTTGTGAGGCCTTCTTGGTCCCCATCTCTGCTGTCTCCCACAGTGGCCATGACTGTCCTGGGAGTGCTCTACTGCCTGCATTTCTGAGGGGCCTCCTGCTCCTGGTTCTTCTTCTTCAGTGTATGTTTATTAAAGTGATGCAAACACATGTTTAGAGAAAAATCAAACAGAACCAAAAAATGAATAACACCAGGCCGGGCCTCCGCGTCTGCCCACCCTCCTGCCCCGGTTCCCGCGGGCCGCTGGCTTGGCGCTCTTGTTCTCACCACCGTGCATTTGGCTAGGTTGGCGGGAGAGTGACCAGGTCAGGTTTCCTAATGGACACAGATGAGGGTGGCGGGCAGATCAGTCCCCTTTAGAGACATAAGCCTGGCTGCAATTTTGGGGTGGATTACGGGGGCTAGGCTGGGAATGCTGCGAGGAGGCTGTTGGAACAGCTGTGGCATTGATGACGTTCTGAACCAGGCTGGCGAGAGCATATTTTCAAAGTATTTAAGTTACCAAGTAATTTCAGCACGGAAGGGTTTCACATCGATGTCTGGCTTTGCTTGACAAATTGGAATCTTGAGCTACGCTGGGCCTGCTTTCAGGCCTGTCACCCTCGGCTGCGGGGGCGGGGGGTAGGGGGCAGACTGGAGAAGGGGACTCTGCACCCACCAGGCTCCCCTCCCACTACCTTCACATTCCTGCCTGGCGTTGAGGGCCTCTGAACAGCCTCTCCCTCCCCCTCGGGCAGCAGGGAGGGGATGGAGGCTTGCGAAGAAGCCCACGAAGGCAAGGCGCAGAGGAATCCCCAGCAGGGCTGGGAAGGGAGGAGAGGACCCAGAAAATCAGGTCCAGGTTGTAACCTGGCCACCAAAGGGGAGGGAGTTGCCCCTCTGGCAGGGTCTCAGCTGAGAGCCGAGGCCTTTACAATAGGAGATGGCGGAGTGTGGGCTAAGCGAGATTTCTAGACCCGGGGTGGGGCCGCTGGCCTAGCTGATAGGGGAGGAAGGGATTCTTTCAAGATGGGAGAAGCTCGATCATGGTTAAATGTTAAGGAGAGAGACCTGGTGGCAAACAAGAGAGAGAGAGCATGTTCTGGAGCAGCCAGAAGATTTGGGGTCCAGAGGACAGGTGGAACCCATCTTCACGTCCTCTGGCATCTGGGAGGCCCTGGGTAACTGCAAAGGGCCCTTCTGCGGTCTGGGCCGGCCAGGGAATCCCTTAGGACTAGCCCCATGCTTCACCCTGGCTGGCCTTGCTGGTCCCCTTCCCCCGGCCCCCACCTGCGCTGCCAGGGGGTCTGCATTCCACCCAGTAATCCCAGATGCCTGCAGAGCAGCTCCCCTCCCTTATTTCCTTTAGACATTGTTCAAATAGCACGGTGTCACCGGGGCGTTCCCTGACCCCCTGTTTACAGATCGCACACACTGACATATTCTTAGCCGGCCTTTTCCTTCCAAAGCTCTCTGCCCACCTCAGATGTTATCTGCCTGTTGGCGTCTGTCCCCTCTCCTGGGATCCAGGCCCCTCAAGGGTGGGGACTTGACTGCAGGATCCCCAGCCCTGCTTGTGTGCTCTCTGAGCAAGAGAGTCAACAAACCCTGGGGGGCAGCAGGGGATTGTGGCTGGGGAGGGTCGCTAATGGCGCTGGGGGCGCCTGTGGTTTGCGGTCCTTTTGGTGCACAGATGGCAGAAGGGGTTTTCCCTGTAGTTCAGGAGCCGGTCTTAGACTTCCTGGTCTCAGTGTGTCAGAACCGGCGTGTTGGTCAGCTGCCACGCTCCCCCGTGCTCTGCTGACCTCCAGCTTCTCAGACAACAGCAGCAGGAAGCCCTCAGTAACGGCGCCGCGGAGGGATGCGGGGGCCTGGGGGGCAGCATTAGACCCGGGGGTTGGATGCATGTCCATCCAGGTCCACGCTCCGTGGAGCTGACCGCTGCCCTCTCCTCCCACAGGCATTTGCATCAAATGTGGACTTGGCATTTACGGAGCACGACAGGCGTGCCAGGCCATGGGGAGCCTGTATCACACCGACTGCTTCACCTGTGACTCCTGTGGTAGGTGAACTCTTCCTGACCCTCTTGCACCTATGTGCCAGGCGGGCGGACCCCCGGACGGGCATGTGGAGGAAGCTGCTCAGTCTTCCCAGGCAGATGGGTTGTGGCCCTTTTTCCTCTGAGCCTGGCTTCTTTGAGACCCCCAGGCCCTGGGGAGGAAGCGCCGGACCTGGGAGGAGAGTTTGGCTGCCTGTAAGGGAGATGGCCTCTGGCCCAGGCCCTGGACTCTGACCTTCAGGGTACCATGTAGCTCAGCTGCTTGGGGCAGGGGCACCTGGTGCCAGCAAGGGGCCTTCTGCTTGCATGGACATGGGGCTAATACTTCTCTCCCCTGCATTTTATTTGTTCCCACTTTTACACGTAGTATGAACTATGACTTTTTATTTAAAGATTTATTTCTTTATGCGTATAAGAACTGGGGTTCAGGCCAGTGGTGGGGTGTGTTAGAGGATTCACCAGAGACAGAGTGGGGAGCAGAACAGGCAGATCTACTGAGGGGAGCAGCGGGCGAGACAGGCGAGGTCTGCTGCGCCATGTGAGTAGCTCCTTGGTTGGGGATCGAACTCTTGCTGCAGTGGCTGCAGATAGCTTCATAGTGCTGAGTCTTAACCCTTTGTGCCACCAGGGAGGCCCCTATTTTGTAAGCATATTAAGCCTACGTAGTCCATATTCCTTATTGAATAGTCCCCAAGTCTGATGCCTTTCGTTTTTTTAGCTTTATTTGTTAAATTTATTTTTTAAGTGAATGCAATTTACATAGAATACAGCAAACAGATCTTAAAATATCTGGTTCAAGGGCCTCCCTGGTGGGCTGGGGGTTAAGTCTCAACGCTCTCAGTTTGATCCTTGGCCAGAGAGCTACCCACATGGCACAACAGACTCTCCTGTCTCACCCGCTGCTCCCCTCAACAGTGGATTTCAGTGGATCTGCCTGTTCTGCTCCCCACTCTGTCTCTGGTAAATCCTCTCACCCCTGTACCTCTGGCCTACACCCCAGTTCTTGTATGCATAAATAAAATACGTCTTTTTTAAAAAAATATATCTGGTTCAAAAGTGTGGGGTGAATGTCTACAACGCACATGCCTAACAAAGGTAGAGAAAATTTCAGATACCCTAGAATCTTTTGTCTGGTCCTTTTTTGCTTGGTCCTTCTATGTTTCTCCAGTGCATCTGCCCAACCAATGTTCTGACTTCTACCCCCCTGACAGATTAGTTTTGTCTTTTCTAGAACTTCATACAAATGCAGTCAAATCATGTGTACTAATTTTTGGCAGATTTTTTTTCTGCTAAACATGTCTTTTTTTTTTTTTTTTTAAAGATTTATTTATTTATGCATGCAAGAGCTGGGGTACACGCCAGAGATGTGGGAGGTGAGGGGATTTACCAGAGACAGAGTGGGGAACAGAACAGGCAGACTGACCAAAATACACTGCTGAGGGGAGCAGCGGGCGAGTCAGGAGAGGTCTGCTGCGCCATGTGGGTTGCTCCCTGGATGGCCGGGGATCAAACTCGTGCTGCAGAGGCTGTGGATTGCTTCATAATGCGGTGCTTAACCCCTTGCACCACCAGGGAGGCCCTAAACATGTCTTTTTAATTACCATGGCTGCCTGTGTCAGAGTCGGGTTCCCTTGTGTGAATATACCACAGTTTGTTTACCCATTTAGCTGTTGATCAACACTAGATTGTGCCACACACATTCTTGTACAGGTCACTTGTGGACAAACGTGTGTTCATTTCTCTTGGGTAAGTTCCAAGGCAGTGGAATTTCTGGGTCACAGGCTAAAGTGTATGTTTAACTTCATAAGACACTGCCAAGTGGTATTCCCACTAGAAATGTAAGAAAGTTGGGTCAGTCCATGTATTTGTCAGCAATTGGTATCTTAGTCCTTGTAATTTTACCCACTCTAATGGCTATAAAGTGGTATCTCGTTGTTTTAATTTGCATGTCCTTAATGACCGAGGAACATCTTTTTACCTATTGCTTGGCCATTTATGACTTTTTAAGATTTATTTATTTATGCATACAAGAGCTGGGGTGCAGGCAGAGGTGTAGCGGGTGAGAGGATTCACCAGAGACAGAGTGGGGAACAGAACAGGCAGACTGACTAAAATACACTGCGGAGGGGAGCAGCGGGCAAGACAGGAGAGGTCTGCTGCGCCATGTGGGTAGCTCCTTAGCCGGGGATGGAACTCGTGCTGCAGAGGCTTGCGGACAGCCTCTCCGTGCTGTGCTCACCCCTTGTGCCACCAGGGAGGCCCTAATTTTTAAACTTTTTTTATTTTCTTACATTGGTGTTCATTTTGGACAGTGTTTGATTTCTCCTCTCGGGTGTGGTCTCCATAAGCCTCCCACCACCACATCACCCGTGAACCGTCACATCACCGCAGTCCCTGTGCTCTTCCTGCATTTTAACCCCTCCCCTTCCCCTCCCCTGCTGGATGCCTCAGATCTATGGTCCGCTTGCAAGTTTTGTCTTTTTCCCGACCTTTTGTTCTATTCCCCCTATAAGTGAAACCATCCAATATTTTTCTTTTTCCTTCTGACTTATTTCACTGCGTATAACCCCTTCCAGCCCCATCCATGTTGCTGCAAAGGGCATGAGTTTATCTTTTTTGATTGCTGAGTAGTATTCCATTGCATATGTGGACCACATCTTCTTGATCCAGTCATCTGTTTTGGGGCATTTAGGTTGTTTACTTAGCTGTTATAAATATGCTCGGTTTAATTTTTGCAAACACATTAATTGGTATAACAATATCAATAAGATAACATTAAAGGGAATTTAAACAGTCATTCCATGGTCTGCATCTCATCTGTTGGAAGCGGGGGCTGAGGCCTGGAAGCAGGGGCCTATCCCCTGGTTTCCGGTGGTTCCGGACCCTGTGTGACCTTTATCCTTGCAGGGAGACGGCTTCGTGGGAAGGCATTCTACAACGTGGGCGAGAAAGTGTACTGCCAGGAGGACTTCCTGGTGAGGGGGGCCGTGCCCCCAGCTGGCGCCGTGGGTGGGAGTGGGGCAGGGGCCCTCCTGGTTTGCATGGACATGAGGCCGGGCAGCAAGCGCTGGTGTGCTGCGGTGCCCCTCTGTCACTGACGCCAGGGTCCCGTGTCCCTTCCAGTACTCTGGGTTCCAGCAGACGGCCGACAAGTGTAGCGTGTGCGGACACCTCATCATGGAGATGGTGAGCCCCCCCCCAGGCTCCTGGGCCCCCGCTGGCACGGGCAGAGTCTGAGGCCCCCCCTTTCGCCTGTTACAGACCTGCCCGGGGCTCCGAGCCAGAGCCTCTCCGGGGCTGTGCCGAGCCTTCCACCTGCCCTGACCCTCCAGTGCCTCCCACCCCCAGATCCTGCAGGCCCTCGGCAAGTCCTACCACCCGGGCTGCTTCCGGTGCTCCGTGTGCAACGAATGCCTGGACGGGGTGCCCTTCACCGTGGACGTGGAGAACAACATCTACTGCGTGAGGGACTATCACACGTGCGTAGCGTGTGGGCCAGGCGGGCTCGGCTCTTTCTCCTGCTCCCCGGGGCTTGCTTCTGCTCTGGCTGTGCTCTCCGTCCCTGACCACCCCACCCCTGCCTCCCCTGGGAACGCAGTGATGGGCCCACTCGGCGGCTCTCAGGAGTTCCTCTTTGCTGCCCACCTGGGCCTGCGTGCTCCCCTCCTCTGGGTGATGGGGCCCTCCCCCTGCCCGCCTGGCTTCTGTTCCTCTGTGTCCAAGCCCCAGCCAGGCCTCTTCGGCCTGCGATGGGAGCTGGGGCTCCGCCTTTCTGGTACCCATGTGTGTAGCTGATCCGCTCTCCCTCGCGGGGGTCCGGGCTCAGCCCCTGAGCCCTGGTCACTGCTGCTGCCTCACAGGGACCTGGTGCTGGGCACAGTCCTGGCACTTAGTGTGTCACCAGGCTTTTCAGAGGTCTCGGAGAGGGGTGGCCACACCTGGACCTTAGGGCGGGGAGCTCGCAGAAAGTGTGAGGCAGAGGGCAAGGCAGAATCTGAAGCCTTCCTGGTAGAGGGGAGGGGATGGAGGTGAATTGAGGAGCCAGATAAGTAACCAATGCCAGGAAGGCCTGGCTGAGGCTGCTCCCGCCCCCACAGAAGAGAAGGGGGCCTGAGGCTCAGGCCGTGTCCTGGGACTCCTGTGGGTGCACCAGCCCTGTGCCCTTGGCTTCCAGTCACTCGGCTGGTTTTCTTTACTCCTCCAGGGTTTTTGCACCAAAATGCGCCTCCTGTGCCCGTCCGATCCTCCCTGCGCAGGTAGGAACCGCTCCCTGGAGGTGGGGGGCTGCCCAGCCTGGCCTGGCTTTGCCCAACACTGCCGGGTCCGACCCAGGTCTTGGGCCTCTGTGGGAGGGCTGAGCCGGCGCCCTGCCCCATATCCCTTGGGGCCGAGGAATGTGTCTTGAGCCCACACGTGGGGTGCAGGTGTCGCTGGCATGACTTAAGAGGGTGGTGGTGTCCCCTGGTGCTAGGCTGCCCCCTGAGTCCCTCAGCCCCATAGCCTGTACAGTGAGGAGTGCTCCCGGGCCTGGGGCAGCAGGCCGGGGTGGGGCAGAAAGGGCAGGAGGGGTGGGCAGAGCGGCAGGCCCCAGTCAGCTCTCTCAGGCCCTGACTCTGCCGCCTTGTGCCGGTTCTGTCCCGAGCTGGGGTGCCTGGGAAAGCAGGACCAGATGCCAAAGCGGTGAAACGAACATGTCACCCCACACAGCCCCCATGGGGTGCTCCTCACGTGTGCCTGCTGGGCTGCAGCTATGGGAGGAGGCCCAGGGCCCCTCACAGCCATTGTGTGCCCCGTGGGAGCCCCACGTCCATGCTCACCAGGGTGGGAATGCCCGTTGTAGGCCCACACCGCCCCCCCCCAGTTTGCTCACTGTGTGTGACCCCCATGTCCCCCGCCAGGGCTGTGAGACCACCATCCGTGTGGTGTCCATGGACAGAGACTACCACGTGGAGTGTTACCACTGTGAGGTGAGCCGGGCCCGGGGTGGCTGGGTGCGGGCAACCCCTCCTGCACTGCTCTTCTCGCTGCTCTGAAGGCGCTTGACTTTCATGGGCCTGACCCTCCCCAGTGCCCTCTCCCTTCTCCCCGATATCTGTTACCCCGCAGCCCAGGTCTTATCCAGACAAGTATTTATGGGGTATTTACATTGTGTCTGGTGCTGGGAATGTGCAGAGGCCAAGGACAGTCCCTCTTCTTTGTGCCCTTGCACTTAGGGTTCATACGTGCTCTACCCTCAGGGGAGAGGCTGGTGCTCAGGCCGTATCTGTCTACATAGCATGACCGCTCTAGCAAGGGGAGTTGTCAGAGCATATAGGGAACTTTGGAAAATCAGGGAAGGCTGCCTGGAGGAGGTGACACCCAAGTTCAAATTGGAAAGTTGATTAAGAACGAGGGAGGCAATGGAAGGTGTGAAGGTGGTGAATGGGCTGTTTTGTGTCACTGGAGAAGTCAGGAGCTGGGGACAATACGCCACTGGAGCTAAGGAGCTGGATTGACCCTGTGGAGAATGACCGAAGAGGAATGACACCACGTCACTTGGATGTTAGGAAGGGCATGCACTGCCATGCAGAGAATGGATTTGAGGGAAAGGGATAGGGGCACAGGAGGCTCAGGGGACACAGGTCATGGAGCTGGGCCGAGGGGAGTAAAGTGAGCTGAGTGGTGGGTAGGCAGGAGAAGGGACTGATTTGGTGAGTGATCAAGATGTAGGAGTTTGGGTGTTGAGAGGTGTCCGTGGGTCCGCAGGCAGGGGCAGGGTGAGAGGAAGAGGTGGTGAACACTCTGGGTTTTGGTAGCTGGAGATCCTGGAGGCCCTGAATGCAGATGTCTGGGTGGCAGCTGGATGCGCTGGAGCTCAGAGACGTGAAGCAGGTAGAGGGCTTAGCACACACAGCCCTGCCCTGCGAGTTCTAGTGACCTCGGCCTCTCCAGATTTTCAATTCAAGGACACCCAGTGGGCTCTGGGCAGCCTGGAAAAGTGCTCTGTGCAGTCATGTGGGGCCCTATAGGGCTCACCGCCTCCGTGCTCCTTGTGCAGCTCACTGAGCTGCCCTGCCTGTTTGTGTTTTGTCTATTTTTTTTAAGATATAATTTATTTTTGAGTAGAACTGAGGTGTAGGCTGGAGGTATGGGGGGCAATGAGAGGATTCCCAGAGACAGAGTGGGGAGCAGAACAGGCAGACTGACTGAAATACACTGCTGAGGGGAGCAGTGGGCGAGTCAGGAGAGGTCTGCTGTGCCATGTGGGTAGCTCCCTGGCCAGGGATCGAACTCATGCTGCAGAGGCTGTGGATAGCTTCATAGTGCTGTGTCTTAACCCCTTGCGCCATGAGGGAGGCCCTGCCCCTCACCTTTCTGCCAGTGATGTACAAAGGGCAAATAGTCACAACTTCTTAAACGGAGAGAGAATCAGCCTATAAAATACCCCACAGTGGTGAACGGGAAGGTGAGGGGCCTGAGCAGAACTTCTTGTTTACTCCACGTCTCCGGTTCTTCCCTTGCATTAGCTCTTCCAGCCAGTGACCCCTGGAATCCAGTAGTCCCTGTCCTCACCTCTTGGCGGCTTTCCATACACCGACTCTCCCATGTGCCCCCCACTTCACTCAGAGCCATCCATTTTTTGTTTTTCTCACTTTCATTTTCCCATCAACCCTCCATGCAGCTCTCTGCCCTCCTTTCCAGTTACCTGGAGCCGTGGGCGATGGTCTGTGGATTTGCTTTTGTGTTTATGCTGATGCCCCTTTTACCGCCCACCCTCTCCCCAGATTCCAGCCCCTTTCAGGCTGCCTCCCCGTCTCAGCACAGGTCGCCCCCTGGGCTCCCAGCCGCAGCCCCTCCCCCACCCCACCCCAAGGGGAAGAGGCTAAACCCCCTGGGAGCTGTGCAGAACCTGAGGGCTCTGCCGGCCGCTCCCTCACTCAGATGCGCCCTGACAGACCCCCCCCCCCCCGGGGTTGCCGCTGTGTTCTGCCCTAGGACTGCGGGCTGCAGCTGAGCGGGGACGACGGTCGGCGCTGCTACCCCCTGGAGGGCCACCTGCTGTGCCGCCGCTGCCACCTGCGGCGCCTGCGGCCGGGCCCGCTCCCCCCGCCGGCCGTGCAAGTCACCGAGCTCTGAGCGGGGCGCCCTGGTCCCGGGGTCGGTGGGCGCCCGCCCTGCCCCGCCCCGCCCCGCCTCGCCTCGCCCCGCGGGCCGGCCCCGCGGAGAAGCTACGTCTATTTATTCACGTCTGTGCCTCCTCAAGCGCTGCCTTCTCCCCGGACTCCGCCTGCCGCGCCCCCTCCCATCACCACCTCTGTCCCAGGCCGGCGAGGGGTCGCAGGGCCAGGGGGCGCGCGGGGGGCGGGGGGGGGCGGGGGGCGCCTCCCCTCTGCCCCACGGGCGGGGGCCGGGAGCCCTCGAGATCCTAAGGGGTCTGGGACCCCCTCCAGGAGAGCGCCCGGGTAGGGCGGGGTCGGCGGGGGCTGGGCAGAGGGCGCGCCCGGCCGCTGGTGGTGGACGGGTAGGGCCACAGGAGGGGCGAGGAGTGACACCCCTGGGAACCCGGTCTGCGAAGAAGCCCCGCCTTTGGCCACCCGAATTCTGATGGGTGTTTCCGGCCGCAGTTCCCGCGACTCCCCGTCTCTGACTTCTGGTTTGGGGCTGTGACGCCCCACCGCACCCCGCAGCGCGGGAGAGGAACCTTCGGGCCGTTCGCGCCGGCTCCGCCGAGAGCGGCCGCCAGGGGGCGCCCTGCGCGCGGCCGGGACACCTGCTGCCGGGAAGCGCCGTGTGTCGGGCCCCGCCGCCCAAGGATGGGATTTGACTTAAATTAAGTTTTTCCTTTGAGAATATTTTCATTTTCTTTGAAAGAATATAGTTGCTTCTAAAAACGTGGTCCACAGTTGTTATTTCTGAGGAAGATGACAAGCAACTCACAAATGGCCGATTTGTATATCATGTATCTAGTTCTCAAGGCGGTAAAAACATCCGTGGTTTAATTATTTTTGTATAAGTTTCTCTAAAAATCTCAACAATGTGTCTGCCTTTCAGACTTTAAAACGGTGTGGTTTTTGTCTGTGTCTGTGTCTTAAGAATGGGGGCCTAATGACATGAAACTGGGGAAATGCAGCTCTTTTCCTTCTGAGGCTTGTCAGCCCCGGGGAGCTCCGACTTCTCGCGCACGGCTTGGGTTGGATCTGCAGGAGGGGTGGGGCCTGCGGCCAGAGGCCCTGATCGCCATAAGCCATCCCAAGTGGTCTTCATGGGATATTTGGACTCAAGTCCATTTATTCCTGTGACACCTTGAATCACCACCTCGTGGCTACTGCTCTTGCAGACCCCCCACCCCTTCCCTCTTAGTAGGATTAGGTCTCTTTCCCTGAAGCCTCATTCATTGGGGGAGCCAGGCTTGAGCCAGAAGTTCCCTACAGCCCAGGGGCTGCATGAGCCGTGCATGGGGGGTGGCCCCAGTGGATTGAAGCCTGCATCTGGGAGGCCCCCTGGTGCGCAGATGCCGCAATTACACGGAAAGTTTGGGGATCAAGTTTTCCAACAGTTTTAAGTGCTGAGATGGGGCAAGTGCACTTGTCTGCAGAAGGGGACTTCAGTAGGGTCAGAGTGGCTTCTTGGAAGGAGCGATCCCAACGGGGCAGGAGGGTAAATTACAGCAATGGGAGGCTGTTTCTAACTTTCTCTTCCTCTCAAGCTGGGCTTCTTTGCTTTCTAGCCAATTCGTGCAAAGTTTCCAATTGCCCTTTTGTTTTCTGCGTCAAAGATGCTTTGCCCTGGTTTCTCCTTGTTGCAAGCTTGGCCTTTGGCATACCTCTTCCTCTGAGTCTGCTGCGGAGGTGGCATCTGACCTTCCAGCTGTGGGGGTCACCATTGTCTTCCATACCTGCTCCTTCCTGGTCACCATGCTCCCCTTAGTCAGCGAGGACTGAAGGATCGCAGCCTGGAGCTCCCCAGAAGCCAAAGCCACGGGAACCCTGCGTGGGAGGGGGCTGTGGCTTCATCTCAGGCCACATTTTGCTTTTCCTCTCTGGTCTTCCAGGCCCTGGAGGCCCCAGATGCCTTTGTCAGAACTGGTGACCACCACTTCTCATCACAGGGCCTTTGCTCGTGCTATTCCTCTACCCAGAGCTTTAATTCCTGCCCAAATTCTTCAGATCTCAGTTATACAAGTAATCCAGGCTGCCAATTTACACTTCACTGAACTGGAATTTGGGCTTCCACTTAAGCTTATTTTCCAAAAGGACACCATGCAGGCCCTCTGCAGGAGTTACACTGATCTAATGGTTGCTGAGCCTGAGGAAGCAGAGTAAGAGCCAGGCCCAGCCAGGTCAGTTGCTATTACCTTCCAATTTCAGGTGGCAAACCCACCTGCCCTAGGATATTTACCCTGGTATTGCAACCTCTGCCTGAGTAGTACTCTTTTGAGTAACTAGCCTCTTTGGTGCATAGTGGGCTCCAGTCCATAGTGGGCTCCAGTCCAGGGTCTGTCTTCTGGGGGTCAGTAGGGACAGGTCATATTTTGCTGCATCGAGGACCTTATTAATGATTCATTCATGTTTATGTGTTGGTGTAGTCATTCATTTTGATGGCTGGGTAATATTCCATCGAGCAACACAGCACATGTTTAACCAACACTGTACTGTACCTTCTCTCGCTTTCTCTTGGTTCACATATTCGAGAACTTCTCTGGTATAAACACTAATCAATGGCATTGACTGATCATAATGTATGTGTAATGGTTTCATTTTCTAGATATTGTGAAATAGCTTTCCAATTTATTTATTTATTTATTTTTAAAGATTTATTTATTTATGCATGCTGCAGTGGCTGCGGATAACTTCATAGGTTGTGTATTAACCCCTTGCACCACCAGGGAGCCCCAGCATTCATTATTTTTAAAGATAAACTACACCATGAATTTATACTGATAATTCTAATTCAAATTCAGAACTATAACATTTTTATTTCTTTTCTCTCTTCTGTGTTACCCATTGAGTAAGTTTTGGTTTGCAAGGACACATAGTGGTAGGATTAGCATTTCCAATAATTACTCATTTTCTTTGTCCCTTGTTCCTGGCATAGAGCTGGATCCCTGGATTTTCTTTCTTTTTCCAAATATTTATGGTTACTGAATCCACTTCAAAGTCCAGGAGTGTAAGGATAAAAACTTCTAATATCCTATTTTCTGCACTCTGAAAATTTTGCATTTTTAAAAATGTAACTTGTATTTTAATATTAAAAAAGGCCAGTGTTGTAAAAGAACATTGATCAATAGACACATGAAGATTCCCAATCTTATTAACAATAAAAGAAATGCAAATTTAAGTCATGAGTTACCATTGCAAACTTAGCTGATTGGCAAAATTTAAGTTTCACACAATCAAGTGCTGGCACTAAGAATTGGCAAGCAAATTTAAGTCTGCCAGAGGGGCAAGTTGGTAAAGGTTGGGAAAACAGTTTGTCCCTGTCCAATAAAGAGGTAAGTGGGAGACTTTCTTTGCACCAGCAAATCCTTCTTTGTTACATACTCAAAGGCTGGAATGGAATCCAGTTGATGGCACATTTTAAACTTGCAACAGGAATTAAAAAGCAGTCACAAGCCAAAGTAGAGGACCTGTCTAATGAATTTTATGCATGCAAGTACTTGACATATACCATAGTCACACTGTAATTTAAAAAAGTAAGATTAAAAAACATCCCCAGTGTACCTCAAAAGTAGACTGCTTAGAATCGTGTTAGGTTCTATGGGTTATAGGAGTTTCTTCCCAGAATCGAGAGGCTCTGTCCTTCAAGTCCTCACTCGGGTCCAGCATCGTGTCCTTCGAGGACATGCAACCCACAGCAGCGGGGCAGTCGCATCCTGGAGGTGATATGACGCGATCCCTTGAGTTTCCAGGGGGTGGCGTTCTTCCAGGGACGATACTGTGACAGTCCTGACGGAGGGTACTTTTGGAAAATAAAGCCGTGGGCAAGTGTGCGCCAGACGATCACAGCCCAAACGACTTATGACAGGGGCAGCAGGGCCTGGGGTGAGGGGAGACCTCTCGGCCAAGGCCAGCCCAGTCTTCGGCAGGAGAAAGTTTGTGCGCGGGCACCAGAGAGCCGGAAGGCCTTTTGGCTGGGCTGTTTTGTGGCTCGGCCCCACTGATTTTTTTTTTTTAAAGATTTATTTATTTATGCATACAAGAACTAGGGTGCAGGCCAGAGGTGGGGGGCGGTGAGAGGATTCACAAGAGACAGAGTGGGGAGCAGAACAGTGGATCCACTGAAACACTGCTGAGGGGTGCAGCGGGGAGACATAAGGGGTCTGCTGCGCCATGTGGGTAGCTCCCTGGCCGGGGATCGAACTCATGGTATAGTGGCTGCCGAGAGCTCAACAGCGTTGTCTTTAACCCCTGCGCCACCGAGGCTAGCCTGGGACACATGGTTCACAAGACACGACCGCCCTTATGGCAGATGCAGGTGCCTGCATCCAGGCGGAGGCGCTCGGCGCCCGCGGCCCCGGGCGCTGACGTCACGCATCTTCTCCAGATGCGCCGAGATGGCGCGCGCAGAGGCTTCTGGGAAGTGTAGTTTCCCGGGAGGCAGCGGCGCGCGGTGCCCGGAACTTCGGCCCAGAGGCTCGGGCGCTGAGAGATGCCTCTGCGGGGTGGGCTGCGCCCTCCGTCCCGCTCGCGGTAGCCTGAGCCTGGGGCGGGCTTCTCCGCGCTGGCGTCCGGGAGGCCTCCGGCCAGGGCCGTTCCGGTGAGGGCAGCGGCCATTGTCCACTCGCGGCGACCCCGCGCGTCGAGCCCGCGGAGGTGCGGGTTCGGGACGCCCCGCGGCTCGGGGGAGCCACACCGGCCCGAGCTTCGGTGCCTGCGGGGGCCTGTTGCGCGTTCGCCCAAGGGTGGGACCCCAGGGCGCCGGCGGGTCTCAGGCTGCGGCCCCGGGCGCTGGGCACGGCTGCCACCGCCTTGCTGGCCCCAGGGGCAGCCCCGCGAGGGAAGCCCGGGCCGGGCCTGGGCGTTTCTGGCCTGTGTGTGCTGCCCCGGGAGGGGCGGGGTGGGGTGGGGTGCGCCGACCCCGCTGAGCTGTCCGGAGACGAAGTGTGTGCGTGTGTTACCCAGTCACGAAGCCGACAAGTTCCTGGACCAAATTGAGTTTGTATCGTGCAGTTTCAGTTTTCTCATCGTTTAAAGAAGAAATCTGGAATGTGATCGCCCACCCGTGCCTCGTGGTGAAGATTGAACGAGCACGGCTATAACGTTATTGCTTTTCTTTGTTGTTGTTGTTGTTCTTCCTCCCCCACCCTCTCCTTAGACTGTCTCTTGGGTAGAGGTTAGATTTACCCAGGTGACGCCTGGAGAACGGTGACCTGTTTGAGGGAAAGATGGGAGCCCTAGAAAGTGACTTTCAGTGTGCTTTTTCATGCAGGTGTGTAACGGAGCTGCAAGATAAGTCTGCTTTTTGGTGGCTGCTTTACTCCTGTTCTTGCTCTGCCTTCTCAGCACACCGCCTTTCTACAAGACAAGGGCCTGGAAGAGGATTGTGTTGACTGTTGGAAATTGCAAAGTCATGTTTCAGGTAAGTTGGTATCCCCCCAAAGCTTCCTGAAACACCTTTTTATTTTTTAAAAGATTTATTTATTTGGGGGCCTCCCTGGTGGTGCAAGGGGTTAAGACACAACCTATGAAGCTGTCGGCAGCCACTGCAGCAAGAGTTCAATCCCCGGCCAGGGAGGAGACGCACATAGTGCAGCAGATCTCTCCTGACTGGCCCACTGCTCCCCTCAGCAGTGTATTTCAGTCACTCTGCCTGTTCTATTCCCCATGCTGTCTCTGGTGAATCCTCTTACCCTCCCGCATCTCTGGCCTGTACCCCAGGTCTTGTATGCATAAATAAATAAATCTTTAAAAAATACAAGACCTGGGGTACAGGCCAGAGGTGCGGGTGGGGGAGGTGGTGGTGGTGGTGGTGGTGGTGACAGGATTCACCAGAGACAGAGCGGGGAACAGAACAGGCAGACTGACTGAAATACACTGCTGAGGGGAGCAGCAGGCAAGCTTGGAGATGTCTGCTGCACCATGTGGGTAGCTCCCTGTCCGGGGATTGAACTTGTGCTGTAGTGGCTGCGAATAACTTCATAGGTTGCCCCTTAACCCCTTGCGCCACCAGGGAGACCCATGAAACACTTTCTTATCAGGACTCTGGAGTGTTTAATTTCCTTCTCTTAGCAGTTCCCATCTAATGAAGATCATTTAGGGACTGATCTATCATTCTTTTGATTATAGGAAAGAAGAGATCACAGAAGAACTCCATAGTACTTACTGTCCTCTTTTAGTACTCCTTTTTTTCTCCCAGATTTTGCTTAGAAGCATTCATGAAGTCTTGAGCAAAACTTTTTTTTTTAATTATATGTACAGTTGAATTTGGAATTTAGGTAATTTGCTTTGTGGTTGTCAGAATTGTATCATGTGTATCGATGATCGATCTATCAGTCTTTTCAGTCCAAGTTAAGACTTGGTTAGCATTGGGCCTCCCTGGTGGCACGGCGGTTGAGCGCTGGGCTGCGAAGCTGCCCGCAGCCTCTGCAGCGCCAGTTTGATCCTCGGCCGCTGGCGAGGGTCCCACATGGCGCGCAGACCTCTTCTGCCGCGCCCGCTGCTCCCCTCAGCAGTGTACTTCGTCAGTCTGTCTGTTCTGTTCCCTGCCCTGGCTCTAGTGAATTCTTTCACCCTCCTGCGCTTCTGACTGTACCCAATGCTTGCATAAATAAATAAATAAATAAATAAATAAAATCTTTTTAAAAAAATTGAAAAAAAAAAAGACTTGGTTAGCGTCCCTTGATGCCTCCCTTCCTCTTCCAGTTCATTCAGACACTCTAGTTGGATCAAAATAGCTACAGAAGAGATCCAGAACCTGTATCCCATCACTTTCACCCTGGGCTGAGCCAGGTTCTTTCTTTTTTCTTTTTTTAAAAAAGATTTATTTATTTATGCATACAAGAGCTGGGGAACAGGTCAGAGATGTAGGGGGTGAGAGGATTCACCAGAGACAAAGTGGGGAACAGAACAGGTGGATTGACCGAAATACACTGCTGAGGGGAGCAGCGGGCAAGACAGGAGAGGTCCGCTGCCCACGTGGGCTGCTCCCTGGTAGGCCGGGGACCGAACTCGTGCTGCAGAGGCTGCAGACAGCCGCATAGGGCGGTGCCTAGCCCCTTGCGCCACTAGGGAGGCCCTGAGCCAGGTTCTTAACAGTACCTTCCTAGCTGAGTTCCTCTCTTCTGCCCTTACCCCTCTTTAGTCTTTTCTCACAGATGTCACAGTGACTTTCTTGTTAGATAAAATCTTACCATTCCTCATCTTAAAGCTCTTCAGTGGCCTGAAACAGGAAAATAGAATTCAAAGTTCTATAGCGATGGAAAAAGAGCAGTTAAGTTTTCTGTTACCTCTTGATCTCTCCTCCCTGCTCTGTCTCCTTGTTGTCTGTGTGCTGCAGCCACACTGGCCTCCTTGGAAGTTGCTGTACCATGTGTTTGGAATGTTCTTGCTTCCAGATATGCACAAGCTTGCATTGCACCTCCTTAATGTATCTGCTGAGTGCCTCTATGGAACCATTTACTCTCTCAGTAAAGCTTCCCTGGACTCCTGTTTAAAGTTGTGGTCACCTCCTTTCGCTACTCACGTCTATACTTCCAGCACGGCTCTGTTGTTTTTCGAAGGGCTTATCATCCACCAGCGGACAGGCTGGATGTGCCTTTTTTGTTGACCGTTTTATTTCAGTTTCTAGAGTGTTGCCTTGCACCAAACAGGTGCTTAATAGATAGTTGCCGAGTGAATAAATGAGTGATGAAAAAACGGGAGGGTGGAATCATGGGGTGGAAAGTGAAACCTGTTTAGAAAACATGAGTGGAGGGTGTGCATGTTAGGCAGAATCTGGTTTCTAGGAAAATTCTAGAATTAGTATTAAAAAAAAAACTGCTTCTTTAAGTAAAAGCTAAAGTGAACTGCCAAAACCAAACGGATTCATTTTCTAAACACTCAGGAAGTGCCTGTTAGGAAGACCCTTATTTAAGGTCAAGTGTGTGCTAACATGCAGGGCTTCATGATGTAGTGCAGTAATGTGAGAATTCTGCAATGCTGGAAAGGTTGTCCGTGTGCTCTTCAGACCTGTGTGACTCTTGGGTACTTGAGCTATGGCTAGCATGACTGAGGCATGGAATTGGTAATTTTATTTAATTGTTAATTTTAATATAAATCTGTGTAGCCAAATATGGCTAATGGCCACTCTGTTGAGCAGTACAGGCTGATAGAAAGGTAAGAGGGGCCTCCCTCTTACCGCAGGCAGTTGAGTGTGGCGCTGTGATGCTGTTTGCAGCCTCTGCAGTGTGGGTTTGATCCCGGCCGGCTGGGGAGCTACCCACATGGCACAGCAGACCTCTCCTGTCTCGCCCGCTGCTCCCCTCAGCAATGTATTTCAGTCACTGCCTGTTCTGTTCCCCACTCTGTCTCTGGTGAATCCTCTCACTCTCCCGCATGTCTGGCCTGTACCCCGGTTCTTGTATGCATGAATAAATCTTAAAAAAAAAAAATAGAAATTAAAGTGCTTGGACAAATATCCTAAATTCCACAGAGGTACAAACATCCCAGGCTGTCCAGACAATTGAGAGGAAGAAGGAGTTGAAGCATCTTTGGGGACGCAAGACTGGGACTGGTTTTGGCGGCCCCCGCACCAGTGTGGGCAGAGGTGGCAGTGAGGTTATGTTGAACTGGGAGAGGACCTTGAGCATAGGTAGGGAGATCTAGCACACTCTTTAAAGGAACTGCAGAACGTTTCTAAAGCACTTGACTGTTCACTGGCTCATGTGGAGTGCTGATTTTTAAAAATTTTGAGAATTCTATTTTCTGACAATATTAGCTCTCCTGAAGCAAAGCTCTTATATTTGTCTCTTGCCCTTATTGTGTAACAAAGCCAAGCACGTAGTCATCCAGTTATTTTTACCTTTGATCAAATTCCTGCTCATTCCTTCCCTAATTAGGGTGGTTTTATCCCTTGACCAGTGACAAAAGAGACTCGGGCTGGGCCTTCTTGGTGGCACTGGGATTAAAGTCTCAGCGCTATCAAGCTATCACCAGGCACAGTGGCATGAGTTCAATCCCCAGCCAGGGAGCTGACCCACATGGCACAGCAGACCTCTCCTGTCTCACCCGCTGCTCCCCTCAGCAGCGTATTTCAGTAGATCCGCCTGTTCTACTCCCCACTCTGTCCCTGGTGAATCCTCTTTTACCCAGCACCTCTGGCCTGTAACCCAGTTCTTGTATGCATAAATAAATAAATCTTTAAAAACAAGGTGGGCCTCCCCGGTGGCGCAGTGGTTGCACGCTGGGATGTGAAGCTGCCCGCAGCCTCTGCAGCGCTGGTTTGATCCCTGACTGCCGGGCGAGGGACCCACAAGGCGTGCAGACCTCTCCTGCCGCCCGCTGCTCCCCTCAGCAGTGTACTTCGGTCCTTCTGCCTGCTCTGCTCCCCGCTCTGGCTCTGGTGAATTCTCTCACCCTCCTGCGCTTCTGACTGTACCCAGTGCTTGTATAAATAAATAAATAAATCTTTAAAAAAAAAAATACAGACCCGGGCTAGGATTGAGCCAAAATATGTTGCTGTTTCAGGTGACGTTCAGTGATGTGGCCATCAACTTCTCTCACGAAGAGTGGGGATGGCTAGATTCTACTCAGAGGGATTTATACAAGGATGTCATGGTCCAGAATTATGAAAACCTACTCTCTGTAGGTAAGCATATATACCCCTTGACCCCAAACAGGGGAGATCTTTCTTCTGCCACTCTGAATTGCTGGAGATTTCCCCATGTAAATGGTTGGATTTTTGTTTCACTTTCCTGAGGAAATGTATAGCTCCAGTGTGCCCTACCTGAAGCTTGTCTTCCCCTTGTCCCCTCTTTGGTTCCCTTTCTGATATTGGACCCTCCCCCCTGAGGCCCACAGCTTAAGCAAGTTCTGTATTTTTCTTCTAAGCAGGTCTTCCCATACCTAAGCCTTCTGTGATTACTTTATTGGAAGATGGGCAAGAGCCTTGCAAGCTAGAGAAAAAACTGGCAGAAGGTATGTCTCTAGGTAACTTACGGTGAATCAGTTGAAAGAAATCTTTGTTCAAGATGCTTATAGAAATGTGGAGACACTTTGGAATATTTAGGGAGACTATCTTCGGAGGTTCCAAATGTAATAAAATCAAGGGTTCCTCAGCTTTGGTTTGAAAATGACTCTTCTGTCACATGTTACCTTTCTATATTCCTCACGTTGTCTAATCAAAAGTGATTTTGCCATCATAATAATTCAAGTTGTCATTTTATTGAAATGAAAGAAGGTAAGTTTTTTAAAAAGTCTTCTTAAGGAAGAATATACTGAGGGTTTTATACTAACGAGAAATGATATTTTGTTCGAAAATCAGTTTTCTGCTGACACTGAGCTTCAAAGATCAGATGAGAATCTAAGTGTCTGAGGAAGTAAGGAATGCATAAAAGGTTTTCTAAGAATAGTACTTTCTGATGTTTAATGAATGATAAGATTTCACACAGACCCTACACAAATTCATATAGCATGAACCTTTGTGAGCCATAAAGAATATTTAGATTATTTGGTTGTCATTTTAACTATTTTATGGAGCCTTATAAATTCTCATTATAAGCATATTTTGAAAAATTTTTTTTTATTTTTTTTTTCAAGATTTATTTTTTATTTATACAAGAGCCGGGGTACAGGCCAGATGTGCAGGAGGGTGAGAAGATTCACCAGAGACAGAGAGGGGGAACAAAACAGGCAGACTGATGAAATATACTGCTGAGGGTAGCAGCGGGTGAGACAGGAGAGGTCTGCTTGCCATGTGGGTTGCTCTGAGGCTGGCAGGGATCAAACCGGCACTGCAGAGGCTGCAGACAGCTTCACAGCGCTGCGCTCAACCGCCTGCGCCACCAGGGAGGCCCTCATTTTAAGCATATTAACTGACAGCAAATTAAGATTAATTGAAGGTTGGAGAATCAAGGCAGTGAGCAAAATTGGTCTTGCATATCAATGCAAGCATAAAACGTTGGCTAGAAATCCAGAGTTTCTTCTATGTTTAATTTCTGTTAGTTTCATTTTTTTCCCCCCACGTACTGATTTCCTGTATTTAACCCACTTTCCTTATTACACTTTGCCCTGCCTCCATGAATTGTGTGTATTACCTGTGTTCCACTTGAACTGTATTTGGAAATCACTTCCTATGTGAAAGTTGTCAGAACCTTGTGTTTTGGGCTGGGAGTTTTATTTATTTATTTTTATCCGGTTTTCCTATATCTGCGATGAAAGTTTCTTTTCAAGGAGTACAGAAAAAAGCAGCACTTTGCTTGATATATTTCAGATTGGAAATCAAGGTGGGAAAACAAGGAATTATCAACTAAGGAGGATATTTATGATGAAGACTCATCCCAAAAAGTATTAATAGAAAAAACTGTAAAAGAAAGTCATGAATTTTCAAGTGTAAACAGTGACTGGGAATATATGGAGAAGTTGGTAGGGAAGCACAAAAATCAGGTAGAACATTTCAGCCCGGTGACCCTCACTTTTAGAGAAAGTCCCACTGGGGAGAGTGTTTACAAATACAACACATTTAGGAGCATCTTTCATTTAAAGTCTATTCTTTCTGAACCTCAGAGAATGTCTGCTGAAGGCAGATCACATAAACATGAGACATTTAAGAAGACTGTACCCAAAAAGTTAGTCATAAGAAATGAGAATATCACTGGTAGTAGGAAACTTTTGAATCCAAATGAAAGTGTGGCCGGCTTCAGCCAGAGCGCGTCTCTTCCCCTTCACCAGACTTACAATAGAGAGAAAATCTATACGTGTGGTGAGTGTGGGAAAGCCTTTGGCAAACAATCAATCCTGAATCGCCACTGGAGAATTCATACAGGAGAGAAACCCTATGAATGTCTTGAGTGTGGGAAGACTTTCAGCCATGGCTCATCCCTTACGCGACACCAGATAAGCCATAGTGGGGAGAAGCCTTACAAATGCCTTGAATGTGGGAAGGCTTTCAGCCATGTCTCATCCCTCACTAATCATCAAAGCACTCACACTGGAGAGAAACCATATGAATGTATGAACTGTGGAAAATCATTTAGTCGTGTTTCACATCTCATCGAACACCTGAGAATTCATACTCAGGAAAAACTCTATGAGTGTCGAATATGTGGGAAGGCGTTTATTCATAGGTCTTCTCTCATTCACCATCAGAAGATTCACACTGGAGAGAAGCCTTATGAGTGTAGTGAATGTGGAAAAGCCTTTTGCTGTAGCTCACACCTTACTCGACATCAAAGAATTCACACGATAGAGAAACAATTCGAATGCAACAAATGTCTGAAGGTCTTTAGTAGCCTCCCATTCCTTATTCAGCATCAGAGTATTCATACTGAAGAAAAACCCTTTGAATGTCAGAAATGCAGGAAATCCTTCAACCAGCTTGATTCACTGAATATGCATTTGAGAAATCACACTAGATTGAAACCTTATGAATGTAGTATATGTGGGAAAGCCTTCAGTCATAGGTCATCCCTGCTTCAGCATCACAGAATTCATACTGGAGAGAAACCCTATGAATGCATTAAATGTGGGAAGACCTTCAGCTGTAGTTCAAACCTTACTGTACATCAAAGAATTCATACTGGAGAAAAGCCATATAAATGTAATGAATGTGGGAAAGCGTTTAGCAAAGGCTCAAATCTTACAGCCCATCAGAAAATACATAATGCAGAGAAACCCAGTAGTGCAATAAGTGTGGAAGTGTTTAGGCCACGTGAATCACTATCTATGTGAAAAAGCATACCAGAGAAAACCTGTTTCATAAATGTAGAATTTGTGAAAATATACTTTAGCCATAAATCTTCCCTGCTTCAACATCAGAAAATGTACACTGTAGGAAAGTCTTTGGAATGTAATGAATATTGAAAAGTTTTTAGTGATGGTATAAGTCTTATTGTCCATCAGAGTTCATGCTGTAGAGAGATCATGTAAAGGCAATAAATGTGGGGAACCCAGTATTAATCCTTTAGCTGACATTTAGTAAATCCACATGGGAAAAAAACCGTATCTGTAACAAGCATGAGAAAGACATTAAGCAACATGAATCTCTTACACAATGTGCAAATACACAGTAGAAAAGCAATATGAATATAAAAATTGTGAGAAGTCCTTCAGTTCAAGTGCAGCCCTCATTCTAAAGAACTCACGCTAGAGGGAAACGTAAGAAATGTAGCAAAATGTTCCCTATGAGTTTCTTATCTTGCCAGACAGGAGACGGTTAATTCTAGAACAACTCTGTAGGAATTACGTGTAAATCTTTCTTTGCAGTGATGCCATTTATAATCAGTTCTATAGAAGAGCAAATAAGCATATTATAAATCAAAATGCTTTTCTTAATAGCTGTTGCTTACAACTTTATTCAGGAGTCCTACTCAGAAATTATCTTTAGCTAATGGGCTGTGAAGATAGACAGTCATCTGTGGATCCAGTAAATGTTTCAAAATGGTAAATTAAAGCTGCAAAAGAAATACAAAAATGGTGTGAATAAAATTTTTGGTCTAATAAAGTCATTTTGTATATAATGAACTTTCACTGTGATACTGGTATTTCTTACAATTTTTTTTTACTGCTTCCCTCTTGAAGAAGTAGGACCAGCCTTATTGGATACCTTTGATGAGAGATACAAACTAGAGGAAAATGCCCTCACCTCTGTGCTAATAATACCTTTTGTGTGTGTGTGAGAATAATTATCACTTCCCTTCAGTTGGCTTAATTCATGCATTTTAATTTTTACCAGTGCTGTGAGAATATAACCAAGAAATAACAGACTGTGAGTGAAGAGGCTTTTCTATAAATGTGCTTTTAGATCTGAATCCTAAAGAATGAGTACTAATTACGCAGCTGTGTGCAGGTGCATGCATGTTCTGTGATGTTTGCTGCAGCTGGACCCCTGGATCCAGGGGCTGCTAGTTCCAGTACCTTTGAGGCTGCTGGCGGCATCACTCGTGACAGCAGCAGTCGTTTCTCCATCCCTGGATCATAGTTGTTTGGGTTTGCCTTGAAGTCTGTAGTCCAGAGTTGTTCCCATTACTTCTCCAGCCTGCTCACCAATTTTGAAAGCATTTATTTTCTGAAGTATATGTTGTCTTGAATATATATATATATATATATATATATATATATATATATAATTTCTTACACTGAATCTTGACATTTGATTATGGTTTGTAAGTAGGATGGCTTCCAAGTTTGTAAGATTTAGGTCAGAAATGGAATAGGGGAATAGTCTTATTGATTCCCATGGTTTCCTATCAAGTTTAGCCATACTAATCAGTGATTTGGATTCTGTGGACATTTGCAAGAAAAGGAAAGTTACAAGTTTATATTTCAGATTAGGTTCTTTTTGACTTGATAACTTGCAAGAGAATTAAAAAGGAATATTGTATCACTCAATACAGTAATTGTGTAGTGTGAGTGATAGAGTTTCTGACTTTAGACAAAGCACTCCACTCTAGAACATGCACTACCTTAACTGAAAGCCAGGAGCATAGCAATTCTCAGTCGAGCTAGAGGGTTTGGATCAGGATGGTGAATTTTTTAAATTAGAAATGTATCTTTCCTTTTATGTTTAGTAATGAGACGTATCTTGAAATTCATGAATGTTGCAAAAACTGCAAAAAAAAAACAACCCCAAAATACAAGAGCCTGAGAGATTTGCAGTTAAGGGAGCATGGCATGGTATCAAACAAATTAACATGCTATGTTATTATGGATAGAGCAGTTATATCACACACACACACACACACACACACACACAGAGTTGTAGGTTAATGGCAATAGTTTTCTATCATTCTTTCTTTCCCTTGCTCTACCAAGCACTGGTACTACAAAGAGAATTCCCCATGAGCACACAAATAGCAATGTTTATAATTCTTGAGTTAAAGTGCCTTCACTTTAAATGATAGTGAAGGTCTTAAGACAGCAATAAGAATATATTACTTTATTACAGTTAAAGATTGAGCTAAGATAATAATATGAATCATGCTCAGTCACACTTGTAACCATCTCTTGCACATCTACTCTGGGCAGATAAATAAGTCATAACCCCATGTGTGCATATGTGTATGTGTGTGCAGAACATAAGCTCTGGGGTCATGTTGCCTGGGCATAACTGCAAGTTGGATGTGTCCTGGCTTTGTATGACCTTGGACAAGTTACCATATTATATAGCACATCTGTTTCCATATCTGTAGAAATGGTGATAATGTCTGTCTTACAGGATTTTATGAAATTAAATAATTGATATGCTTACAATACCTGGCACCTCAAAAATATTAAATGAGTATTATAGTCATTATTTCCACATGGCTGCTTCATTGTTCTGGTCTCAAATACCACATATTTTAGTAGGTCATCCTAATCACCTGTCACTTTTTTCTAAGTTTCATGTACATTATTGAAAATCAACCCCTATAGATACTACATGAAGTACACCATTAACTGTCCAAATTCTGTCTACCATACAAATGTCTCTTTTATCCCAGTTTACCCACCCTGCCCCCTTCTCTCTAGTAACCATTAATTGGTTTTATAGACTAAAATCATTTTATTCATTTTTTCCCTATATACCCAGATCAGTGAAATCATATGGTATTTGTTGTTCTACATCTGGCTTATTTCACTGTTACTTTTTTTTTTTTTTTTTGAAATTTTGCCTAGAACTGGGTGTAAACCAGTGGTATGGGGGGTGACAGTGTTCACCAGAGACAGAGTGGGGAGCAGCAGGCGAGACAGGAGAAGTCTGCTGCACCATGTGTGGGTCAGCAACCTGGCTGGGAATTGAACTCACACCTACCTGCTGGTTCACTTATGGGGCATTCTTACAAGACTCCCATTATTATAAGACTTCAACAACAACAACAAAAAAAACCCTTTAATATTTTGAGGGGCAATGTATTTTTTTCCAAAATACTCTAAGGAGACACAAAGATCACCAGAAAGGAGGTGATACAAGAATACAGCAGAGTTGCAGGAAGGAAGGAGGGTGCCCTACAGAGGAGTTTTGGAAAAAGTGAAGACTGAAGTTGGCTTCAGGTTCCTGTGTGGAGGAGAGGTAAGGCTTTGTCTAGTGAGACCAGAAGCCTGAAAGACTTCATCACCTCTCAGTTCAGGGCTGAGTCACTTGCCCTCATTGTTCCGCAGCAGCAGTTACAGCCATGCCAGTGAAGGTCACCAGTGCCTGGAAAGCCAAGGCAGCTGGTTAGCCTCGATCTTACGTGATTAGAGCTCATGGTGCAGTTGTCGATGAGGATCCTGAAAGAACGAGGACCCTATCACTGAGCACTTCTTGGGCGATACTCTGTGCTGGTGCCAAGGGAAAACCAGATGCTGCTTTTCAGCTGGAGGCAATTGTGTTAGAAGGAAAAACGCCACCTATGAAGAAGTCATTGAGGAAAGCCAGTGACGAGGCTTGTGTGGCTTGAGAGAGATGGGGCTGCCATGGAAGATGAATAGGAGAAAATGTACCATTGTTAGCAGCAGCTGCTGAGCTTCATGGCTGTATGCCTGCATGGTGTGCCTGTACTGTATAGTGTACACCGACACTGTGTCCTCAGGGGTGTACAGACAGTATTCAAGCAATTAAATATTACCAATTCTGGATCCAAATTCCCAGGTTTGAATCAGTGTATCGAGAACCAACACTTGTCTATGCCCTTAAAAGTAGTCACTTCAGGGCCTCCCCCGTGGTGCAGCGGTTGAGCGCTGGGTTGCGAAGCTGCCCGCAGCCTCTGCAGCGCTGGTTCGATCCCCAGCCGCCAGGTGAGGGTCCCACGTGGTGTGCAGACCTCTCCTGCCGTGTCCGCTGCTCCCCTCAGCAGTGTATTTTGTCAGTCTGCCTGTTCTGCTCCCTGCTCTGGCTCTGGTGGATTCTCTCACCCTCACGCGTTTCTGACTGTACCCAGTGCTTGTATAAATAAATAAATCTTAAAAAAATAAAAAAGGAAGTCACTTAAGTTCTCAAGTCTTAATTTCTGCATAAACAAAACAGAACAAGCTCCCTCCTTACTGGATGCTTGTGAGAGTTAAAGAGAAAATAGCCATACACAAAAAATAGGAGTTCCTGGCACATGTATTTTACTCTGTTTTTCTTTGTTAATCCTCCCACAGATTGTGAGGTATATATCATAATTATCTCCACGCTGCAGTCAGTGATCTGAGATTTAGGCAGATCTAGGAAGTATCTCAAAGTTATATATATCAGGAACACAGGCTAGACTTGAACATCCAGTAAAAGGCCACATAACTGCTGGCAATATTGTGTCTCTGACGATTTTTTTTTTTAAAAAGATTTATTTATTTATACAAGCACTCGGTACAGTCAGAAGTGCTGGAGCGTGAGAGAATTCACCAGAGCCAGAGCGGGGAGAACAGGCAAACTGACGAAGTACACTGCTGAGGGGGGCAGCCGGCATGGCAGGAGAGGTCTGCGCACCATGTGGGACCCTTGCCAGCGGCCGGGGATCGAACTGGCACTGCAGAGGCTGCAGGCAGGTTCGCAGCCCAGCACTCAACCGCTGCACCACTGGGGAGGTCCTCTGATGATGATTTCTCTTGGTAGCCACACAGGTCCTCTTATGCCTCCACAGACAAAAAGTACTCTCTTTGACCATGCATTTCCTTCAACTTCCCCCATCTCTCCCTTATTAACAAACTCACCTGCCAGAGGGAATATTGCCTACCTTGCAAAGTTTATTTACTTTAGGTATCAGGCATCCTCAGGCAATATTGGAGAAAATGAGGGATTACAAAAGGTTAAAGGATATATAGAAAACAGCAAAATGGCAGAAGTAACTTCCTTTCCAATAGTTATTTTAAATATGTGTCCAAATGACAAGTTCAAGCCAGATTTTTAAACTTATGATCCAGCTACATGTTGTCTCCAAGAGGCATTAGATCTAAAGACACAAATAGGTTGACGGTGATAGAAAAAGCTGAGGGAAAATTGTAGCCCAAAGAGAGATGGGGATTGGTAGAATTAAAAAGAGAAGTAGACAACCTACTTGATAATGAGAAACCTCAATACCGCAATGGATTGTGAGCCACACAGAAGATAAAAAAATAGATGAGACAAACAGCTACATGAACAACTGTACCTAACAACACTCCATCCAAATAGTGCAGAATATACATTGTTGCCAAGTACATGTACATTTTCTAGGATACACCATACAGTAGGCCACAAAATAAATCTAAATAGATGTTAAAAGATAGAGAAAACAATGCATTTGACCACAATAGGATGTAGTTAGAAATTGCTAAGTAAAGGAACACTGGAAAATTCATGAATATGCAGAAAATACATGCTTGAATATTGCTATGGTCTGAATATGCCCTCTCAAAATTTATGCTGAATTCCTAATGCCCAATGTGATGGTAGTAGGAGGTGGAGGTGGGGCTTTTGGCAGATACTTAGGTCATGAGGGTGGAGCCCTCATAAGTGGGATTAGTGCTCTTATAAAAAAGGTCCTTCTACTGTGTGAGGATGCAGTGAGACATTTGCAACATGGAAGAGAGGCCAGCAATATTAGAATCCTGATTTTCTGTATTTGTAAGTGACCCAATTTACGGTATTTTGTTATAGCAGCCTAAATGAACTAAGACAACAGCTAGTGGTTGAAGATGAAATCACAAAGTAAACCAGAAATTTCTTAAAGACAAATGGAAATGAAAACATAACATTACAAAGTATATAGTATGCTACAAAAGCAGTGCCTGGAGGGAAATTTATACATAAAGATCTGAAACCAGTAACCTAACTTTATACCTTTAAGAACTTCAAAAAAGACAAATTAAACCAAAAGCTACAGAAAGGAGGAAATAAAAATAGAATGGAGATAAACTAAATAGAAAATAACAGAAAATCAATAAAACCAAAAGTTGGCTCTGTGAAAATAAAAAACCTTCACTTAGACCAAGAGAAAAAGAGAAGACACAAAAAAATAAGAAATGAAAATGGAGATATTATTACTGACTTTATCCTCCCTACCGAGGATCCACCAGAGAGAGTGGGGAACAGAAAAGGCAGATTGACACTGCTGAGGGGAGCAGTAGGTGAGGCAGGAGAGGTCTCCTGCACCATGTAGGTAGCTCCCTGGCCGGGGATCGAACTCATGCTGCAGTTCCTGCCCATAGCTTCATAGGTTGGATCCTAACCTCTTGCGCCACCAGGGAGGCCCAAATTTAGCAATAAATCTAATCAAGAAACTGAAAGACTTGTACACTGAAAACAAAAACACTGCTGAACAATATTAAAGAAGTCCTAAATAAATGGAAAGATACTCATCTTCCAAAGAAATAGAATGCCTTAATGTTGTTAAGATGACAATACTACCAAGGAAATACAGAGATTCAATGCAATCTATAAAAATTCTGACGGCCTTTTTTTCTTAATTGTTGCAGAAATGGAAAAAATCAATTTCCAAGTTCATATGGAATTGCATGAGACTCCATTTAGCCCAAACAATCTTTAAACAGAAGAATAAAGTTGGAGGATTCATATTACCCAACCTCAAAACCTTGTACAATGCAACATGGTACTGGTATAAAGACATAGAGCGAACAATTCAGAGGCCAGACCTTGTCTGCCATCTGTTTTTAAATGCCTCATGGTCTTAGAATAGTTTTTACACTTTAAATGACTAGAAAAATCATAAGAAATAATATTTTATGGCTTCTTAATTTACAGTGAATTTTATTTTAAAGATTTGTTTTTATTTATTCATATAAGAACTGGGGTGTAGCCAGAGGTGCAGGGGTGGGGTTGGGGGGTGAGAGCATTCACCAGAGAGAGTGGGAAGCAGAACAGGCACATTTATTGAAATACACTGCTGAGGGGAGCAGTGGGCGAGACAGGAGAGGTCTGCTGCGCCATGTGGGTCAGTTCCCTGGCTCGGGATTGAACTCAGGCTTCAGTGGCTGGCAATAACTTGATAGTTAACCCGTGTGCTATCAGGGAGGCCTCTACAGTAAATTTTAATGTAATATAAATTAAATTGAAATTTGTGATTTTGAAACAATTCTTTTTTTTTTGTAAATAAATTTTATTTTTATATTCCCATTACAATTGCACCCCCCTTATTTTGACCCCAATCCCTCCCCTCCCTGCCTCCTACCCCCCATAGAGTGTCTCTGGTTCATAGTTTTTTGTTGATTTTGATTTTCACTTTCTTATAGTTATTCATTTCCCTGGTCCCTTATTTAAGTTTTCTAGATTCCTGCTATGAGTGAGAACATCCGGTATTTTTCTTTTTATTTCTGGCTTATTTCGCTGAGCATGATCCCTTCCAGCACCATCCATGTTGCTGCAAATTGCATGTGTGAAACAATTCTTGAAGAGTAAAATCTATTGGACTGCTTCCCAGGTTTTAATCCTCTCTTTGATTAATAAACTCTGCCTAATTACCATTGAGGCTTTTATTTCCGTTAGCACATTTTAGGAGTGCTTTATTATATTAGATTAAAATTCATTGTAAATTAGGAAAAGATGAAAGGTAAACTCATTTACGGATGAGCATTAACAGATGAGCATTTCTTTTTTTTTTTTTTAATAGAAGCATGTTTTATTTATTTGTTTGTTTGTCTGTTTGTTTTGTTTATACATGCACTGGGTACAGTCAGAAGCGCGGGAGGGTGAGAGAATTCACCAGAGCCAGAGCGGGGAGCAGAGCAGGCAGAAGGACTGAAGTACACTGCTGAGGGGAGCAGCGGGCGGCAGGGGAGGTCTGCGCGCCATGTGGGACCCTCCTCCGGTGGCCAGGGAGCTGCCGGGGATCGAACCGGAGCCACAGAGGCCGCGGGCAGCTTCGCAACCCAGCGCTCAACCGCTGCGCCACCGGGGAGGCCCCAGATAAGCATTTCTAATCTATTTTGCTGTTTTGTTGTTGAGTTTTCTGTTTAATATGGCCCCAAGCGTAGCACTGAAGTTCTGTGTAGTGTTTGCAAGTGCAAGAAGGCTGTGATGTGTCTTAGAGTAAACACATCTGCTACATGATCTTCATTCAGGTGTGAGTTATATGCTATTGGCTGAGGGTTCAATGCTGATGAATCAATAGATGATAGATCCAAAAGTAAGAAGAAAATAAATAAATAAAAATACATGCCTCTTAAAAAAAAAAAAAAAAGGAAGAGAAAATTTAATAGTACATGAGGATACTCCAGAAAGTGTTGAAGGTGTGTGATGAAACTGGAAAAGTCACTAAAGTTGTTGATTCATGAGCTGAAGCCTGACTTTTTAAAAAAAAGTGTGGAAGACAGCATTGTGATAAGACTGAAAGCCAAAGAAATGTATTGGTCCAGATCAAGACCTTTAAGGCAAACTACTGTGTACAGAAGTCCCGGATCTACAGAAACTTCAAGGGCTGTATCTGAAGCAAAGGACAGTCACTGTAGGGGAACAAGTTCTGGGGAATGTCAGAAGCTTTCTGGGATTGATTGTACAAGAGCCCCTCCAAGAAGATAAGTATCTCTAGGTCAACAGACTAGTCCCCAAGATTTTATTTTGAATAATAGCCCACTCCATTCCCATGAAGAACTTAACAATGTACATCCCAACCTAGATGTTCTTATGTTTACTCTTCATAAAATGAGGTTTTATTTGTTAATATTGCCTTTAACTTTATTTTCTTTTGTAACATTTTTTTTTAAATGGAGGTAACTTGGCTTACAACACTGTAGGATTTAGTGAAATATGTTCACATCTCCTCAGATGTATGTGACCACACCACACCCATCACCAAAACACCCATAATCTTCCACCCTCTTTGTTCCTCCCCCTCTGGTAGCCTCAGCTCTGCAGCCATATGTCAAAGCTTTACTTTGGCTTAGTATTTTCCCTTAAGTTCCAGGATTTATCTTTTTCCTTCAGACATATTTCACGTTGCATAATCCCCTTCAGTACCTTCCATGTTGTCATAAGAAGACTTCATCTCTTTTTATTGCTGAGTAGTATTCTGTTGTGTCTGTTTCCTTTTCATGCCCCCAAACACTACTTCTGTCTAATCTCTCAACAGGGGGATAGTAGGGCCTCCCTTGTGGTGCAAGGGGTTAAGACACAACCTATGAAGCTACCCGCAGCCTCTGCAGCATGAGTTCGATTCCCGGCCAGGGAGCTACCCACATGGCACAGCAGACCTCTCCTATCTTGCCCGCTGCTCCCCTCAGCAGTGTATTTCAGTCAATCTGCCTGTTCTGCTCCCCACTCTGTCTCTGGTGAATCCTCTCACCTTCCACATCTCTGGCCTGTACACTAGTTCTTGTATGCATAAATAAATACAAATACAAATATGCATAAAAAAACAAGGGCATAGTAAAAACTTTCCCAGTACATGACATGAAGGAGCTTTATAGCAGAGCCCTCACTATCAACAAGAAAACTGCCTGTTGGATACTGGAAGTCAGTCATCGTACACACCACTATTGTGGTGATCCCACGGCCTGGGGAATCAAGCAGACTGTCAGCAGCTCCTGGGGAATGTTTGGCCAGACTTTATGAAAAATGTCAAAGGCTTTGAAAGTGTTACAGAAAATATCAAGAACAGTGTCAAATACATAATGTATATCTCATGGCAAATAAATGTGAAAGGCTACCATGACATGGAAGATCTGGAAGAAATTTTGACAGAGAAGGCAGACCCACTCACCCCAAAAAAAAATGCTGGGAGAGTTGGCAAAACAAGAAATCAAAGTCAGTGATGATGAGGATGGTGATGAAAATCAATCTAAGATTCCAAAATGCAGAGTGAAATTCAGCATTAGAAAAGATTTCAATGACATGGAAGAATATAACCCTATGCTTGAACTTGGCCTAAAACTTGGGCACCTAAGCTGCACTTCATGTCCTCCTTATGCCAAGACAGTTAGAGATCTGAGGCAAAAGCCAAGAATAGAAAACTGGTGGTTTTTAAAGCCAGTTCAGGAGGGAAAACTGTGGATTCAACAAGTGACACGGCTCCCCAGGCAGAAGTGCTAAATGTTTTGTTTTGTTGTTTTTTTTTAAGGTATCTATGTATACAAGAGCTGGGGTGCAGGCCAGAGATGTGGGGGGTGAGAGGATTCACCAGAGTCAGAGTGGGGAACAGAACAGGCAGACTGACTGAAATACACTGCTGAGGGGAGCAGCGTCGAGACAGGAGAGGTCTGCTGCACCATGTGGGTAGCTCCCTGGCCAGGGATTGAACTCATGCTGCAGTGGCTGCGGACAGCTTCATAGTGCTGCACCTCAACCCTTTGTGCCACCAGGGAGGTCCCAGAAGTGCTAAATGTTGATACGCCATCCCTGTCAGCATCTTCCTCTTTTGCAGAGTAAGTTCCACCAACCTCTCAGGTTTCTCGGGACATGCCAAACTCAGGGGTTGGCAACAGTGCAGTGGCCTAGCACAAACTCAGCAACTCATTAAAAGGATGTTAGTTAATTTTTTTAAAGATTGATTAATTTATTTATGCATACAAGAACTGGGGTACAGGCCAGAGGTGTGGAGGGGTAGAAGGATTCACCAGAGACAGAGTGGGGAACAGAACAGGCAGACTGAGTGAAATACACTGCTGAGGGGAGCAGCGGGCAAGTCAGGAGAGGTCTGCCGCGCCATGTGGGTTGCTCGCTCCCTGGCTGGCTGGGGATAGAACTCATGCTACAGAGGCTGAGGACAGCTTCATAGATTGCGTCTTAATCTCTTGCACCACCAGGGCGGCCCCAGATGTTAGTTAACTTTAACATCTAATTTATTTTAATCTTTAATTTTTCTTAGGATGTTCTTTGCATGAATCTACTGTGCAGCACAGCATGTGTTTACAGTACTGTACGGTTTTTTACTATTTATTCTGACCACTGAATATGTGTGCTATTGGTATGTGTTCAGCTGAGTGAGAGTTAATACAATAATAGAGGACCTTACACAAAAATGATGCAATTGAAACATTTTTATTCTAGTGAAATGCTACCCCATAATTTATAAGAAACATTATAAAAAATATAAGGTATATTTAAACAGAAAAAAAAATTCTATAAAAGGTTATATATTGTTTGATTGGAAATATGATGAAAGTTCAAAGGACCCTAGGCTTATATTTCCCCTAGTAGCAATGGTTCAAAACTCACTAATTTACAGAATATACTATGACTATTAAGAATTAACTACACATGTCTGCATTTATCTGTGTAAAAGGCTCAGGCCTTTATATTTCTCAAAAACCTGTTATTCAAGGGTAGACATTAAGAATTTTTGGAATAAATTATACTTTTAATCAGTGTTGGCAGAGCTGCCCTTAGTGGTCTAACTGCTCTAACTCTGGCTGTACGAAAGTTATATAAAGGGGACAAAGCCTTTTTATCTCTCCTACCCCAACCTCTCCCCCAAATGACGTATTTTCACAGGCTTGACGGGGCAGTTGGAAAGAACTCATACATGCATTTCTTTTCCCTTTCTCTTCTACATCTCCTCTGCTTCTCCTTGTTCTTTTAAAATACTCTTTTTAAAAAAATATTTATTTATGCATACAAGAACTGGGGTACAGGCCAGAGGTGTGGGGGGTGAGAGGACTCACCAGAGACAGAATGGGGAACAGAACAGGCAGATTGACTGAAATACACTGCTGAGGGGAGCAGCGGGCAAGTCAGGAGAGTTCTGCTGCACCATGTGGGTATCTCCCTGGCCGGGGATCGAATTCATGCTGCAGTGGCTGCAGATTGCTTCATAAGTTGTGTCTCAACCCCTTGCACCACTAGGGAGGCCCTCTTTTAAAATACTGTTAAGATGGATTTGTAATGTTAATGATAATGGTTGTTGCTGACATTTTCCCTAAATGCACGAGAGCCATCGAGTCTCTCCTGTGGATGATTTTCAGATAGAGCCTAATGGCCTAAGCTGGGTCAGTTTCTAAAACGACTCTTTAGATGACAAGTGATTACCTGTCACAAAAAGCTTTCAAAGAGATGATAAATTTGAGTGTTCCTCTTCAGTATCAATTATCAGGTACTAAGTTAATTCTCTGGTCAAAATATTTCCACGAATGGTTAGATTCAAGAGGAAAGGTCTTTCACCAGTACGAGCTCACTAAAATTGAGTGAGATGAACATATTTGCAAAGGTCTTCCTACGTCTTTTAAACTCTGGTATGGATCTTTCGATGATGAGTGAAAGATGAGCTGTGGCTGAAGGCCTTTCCACATTCTACGCATTCAAAGGGTTTCTCCCCAGTATGAGTTCTCGTGTGTTGAGTTAAGGCAAAATTGTCACAAAAGGCCTTCTGACAGTGCTTGCACTCATAGGGTTTTTCTCCAGTGTGGATCCTACTATGCCGAACAAAATTTGCAGGTTGGGTAAAGGCCTTTCCACATTCTCCACAGACATAGGGCTTCTCTCCTGTGTGAATCCTCATGTGACGAATAAAGGACGAGCTGTAGTAAAAAGCTTTTGCACATTCTTTACACTCCAAGGGTTTTTCTCCACTGTGGGTCCTATTATGCCGGATAAAAACAGAGTGGTGTGTAAAGGCCTTTCCACATTGCCTGCACTGATAGGGCTTCTCGCCTGTGTGTATTCTCACGTGCTGAATTAAGGAAGAGCTGTCACAAAAGGCCTTCCCACATTCTTTGCACCCAAAGGGCTTCTCTCCAGTATGAGTCCTCTTATGCCGGATGAAAGTGGAGCGGTGAGTAAAGGCCTTTCCACATTCGCTGCACCCGTAGGGTTTCTCTCCAGTGTGAATCCTCATGTGCTGAGTGAAGGATGAATTAACGCAAAAAGCTTTCCCACATTCTTTGCACAGAAAAGGCTTTTCTCCTGTGTGGGACATGTTATGCTGGATAAATGTGGAGCGGTGAGTGAAGGCCTTGCCACATTCACTGCACTCATAGCGTTTCTTTCCAGTGTGGATCTGCACGTGCTGAGCGAAGGAAGAGCTATAGTAAAACGCTTTCCCACATTCTTTGCACAGAAAGGGCTTTTCTCTAGTGTGGGTCATGTTATGCTGGATAAAAGACGAACGGTGGGTGAAAGCTTTACCACACTCTTTGCACTTGTAGGGCCTATCTCCGGTATGAATACGCTGGTGCTCTGTGAGGTGGGATCTGCGTTTGAAAGCCTTCTCGCACTCCACACACTTGTATGGTTTTTCCCCAGTATGAAACCTCATATGTCGAATGAAGTCTGCCAGGTAGCGACAGGCTTTCCCGCATTCCTTGCATTCGTAGGGCTTCACTCCGGCGTGAATCTGCTGGTGCCGAACCAAGGCCCAGTTCTTGCTAAACCCTTTTCCACATTCCTTGCATTTATAGCGGTTATTCCTTGTATCAGGGACAGGGTCTTTTGCTGGTCCTTGGGAGTCACGTTCATGCAGGGCATCTGGTGTGGTCACTTGCTCCTGTAAAACCCTTAAGCACAGACTGTCACCTGTCCCTAAGTCACCGTGTTTATGGTCCAGCATCCTGGAGTATGTCTCCTTCTGGGGGTTTGTTCCTGGCCTCAAGCTCCCCTCCTGCAGTTCTGATCGTTTCTCTTGATCTCCCGCTTGCCCCGAGTTGGAATCCCTCAAGGCTGTCTGTGTCACTTGTTCTTCAAAGGAGGCCTCCTCGGTGGAGGCCAGCCGGGCAGCAGCAGGCTCTGTGGTTGTGGGTTTCACTTTGTCACCTGAAGGAAACCAGTTACAAAAAAGATGTCTGTTTGCAATGTCAACATAGAATGAATAAAGTCATCACTTTAATGAAGAATGAACATGAAAATAATGCTCCTCAGGCACGTTTTTATATCTCTTAAACCGAGGATTGCAGTTTCTTCTTCTAGTAAGCCTTGGACTCTTGTTATCTTTAAAAGGAAACCCAGGAGGAAGAGCTGGGGCAGGGGCCACAGAATCAGGAGTAGGGACTCCTCACTCTCAAAACAGGGGGAAGGCAGGTTAATGCGAGCACTGTGTGAGGCCAAGAAGACATGTCACAGCGCTGTGACTGCGGAAGGAAGGTGTGCCCAGAGGGGAGACAGGAAGTGGTTAGTGGAGGCCCCTAGAGGAAGCAGAAATAAGCTGTGTGAGAGTGGGAATTCATAGATTCTAGGAGAGAGGGTGCAAAGACAGAAAGCTGAAGCTCCAGAGTCTTAAGAGAATGCTGAATGCCCGGTACAGTGAGGGGGATGAGAGGATGGTGGAGATGAGGGTGGAGAGGCAGGAGGGACCAAAGAGAAATTCTCAGGATTCCTGCTTGTGTGAAAGCGAGGCGGGGTGAGTAGCACCCGGGGGGACATAGCAGTGTGTCTGCTGTGTCTAAGTAGAGACTAGACGATCGAACACTACATAGATAACATCTAGAAGGAGGAAATTATAAAACTTAATGAAGCTCTGTATAAAAAGAGAATAATGTAAAGTTATTGATTCTCCGCAGATTCTTCTATAAATTCAATATAACTTCAAATAGACACCCCCGTTGGATTCTTCTTGAATAATTACAAGATGATTGTAGAATTTACATAGAAGAAGAGAGACTAGGATATCTCTAAAGAGTGACAAAGCAGCGGGGTAGGGGGGGATTGGCCCTTTGAGAAATTGGGATTACAACAAAAATATTTCTGAACTCTTTGAAAACTAGGTGGTTACCATGGTGTGTGTGTTTGTGTGTGTGTGTGGCAGAGGGGAAGTATAGAGCAGGTAAGGTGACAGTGTATTCACACCAGAGCTCTGGTGAAAAGTGAGTGAAGTGAGTGAAGTGTTGGGGTGTGAAGTTGTACTCTCAAACTTACATATTTTTGTAAATGAATGGCAAATCAACACAAATTTTGCTGGAAAAAAAGAAATGCGGATTATGGTGAAATTATATATGATCTATTATATTGATGTGGACATTGAGGTTCAAGAAAGTGTGGTGTAGGCATAGATAAAAGATAAAACTGTCAGTGGTCAAAGGAAGAAAACAGAATTGGAAGCTCAGAAACGTTTCTATGGAACTTCACTATGTGCCCGTCCACATACTTCGTGGCTCCAGCTGCCATTCACAGCCCACAAGTGGCACCAACAAAGGCAGCTGTTCTCTAGAGGTTTCACAAGACAGCAGGACAGTAGGATAACAGGCCAGGCACCGCTTCTGGGATAGCTGAATCACAAATGGAAGGAGGGGCGCATGCATGGACAGATACACCAGGGATTGATGCAGAAGGTGGACAAGGGTGGGCTGCAAAGCATAGCAGAAAGGACGGTCCTTTCTGAATTTAGAAGGAAGTTTAAGATACCACTACTCGTTATGACTAAATAATACATAAACGTCCCTCACAGGTAACTTTTGCTGGGTACTTACTTTGGGTTAGGCAGTATGCTAATAAGCACTCGCGTGTTATTACCTTCTCGAACAATCCAGCGATGCAGAAACTATCACTATCTTTTCCAAATGCAGGCTGAGTTTAGCAGACTTAGAATATATTCATTACCCTCGTGGCCTGTTTTCCTAGGACACAAAACCAAACCATGTTCCCCAGCGTGAGACAACACAGAGCCCAGTGGCCAGTTTTTGTTAGTGGACTGCGAGGGGGAGCTGTGTGTGTGCGCGGGTGGATGTGGTGATGCCCCTTCACTCCTGTTCCTCTCGGTCAGCTGGGTGATACCAGGGCAGCCTTGAAGCCACACACTGACAACAGCATGCCTCGATCTGTGCATAAATACACAGCACCAAGTTCTCCTGCTGACCCATGTTAATTTGTGGTACGAATGAGGAAAAAGAATTTGTTGACCCACCAAAATTTTGGAGTTTATCTTTTACAGCTGGTGGCATTAACTCAGCCTAACTGTACACCAAAGGCATAGGGAAGTCATACACCTTCCCCAGGGTCATGAGGCCGGCGAGTGGACATTTTCCTAATTACTGCATTTCAACTCTGGGAAAGGATGTGATTGATGGTGGTAAGAAGACAGCAGACAGACCGTTCAAAATGCTCTGTAATCACCGTGTCCCCAGGAAGGCCATGAAAAGAAATGCCAACCAGTGACTCCCTGGGAGCCGACTACCGTGATTTTCCACTTGCCAGAGTGTCAGCCACTTACCTCTATAGGCGTGTGGGGAGAGACTTCTCGTCACTGTCCATAGTTCTTGCCCATGTTCCAGTAGGTAGATGAGCTCTCGTTTGGGAACAGGATGCCCTGGACATGGAGAAATAAATGGGGCATGAATATATAGGCAAGAATAAAAGGAGGACTCCAGTGAGCAGGAGTCTGTGCCCATTACACACGACCATGGAACTCCGGACAGGGGACTCCTCCTCCCAGAAGTCTTCCTTAATCTGCACCAGTGGGATTCAACCTCCCTGTCCTCAGAACTACCTGGAAATGTCTGGTTCTGAACACAGAAAACGTTAAATCCAAATCCTAGGGCCTCTGGACTGTACATGGCATTTTTTTTTTTTTAAAGCTTCCCAGGTGCCCAAAGATGGCTAAAATCGCTGGACTAAGCCACCTGGGGAGCAATGTCTGCTCAGTCACCGGTGAGAGGTAACGATGACCTAAAGCTGCTGCCCATTCTGGAGAGCCAGCTCTAGCCCAGACTGGGAGGGGCTGCTGGCTGTAGGGGCTGTTGCCTCATCCTGTGGCCACCCTGAGGACAATGGCCTGAGGACTGGGCTAAGGAGAGACAGCAGGCAACTGGGTTGGCATCTGCCCACTGAGGAGCCAGCATCACCTTGGAGCTTCTCGTTAGGTGAAGTACTACATTTTTTCAGGGTGAAACCAGTATGAGGTTTTCTGGTCCATGCAGCCAAACATTGTGCCAAATGTGAAGGTTTTTTTTTTTTTTTTAAAAAGATTTATTTATCTATACAAGATCCGGAGTACAGGCCAGATGTGCGGGAGGGTGAGAGAATTCACCAGAGAGAGTGGGGAGCAGACCAGGCAGACTGACGAAATACACTGCTGAGGGGAGCAGCGGGTGCAACAGGAGAGGTCTGCTGCGCCATGTGGGATTCTCGCCGGCCGGCTGGGATCAAACCTGCACTGCAGAGGCTGCAGACAGCTTCACAGTGTGGCACTCAACTGCCTGCGCCACCAGGGAGGCCCCCAAATGTGAAGGTTTAAAGCCAAACATTGTGCCAAATGTGAAGGTTTAAAGACGGGGACCTGGAGAGAAGTCCGTGAGTGAGGCGCTGGGCCACAGAAACTTCCACTGGAAAATCGGCTACTGGCAGCCAGATTGCATGCAGTTGTCACTTAGCAAATGACCTCTGAGGTCTGCTACCTGCTTGGCACGGAACTTAGCAACGGGGCAGTGGGAAGGTAAGTCAGGCCTTCCGCCATCTCTGCGAATAACCGGACTCCCTAACTTCTCAGGGACGTGGCTCGTGTTGGGCCTTCCACCTGGAATGACTCCCCTATAAGCGCCTCTCAGCAACGAATCACAGCTGTCATAAAGTAAACACTGTTTCCTGGCTTGATGGCTCCCCTCCTGGGAGAGACAGGACACAAGGCGAGGAGGTAGCCGTCTCGACCACCGGGAAAAGGGAGACCTTGGCGTCCTTGGGTGATTATGGGTAACAGACACACTGCTGTGTGCTCACCCCTGCCAGGTAGCCCTTGTTCTGTTCCCAGCCCTATTCTAAGTTCACTTGGGCTAACTAAAAGGTGAAAGTAAACTGTGCTGGGGGCAAGATGGTCTCATCAAGTCCCAGTGAGCTCCTGTGGCCAGCTCAAGGCTGAGCCCTGCCCCTGTTCTTTCTGCTAAAGGGGGAACAAACCACCCGCCACGGGAACATTAAAGACAACACAGACTCTCAACAGTAATCGGGAAGCAGGGAAGAGAAGGGGAAAGAAACAGCTTTCTCAGATGCCCATCAGCGCCATCTGATGATGAATCTGTGCACCTCTAAAATGACCTCCCACCGCAGCAGAGGAGCGTGCTCGGGTCTCCAGAAGCGACGCCCAACTGTGTAGGCACCAGGGCCCAAAAAGCCTTTTGCTGAGATGGTGTCGCTTAGAAAGACAGCACTAGCATTGATGACAATATCTTCTTGGCCCATTCACCCCCTTTTCAGAGGCCCTCCTGGGAAATGGCCTGTGAGGCATTTGACTCAGTCAAGCTGAATCAGTAGCCTCTCTTTGGGGATCTGGAATCAGGACATCAGACATAAGCCCACATGCTGAGAAGAACTACGTTTCTTAGACAACAATCCCTGGTGCAGACACAGGGAAGCCAATCAAGAGGGCAGAAGAGAACACCCCGCGGCTGCGGAGAGAAGTGGAGGTGTGCTCCAGAGGCCTTCTTGGCCAGCCACACCCAGAGAGAGAGGGTGGAGTGAGAGGCTGTGGGAGCCACAGGGAGAGGGGTGTGGCCTTACCCAGTGAGACCAGGAGCCCACAAGTCTCCAGCATCACCTCTTGGCATAAGGTCCTCTGGGCCGGGTTCAGATGTCTCCATTCCTCCCCAGTGAAGGTCACGGCCACGTCTTCGAATGACACCAGCGCCTGGAAAGTCAAACAGAGGTGGCGGGGTGGGTTTATGGCTGTCAGTGAGATTCGTGCCTATTGCTGGGTAACCGTCGACAGTCCAGAGACCCAAGGCCTGAATCACTGAGCACGTCCCAAGAACCCAGCTCTGTGCTGGGCTGATGAGGGAGGCCAGTGATGCCTTTGGCAATACAAAGGAGGGGAGAGGAGAGCCTCCATGTGCAAAGTACGTGAACACTGTGAGGGGCAGTCAGTTCCCTGGGACGTTAAAAGACTGGGGAAGAAACAGTAACCAGTAATGATGGTCGCAGCACAGTCTCACTGGCCTGTGCTCACAGAGAGGGTTTCCGATGTGTTAAAGCGACTGAAAGTGTCCAGGTCTGGGGCTAGACTGAGGGGCTCAAATCTAGCCTTTTGAGCCAACACATGCTAATTTTCAAAAAGATTTATTTATTTATGCATACAAGAACTGGGGTACAGGCCAGAGAGGTGTGTGTGTGTGTGTGTGTGTGTGTGTGTGTGTGTATGTGTGAGAAGATTCACCAGAACAGGTAAATTGACTGAAATACACTGCTGAGGGGCGCAGCGGGCGAGACAGGAGAGGTCTGCTGTGCCATGTGGGTATCTCCCCGGCCAGCCGGGTATCCAACTCCTGCTGCAGTGGCTGCGGATAGCTTCATAGTGCTGCGTCTCAACCCTTTGCTCCACCAGGGAGGCTCCAACACATGCTAATTCTTTGAGTCTCATTTTCCATATCAATACCTAGTTCACAAGTCACCAGGCTGCTGTGGGAATTAAAGAGAAAAAGTTCATAAAACAAACGCAGCAGTGCCCAGCATATGCCAGGGTTCCATGTGTGTTTGAGGTCACTGATCTTGCAGCATTCCTGAGCAGTCGCCATCATCTCCACTCACAATCAGCAACGTGGCTCAAAGGCACGTTGCTCAGAGTTGCACTAATGACAAGGCGCAAGATTTGAAGCCAGGTCCTTCTGGTCCCGCCATGTTGGGGGTTTAGGGTTAATCTAGGTGTGGTGGGAAGCCTGGAGGGGGACTCTTTCACTCATCACTCACGAGCAGCCAGGATAGCTCCAGCAGAGAAACAGGCGCTCACCCTGTGGGGTCGTGGAAAGAGCCTCACAAGAAATTAAACGGGCAGATAAAGTCCTGTGGCACTGAGGGCTCAAAAAACGACAAAAGATAGTGAGAGGACTGCAAAGATTAGGGGGACTTTAGTTGGGAAAATCGGGGGAGACCCCTCCAAGGGGACACTGGAAGGAGGCTGGAAATGAAGTTAGGGAGCAAACCAGGCGAGGAAAAATGAATGAATGAGACAAATCCTGAAGGTGAGCAGAGCCACAGTGAGAGCAGACAGGGTGGCGTGCTGGGGAGGGCACTGGCAGGAACGAACACGGTCCTCTGCAAATATGAGGAAATATGTTAAACAGGAAAGTGGATTTGCTGCTGTTAAGTGGCAAGGTCACTTGCAAGCTAGGGATGTCATCTGCAACGATAAATCCAGTGCCCCCACCCTCCCCCAGCCTGTCAGGGAACTTCCACTGTCATTAGAGGAGCAGCAAATCCAAAAACGCTGCTTCCACCTCGCCTCTACTCTGCAGGCTCCCACCCCTTCTCCGGGCGCTCAGCTGAGCAGAGCCCCCGGGCGGGGGTGGGGTGCGGACTCCCCCAGGAGTGAGCCCGAGAAGTATTCCCAGCGGAGGCCCGAGGGAATGGAGACCAAGGGGGTGAAGGGACAAGCTCAAGGTTAGAGCCCAAATGGGGGCCTCTCCCTATAATCCCTGACCTGGATTGGGGTGATTTTTGCCGCCCCCCCCATTTCCCCAGTGCTCCCAGAGCCAAAAGCACTAGGGACAGGCGAGGAGTCTCGGGGTCCCAGCGTCACGGCGCGCGGGCTCCCGTGACCCGCCACTCACCGGCTCGCGAGCAGCCATGGCCCCGCGGCGGGGGCAGGGCCCGGGCGGCGGCCGCAAAAGCCGGGACCAGCCGGCCCCTCGCGCCGGCCCTGCGGGGCGATCCGCTGTGAAGCGCGCGCGAGGATCAGGGCGCTGCTTTCTGCTGCGGCGGGCGCTCGGCGGGGCGCCCGGCCCCGCGGGTCCGCCCTCCTCGCTGTCAAGCTCCGCTCGCTCTCGAGGCCCGGTCTGGGCCGCCGCCCTCGCCCCGAGCGCCGGCCGGCGGGTGGTTGGTCCCGGCCCGCCGCCACCTGGTAACTGACGCCCGGAGAGGACGCCGGGAGCCCCGCCCCCGCCCGCCCGCCCGCCCGCCCCCGCCCCGCCCCCGGCCCGGCCCCGGCCCCGCCCCCGGCCGCCAGTCGCGTCGGCGCCCCGCGCGGTGCCTCTCGGGTAACGTAGTTTGGGCCTGCGCGTTCGCTCTCGGCCATGTTGAGTCTGAAGTTGCAGAGACCCGGGCGAGGGTGGCACAGAAGCAGAGCTGGACGCATAGTTACGGTGTAACTTGTACTATTTGGCGCCACATCAAAAGTTTATTTTTAGAACTGGGTCATGCTGGAGGAGTTCTTACCTGGAAGGGAGGCCTGGGGCCTAGCAGTGACCCTTGCAGGGCGCGGGACCCGGCACGCATGAGATGCGGCCAACTGCCCCGAGGCCCATGTGAAGCGGCGTGGACGCGCCTTCCTTCCCCGCCTCCCGTCTCCCCCCGGCCCTCCGCGCCCAGGGTGTGCCCCTGAGGTCGCACGACCTGACGTCCAGCGACTCAGCTCCTGCCCTCGTCAAGACGGAGTCACCACGTTCAACTCCGACCCGTCTTTCCTGTGACAGCTCACAACCCACCCAACCACCAATTCCACTGCAATGCCTGGATTTCCGTTCCTAACCTCACCTCAGACTGGAAGCCAAGAACAAAACAATGAGTTATCTGTCATTGCTTCTCCCCAACGTACAGCTGCGGCTCAGGGTCGCTGAGGAAAGGGCCTGCTCGAACTGCTGAAGAAATAATTGCTAACCTAACTGTATGCATGAAATGGTGTCTTTGAAGAAAGACAGAAAAAGAAACTACTTCAGGTCAAAAATGAGAATTTTTATGTAAATTTAACCTGCAGATAACGAAATTCTTATTTAAGGACTTTTTATTTCGGGATGTTGTAAAGTGATCCCAGGTGACAGATCTCCAATGATAGAAGAAATGAGGATCCAAGAGATCGGTGCATCTGTGGATTAAAAAAAAAAAAAGATCATCTGTATAAAACATGAGTAATATTCTGTGGTGAAGTTAGGACGGAATTACCGTGAAAAGCCTCAGTGACATAAATTGAGATGGGACAAACTGATTAATGTTCTAACTCTAAATATTCTGACCCCTCTGGATCAGAGACAAAGTCATGGAAAAATAAACTGCCCAAGTAGATCTCATGGGAACAAGGAAGAATCCTGCCTTCGCTGTGGCTCAGAAATGCCAGCCTCAGCCTCACTCAGCCCTTGAGCACACTAGTGGGAGCTGATCAAGATATCGAAACCTGAGGACAGATTAGGCCCCACCACCCCATGGATGCAGTGGGCTGTCTTTTAAGGACTGAGATGGAGAAGTCATTCCCTGGGGTTCACCCCATTATGCCAGCCATCCAGACACACTGTTAGCGCTGCTTCAGGTTAAAAAGAAGCCTTTAAAAAAACAATGAAGCCTTCTGAGATGTTTAGCTTCACTGCTGCTGGGCCGTCTGCCTGACCCATGGGCTTGGTGAATGGCCCAGCTCCTGTTAACTAGGTTTTGGGGTCACCTAATGCAAACAAGCCTGGCCATTCATTTTCCATCTGGTGAGAATCTGAAATATGGCTGTAGGTCAAGGCCAGCCTGTGCTAGGTACTGGATTGAGAATATGGGCTTGGTTTCATTCATTTGTGATGTCACTTCCTATTTTTTGGCCCCTCATGGTGCCTGGCTGGATATAGGGAGACGAAGAAGAGGCGGCGAGGCATGGGTAGAGGGAAGGTGGGCTGCAGAGGCTTTGTCTACCTTCATGCCTGGAGTGAGAGAGTGAAATGAAGGAGAACATGATTCCCCATGTGGGAGGGAGCGGAGACTTACCCAGTGAGACCAGAAGCCTGTAGGTCTCCAGCATTACTTCCCGATACATGGTCCTCTGGGTCAGGTCCAGTTGCTCCCACTCCTCCCAAGTGAGGGTCAAGGCCAAGTACTTGAAGGTCATTAAGATCTGGAATGTTAAATGGAGACAGTCATTATGGCCTTGGGGCTCTTGCAGGAATCAAGAATCTGCTTGGTCACTGCTAAAGGCGCAGAGACCCGAGGCCTAATCACCAGGCTCATCTAGGGAGCCGAACTCTGAGTAGTACTCAGTGTGGAGGCAGAGGCTGCATTTTGGACACAATGCAATTGTGTAGGAGAGAAAAATCTGTCATAGGGGAAACCACTGGAAAATGACACGAGGTCAGGACAAGTTCACAGGGCTAGGATGGTCGTAGCACCATCTCAGGCCTTCTCTGTCTGTGTTAAAGGGTCCAAAGTGTCAGCTCTGGGCCCAGATTCCCAGGTTTCAATCCAGTCTTTAAAAAACAGGTCTTGTGAGGTGCATGTCTTAGGGAAATAACTTCACTTATTGGAGCTTCAACTTTCTCACAGATTCAATAATGGTTTCCACTTCACTAGTTTATTGTGGAAATTAAAGAGAAAATGTTTCAAAAGCAAGCTCTGGAGTGGATGGATTATATAAAGGACTCCGTGGTGTGTGTGTGTGTGTCTGTGTGTGTTTGGAATTTTTTTTTAATTTAGACTTTAAGACCAGTTCCAGATTTACAGAAAAAAAAAATCAAACAGTTTTCATATTACCACCTCCCACAATTTCCCCTCATCTCCCCCCATATTTACTAGGGTTTTGTTTTTTAAGATTTATTTATTTATGTATACAAGAACTTGGGTACAGGCCAGAGGTGTGGGGGGTGAGAAGATTCACCAGAAACAGGGGAGCAGAACAGGCAGACTGACTGAAATACACTGCTGAGGGGAGCAGTGGGCGAGTCTGGAGAGGTCTGCTGTGCCATGAGGTTAGCTCCCTGGCCAGCTGGGGATCGAACTTGTGCTGCAAAGGCTGCGGATAGCTTCACAGTGCTGTGCTTAACCCTTTGCTCCATCAGGGAGGCCCTTCACTAGGGTTTTAAAATTTTTTTTTAAAAAACTAGAAGGCTATAGAATAACTTTTACATCTCTATGACAGCTATATGGATTGTGGCACAGTTACAGGTTCTGGAATGGCTGCCAATTCATATCCAATCAATGTAAATAATGTCAAAAGGAATCAAGTGAATTGATGTTGACATTTTTGTGGTTTTGTGTGGAGGCCATCTTCACTCAAGTCTCAAGCACAGCAGGACTCACTGCAGTGTTATTTTCTCCTGCAGATGATTTAATGAGACATTCAACAAATCTGTTTCGAGTCAACCAGATAGTTGATTTGTTGCTTGGTGAAAGTCCCTAAGATATTAATATCTTAGCGTGGTACTTGTGTGTTGTTACAATGAATAAACTGACATTGACACATTACTATTAACTAGTTTATTATTCAGCTCATGTTAGCAATTATCTGCTGTCCCTTTCCTGGGTCAGGATGCTGCTCTCAGCTGCGAGTTTCTCAGACCTTGCTTGTTTTGATGCTATTGAAAAATCTGAGGAGCACTGGTCAGGTATACAATAGAATGTCCATCTAGTGGAATTTGCTGTTTTTTCCATGATTATGGGGCTTCCTCCTAGGTTCTGGGCGTGGGGAAGACCACAGAAGCAGAACACCATTCTCATCACAGATGAAGAGTATGTGCTGTCTACGCGATTTACGCGTGACTTGATGTTGGCTTTGATTACTTCACTAAGTGCTGTTTATCTGGGTTCTCCACTGTAAAGTTCTTCTCCCACCATCCATACTGTACTCTTCTTTGCCCACTGGGAGCTCACTCAGTTGGCTCCTGCATTCCTTTGACATGCTCCATTGTGTGGTTTTTTGAGTACTTGCTGAATTTTCTGGCATGACAAAATACCCCAAGCTCATGTTGCCTATTTCTTGCCCTAGACTCAGCCATTTCTCCAGGAATCCTTAGTTCTTTTTATTAGACAACAGTATTGTTACAGGGTGGTCCCCAGGAAAGGGGGAGGTTCCAGGTTCCCTGCCCCACCCAAGGAAGGGTGGAGCTGAGCAGGAAGAGGAGAAGCTGCAGAAGAGACTGAGGAAGGAAGGAAGCAGGATGGAGCCAGGAGACCTGGAGGAGGAGCATGGAGCCTAGAGACACGTGAAGAAACTGCGCTTGTCTTTGGGTTGTGGACTGGGTGACACAGACGTGGGTGAGACCCATGGGGAGGTGACCATGGCAGCTTTTATTTTGATGTTGATTTTGCTCTTTTCCTTCCGGGCTTGTCTGGTTGTTTCTGGCCCTTTTCTGTGGGTCCCCACTGGAAGATGCTTTAGACTTGTGGCAGGCTTTGGGGCCTTGTTCTGGGCCGATCCCATATGGATGGACTTTTACCCACGAGGGGACGGGTAAGTTTGGGTGCTTCATTTAGAAACTAGACTCTTTGCCTTACCTGTATTGTTTCCTAGTTTTATTAAAGTTCCTTCCCATTAAAGTCTCCTATGTTTTGTGTTGATGCGGCTGATGGCAGAACCCATTTAGAATAGGCAGGTTTGTGGGGTTTGGGCTGCCCCTCTCCCTGCCCTATAACAGATTTGGCGTCCAACGTGATTTAGGACAGAGCCATCCGTGGTTAGTCAGCCCCATGGGGAAATTGGCACCCCGTTTTGTATCGGGGTTGCTCTACAACAGTATCACAATCAAGACTTGGGCACTAACTGTGCTCACTGCTACTGATTGTTGTTGCTTCTCGTCTTCCTCAACTGGCAAAACAAAGAAATACAAGTGTATACACTGACTCATATATACCCTCTGTATTTGTTAAATTACACGAGTTCCTATTGAGATCTCCAGCTCTAATCTACGGCCACATGGATCATTCTTGCCCCTCTCCTTGCCGATCTGTAAATTCCTGCTCCCACAGTGAGAAACCCAGCTCCTGCCATCCTCCAGCCATTGCTTAATAGTTCAGTCCGGTACACTGTCAAGCTATTATCAGAATTGTTTATCAACTAGAATAAAGTGCATCTTTCCACTTTAAAGTGCACCTTTACTTTCATAGACTGCATTATTTCCTAAGTTACTTAGGTCAGCATCTTTCCGTCACTCCTAGGAGAGATTGTTTCAGACATTTCTAATGTAGTCGGACACGCTTGTTGAGTCTGCAGTATTTGCTGGGATCCATCACCTAAACTGTCACTTTAATTTGCATGTGGGTTTTGACAAATGCTTAACAGTATCATAGAGAATAGCCTCAGTCATAAAAATCCCCTGTACTTTATACATTCATTCCTCCAAATTTCCCCCAAGACCCTGACAGCCAGTGAATTTTCCATTTCTGTAGTTTTGTCCTTTATTGAATGTCTCACAGCAGGAGTCATACAGTCGCCTTTTGAAATTGGCTTCTTTCACTTAGCAGTTTGCATGTGTGACTCCTCCACACCCTTTGTGCCCGGACAGCACATTTCTTTTGCTCACTGAATCCCACTATATGTACCACAGCTATGTGCCACAACTCCTTTATACAGAATGACTTTCAGTTTGGGGCAATTTGCTTTCAGTTTGGGGCAGTTTGCTTTCATTTTGGGGCAATTATCAATAAAGTTGCAAAAACATTCATGTGCAAGACTTTGGACATAAGTTTTCAACTCAATAGGGTAAAATACAGAAGGGTGATTGCTAGATCATATGGTCAGACTATATTCAACTTTTTAAGAAATTTCCAGATTGTCTTGCAAAGTGACTACATTAGTCTACCAGGCTGCCAATAATTGGGTGGCTTAAAGAAAACTTAATTTTCTCAACAGTTCTAGAGGCTAGAAATCTAAGACAAAAGGTCAGAAAATTGGTTTCTGCTGAGAGAGCTCTTCCTGGTTTGCAGTTGGCCACCTTCTGTGTGCGCATGTGGCCTCCTGCTATGTGTGTCTGCATGTGGGGTGTGTTTGTGTGGGGGGAGCGAAGGGAGAGCTCTGGTATCTCTTCCATTTCTTATATGGACACCAACTCTATTGGATCAGAGTCCCACCTTTTTGTCCTCACTTAATCTAATTAGCTCCTTAAAGACCTTATCTCCAAATACAGTCACATTGGGGGTTAGGACTTTAGTACACGGATTTGGGGGGACCCCTAACAGTTTGAATACCACTTCGCAGTTCCAGCAGCAATGAATGAGAGTTCCTGTTGCTCTACATACTCGCCAGAATTTATTACCAGGTTTTAAAAGTTTTTCATTGAAGAGGTGTGTGTTTAGGGGTATCTCATTAATGTCTTACTGTGTAATTTCTTAAAGAAATATGTATGTCTTTTCTTATGCTTATTTGTCTGATGTGTATCTTTTTGGTAAAGTTTTTGTTCAGACTTTTAGCCCATTTTTCAAGTGGGCTATTTGTTTTCTTCCTCTTGAGTTTAAGTGCTCTTTGCCTCATGTATTTTGATGCTCTGTTGTTAGGCCCATTCACATTAAGAATTGTTTTATCTTCTCAGAGAAGTCACTCCTTTATCATTACACAACGCTTCTCTTTGTCCCTGACAAATTCTCTTGCTCTGAAGTCTGATATTAATATAGTTGCTTCTGCTTTCTTTTGATCAGCGCTAGTGTAGTACAGCTTCTCTGTCCCTTAATATTTAACCTAGCAGTGTCACAGGTAATATATATTTGGGTCTTTTTTAAAATGCATTCTGATAGTTTCTGTCTCCATTTGGTGTTTCTCTGCCATTCACCTTTAAACTAATGATTGATATCGTTGGATAGAGTTATAATTACCTGCTTTTAGCTGTTTTCTATTTGTTGTACTCATTCTTTGTTTCTTTTTATACTTTCCTCCTTCTCTGCTTTTAGGAGAGAATTCTATGCGTCTATTTTGTCTCCTCTCTTAGCATGCCATTGTATTTCTTTAAAACACTTTCTTTAGTGGTTATTCCAGAATGTATAATATATAACTACTAATCTAAGTCACCTTTCAAATTACACTGTGCTCTTCATGGGTCATATGGGTACTTTATAACAGAGTATTTTCATTTCTTCACGTTGTCCTTTACAGTGACTGCTAACATTCATTACACTTATCCATATGCTCTAAATGCCCAACACATTGCTATTATACTTTGAAAAAGGGTTTTTTGTTAGGCTAAAAATAGAAAAAAATAAAACATTTTATCTTACCTTCATTTACTCCATCACTCTTCCCTTCTTTATGGAAGTCTGGTTTGTTTGTTTTTAATTTAATAATTTATTGTGATTTATAACTCCTTTTTTGAATAATTTTTTAAAAGATTTATTTATTTATACAAGAACTGGGGTACAGTCAGAGGCGCAGGAGGGTGAGAGAATTCACCAGAGCCAGAGCAGGGAGCAGAACAGGCAGACTGAGCAAAGACACTGCTGAGGGGAGCAGCGGGTGAGGCAGAAGAGGTCTGCTGTGCCATGGGGGGAGCTCCCTGCCTGGCTGGGAATTGAACCTGTGCTGCAGAGGCTGCGGACAGCTTCGCAGCGCAGCGTTCCACCCACTGTGCTACCGGGAGGCCCGATTTATAGCTCTTTTTAAGAACATCAGTCCATTAAAACATGGAGAACTAAGTATGCAAAAAAAAAGTCTGCAAAACAAAACACACTTTAAGCATGTTTAAGTAGAGAGACTATCTGAAATTTAAAAATTTTCAGTCACTTTATTCTTAGGCTGTGGCAGCCAAGTAGCCCTTAACTTCAGCTGTAATAAGTCTCCAGCTTCATTGCAGATTCCAACTACTATGTTTTCTTCTGTCATTTGCACTTCAAAACCTTCCTTTAGGGTTAAACTGGCTGTGTGAATGGCATCTTCAAGTTCCAGATCTTCATTTTATCTTTTCTCAAGGAAAGTTTTCCCTTTCACACAGTTCTTTCCCATGGCTGTGGCCTTCTAGGCAAAGTAAGATCCAGATGGATCTGACTGAAATAAAAGGGTGTCCTGTCATCCTGACCACAAACAAGAAACACCAAATGGATGAACACCACCTAACTGGGTGTATTCTTGTATCACAGAAGCTACTCTCTGTACCAGATGAGGGGTGGGAATGTGTCCTTGGTGAACAAGGTAGTGCTGCTGAGCTGGTTCTCAGGCTCTATAAACAGCACTCTGCAGTGTGGGCCCAAGCTACTATTCACCAAAGCAATATTCTTGGTCATTGGTTCCACTTTGTATATACTTTGTTTATCATATAGAATAGATGTTTCTTCTCAGCTCCTAAAACCACACCATTTGAGCTTTAATTACCACTGAAGGTGCTCTTAAGATATAGCAGCCAATGCATATTCAACCTGGACGTGTTTACCAGGTGGGTAGAAGGTAGTCAGTGAAATGTGCTCTGTTATCTTCACACAGCAGGCCACGAAGTCTGAATTTCTCATCTATATCATTACCCTTTTTTAAAAATATTTTTTGCAAAGCAGGTTCCTTCAGATTTTATTTATCTAAGCCTTTATTCCCCCTTCAATTTGAAATAGATTTATTTATGCATACAAGAACTGGGGTACAGGCCAGAGGTGTGGGGGGTGAGAAGATTCACTAGAGACAGAGTGGGGAGCAGAACAGGCAGATCTATTGAAATATACTGCTGAGGGGAGCAGCGGGTAAGATAGGAGAGGTCTGCTGTGCCATATGTGGGTCACCTCCCTGGCCAGGGATCAAATTCAGGCAGTAGCAGTGATAGTGCTGAGAACTTAACCCCTAGGCCACCAGGGAGGACCTCTTCTGATTTCTTTCAATGTCTTCTTTTCTTAGATTTTTGCAGATTGAGTAGGATATGCCTAGGTATAGATTTTTTGATAACTTCTTGTGCTTGGTATTCTTTTTATTTATTTATTTATACAAGCACTGGGTACAGTCAGAAGCGCCGGAGGGTGAGAGAATTCACCAGAGCCAGAGCGGGGAGCAGAGCAGGCAGAGTGACGAAATACACTGCTGAGGGGAGCAGCGGGCGGCAGGAGAGGTCTGCATGCCATGTGGGACCCTTGCCAGCGGCCGGGGATCGAACCGGTGCTGCAGAGGCTGCGGGTAGCTTCGCAGCCCAGCGCTCAACCGCTGCGCCACCAGGGGAGGCCCATTGTGCTTGGTATTCTGAGGTTCTTGGATCTTTGGTTTATGCATGTCATTAATTTTGGAAAATTCTTAGCCACTTAAAATATTTCTTCTGTTCCTCTTTTTTCCTTCTGGTATTCCTACTTTATGTCTGTTACCTCTTTTGTAATTGCCCCACAGGTCTTGGATATTCTCCTCTGTGTTTTCTGCTCTTTATTTTCAGTCATTGTGGACATTCTCTATGTATAAGTTAAGTCTTCTATGCTTATTTGCTGGTGCTGAAATGAGGTAAACTATCAACTGAAGGCCCTCCCATATTACTACGCTCATAAGGTCTCTTTGCATTGAGGACATTGTGGTTCAGAATGAGGCTAGATTTGTGGGTTAAGATTTTCTTAATTTAGTGCACTTATACCATCTCTGAGTGAACATTTGGTGCTAAATCAGAGAAAACTTCTAACTGAAGGTGTTCCCACAGTCACAACATTTGTAACACCTTTCTCCAGTGTGGATTTTTTCCTATCCTGCTGCACAGGATAGGCCTTTGGCTAAAGGTTTCTCCCACTAACTTCAGACAAGTTTTTAGTGGTAAATCAGAGCCGACCTTAAACTGAAAGCTTTTCCACATTTGCTGCACTTCATGAGTCCTTTCTCTTGTGTGAGATCTTTGGGGCTGAATAAGGTAGGTGCTTTTGCTAAAGAATCCCCCACATTCCTAATCTCCTAAACTTTACTCCAACAGGAACTCTCATATTTAACGAGGCTGGAGCTTTCTCTAAAGGCTTTCCCACACCCCTTGCATTCAGAAGGCCTTTCTCCAGTATGAATTCTCTTTTGTACAATAAGTCTGGAATTTTGATTACAGAATTTCCCACATTCGCTGAACTTTCAAGACCTTGACCTATTAGGAACTCTCTGGTGTTGAATGAGGCTAGAATTACAGTTAAAGAATTTCCCACATTTTTTGCATTCATGAGATTCTTCAGTGTGAATTCCCTGGTGTTCAGCAGGCTGAAGCTTTGAGGATAGTCTCTCCCATATTCACTGCACTGATAAAGCCTTTCTCCGGTGCGAATTCACTGGCAAGGATGGGTGTGTGTTTTAGGCAGAACTCATGGTCCTTTCTGTAGTATGCACTCTGCTGCTGGGTGGGTGTTTGTGTTGGAAGGCTTCCCTGCATTCGTCACACTTCTGATGGCTGTTTCCTACGGTGAATGGCTGCCCCACACCAGTGGGCCATGCAGTTTGCAGCCCTGAACACACAAGGCCTCGGCCACATCTCTTCTGAAGGGTTCTCTCCACTGTGCTGCGTTATAAATGTTCCTATGAAAGAGTTGTCTCCCACATGCCCCATGTTTGGTTTCTGCCTGGTATGTGTTCCCCTGTCCTTGACTTTCAAAACTGAGATACGTCTCACACAGCAGGCTTTCTGGGGAAAGGGACCTGCGTGGGGAGTCCTGACCTGTGATATGTCTTCTATAGGAACATTCTGCTCAAAAGGTGCCTTCTCTTCTTCCACTCCATGCAAATAACCTAAAAGTAAAGAAATGCAAGTGAAGGGCATGCTGACTTTGGTGGAAAGGGCAACCCCATCACAGATGTACATCTGCTGTACCAATAAATGCGTCCACAAGATTGCTATCAGGAGGCGGGAGTTGGGTCAGGCTGAGGAAGCAGTTGCTATGTGGTAATGTTCCTCTGAAAGTCACAGTGTGGGGGAATGAAGGACACAGGGTAGGCCAAGGCCAAGGCCAAGGCCAGGAGAATGGCACGCGGCGCAGGGAAGAGAGCCAGGGCCTACGACTCACGCCAAACGGCTTCTAGCAGCTGCTTGCTGATGACACGTGAGCCCTGCACAGAGAGTGTGTTAAGGTCCAAGAGAGCCCAGGTGCGTCGGAGCAGTTCATGGTCAAAGACCACTTAAAGATACGCGCACATCTCACAGCGACGTATGGGGGCGCGTGATCCGACATGAGTGGGCAACACGTGAGAGAGAGCAGTGGGGAAGAAAGGGTGACGTGTGGAATTCTGACAGCTGAGGATTTGCCCTGACAGAGTTTGACAGAATAGAAACGACAAGTTGGTGAAGTGTGAAAAATGGGGAAGAGAAGGTAGAAATGAGGTGTGGCCACTGGCACTGGCCCCAAAACAAGAGTGGCGACAGGACAGACTCACGGTCTGACTCGAACTCACCCTGATGTTGTGTTCCCCTCCCACCTGCTGCTCAGCAGGGCCAGGACCCCTCAGACTGGAGTCCTGTCCCCCGACCCCTGCAGTTCCCACAGCGCTCTCCCTCCCCTCAGCTGAACACAGCACCTGGGGGTGCAGGTGCTAAGGAAGTGGGGACTGCTGCCCAGAGCAATTTGGAGCAGCGGGCTGGGGAAAGAAAACAAAGTATTCCACAAAACCTCACGGGAGGACCTTGCAAGAATAAGCCATGGCCACATACACAGCGACCCGTCAGCGACTGAGTTCCCAGCTGGGGCAGAGACACAGGTTTGCGAGCTGGGGAAGGGAGCAGAATCTGGGTGGAGGTTGCCTGGTCAGAGAGAGGGAAACAGGGTGGGGTCCTTGGAGTGAAGACTTGGCCCCCTTCCTGGCAGGAGCTGGGGCTGTGTGGGAAGAGGGCAAGAGTGGAACAGCTCAGCCTGAGCAACAAGAACACCCACACAGGGAGCCAGGGGAGGGAGCAGCACTTAAGAGAAGGGTCTGTCCTGGGAAGGGAAAGGCAGGCCCCGAGTCAGGCCTGGGCAGGTGTGAGAGGCTTACCTAGGGAGGACACCAGGGCGAAGTTCTCCAGCATCACATCAAAGTACAGCAGTTTCTGCGCCTCGTCAAGAAGAGCCCACTCCTCCCAGGAGAAGTACACGGCCACGTCCTGGAAGGTCACTTGGCCCTACCACCGAGAGGGGACATGAAACAATGAGCAGGCTCCAGGGACCCCCAGATCACTTCCCTGTAGATGCAACTCATGCTCACTCTTCTCCCAACGCCCATAAACTAGATAAGGTGTCAGATCCTGGTGCCATGTGCGCCTGGTCCCTCCTTATGGCTCAATTAATTTCTGTGTCTGACAGCAGGCAGGTGGGCACATGGGTGCCATATAAGCTCTGGCCCCCAGGCAAGGCTTCACCTCTTCTGCCAGGCATTTCCCAGGAAGTTCTCCAGATGGTGTTTCCCCGAAACACATTTGGGCCCATCCTTCGCCTGAAAGTCCCTAGTACGTGGGTACTGGCGACATCCGTTCACATTCCCTCTGTGTGTACATTGCTCTTTATTTTATTTTTAAGATTTATTTATTTATACAAGCACTGGGTACAGTCAGAAGCATGGGAGGGTGAGAGGATTCACCAGAGCCAGAGTAGGGAACAGAACAGGCAGACTGATGAAATACACTGCTGAGGGGAGCAGCAGGCGCGGCGGGAGAGGTCTGTCGCGCCATGTGGGACCCTCGCCGTTGGCCGGGGATCGAACTGGCGCTGCAGAGGCTGTGGGCAGCTTCGCAGCCCAGCACTCAACCACTGCGCCACCAGGGGAGGCCCTGTACATTGCTCTTTAGACAGCACCTCTCTCATATCCCTACACCAGGGGCCCCACAGCGCCTCCCTGCCCCACGCCACTCCCTGGTTTCCCTGCTGCTGCTCACCACATGGCTCATGACTGGGCTTGGCAAATGCAAACAGGATCCTCACTGCCAACGGCCCACTGCCTGTTGCGGGGGCAGCCTGACCCTTGCTACGAAAGCCTCACTGTCTGCTCTGTTGCTTCTGTCAACTTCAGCCTTTCAGAACTACCTATGAACTTTCGCTCCCGCCGGTCCTCTTCTGTTTCACTTGCTGTTCCCTCTTTAGTCACACCCTTCCTCTACCCGCCTAATCATCGTCCCAAGCCCAACTCCCTGCTGTATTGTTTTTTTTTTTAAAGATTTATTTATTTATGCATACAAGAACTGGGGAATAGGCCAAAGGTGAGAGGGTGAGGGGATTCACCAGAGACAGAGCAGGGAGCAGAACAGGCAGATCAACTGAAATACACTGCTGAGGGGAGCAGTGGGCGAGACAGGAGAGGTCTGCTGTGCCATGTGGGTAGCTCCCTGGCCGGGGATCCAACTCGTGCTGTAGTGGCTGTGGACAGCTTCACAGATTTCGTCTTAACCCCTTGCGCCACCAGGGAAGCCCTCCCTGCAGCATTATTTACAACAGCTAAGACAGGGAAGCAGCCGAGATGCCCATTGACGGTGGATTGGGTAAAGATGTGGCATTTATGCATGATGGAGTTCTACTTGACTGTAATATAAGGGAAGATGGACGGACCTCAGTGGGATTATGTGAAGCTAAACTAGTCAGAGAGATAAAGACAAATAAATACTGGTTATTTCACCAATTTGTGCAATATAGGGAAAGAAAGCAGATGAACAGACAAAACACAACAGAAATAACTAGTAGACACTGATAACTGAATTGAGGCTACCAGAGGTCAAGAGCATAGGGGGTGGTAATAAGGGTGGGAGGTATTATAAATGGTCATGGGTATTTAGTTTTATTTTTTAAAAAAAGCCAACCCTGGTCTCCCCTCCTGTGGTTCTCTGAATGCTCTCAGTTCAGGTTCAACCTCAAGTATTTGTGCATCTTGATACTTGTGCCTGGAATAACCTCCCTCACCTCTTTTCATTGGTTGTTAGACACAGGAACCCTTTCATGTAAACCCTAACCCAGAATAAGGTCCTTGGATAGAGTTTCTTTTTTGTTTTTTTTTTTTAAGATTTATTTTATTTATTAATGCATACAAGAACTAGGGTGCAGGCTAGAGGTGTGTGGACCGAGAGGATTCACCAGAGACAGAGTGGGGAGCAGTTCAGGTTGATGTGCTGAAATACACTGCTTAGGTGAGCAGCGGGCAAGACAGAAGAGGTCTGCTGCGTCATGTGGGTCACCTCCCTGGCCGGGGATCGAACTCGTGCTGCAGTGGCTGGTGATAACTTGATAGTACTGAGACTTAACTCCTTGCGCCACCAGGGAGGCCCTGGATGGGAGTTTCTTAATCCCAGGCCAAAGGGTTAGGAGAGAGAGGCTGAGTCCCAGAGCATCACAATCCCAGAGGCCATTTGTGTGTATGGGATCGGGGGAGTTGTGGCTAGTCAGGTCCTACTCACCTGTGTAGGATCCTTAAGTGCTCCTGAAGCCATGGAACCTGTGGGAAGAGGGGGGCCATGAGAACCAGGGAAGGGCACCGTGATCGCAGGACTCCCTTGCATCTTTCCTGGTCTGGAACCGGGTGACCTTGGGCTGACTGTACAACCTCACTACTCCAGTCCTCAGTACTGCCTCTTATCAGCTGTGAGTCTTTGGACAAGGACTCACCCTCCCTGTGCCTCACTTTGTATATCACCCTTTTCATTTTGTTCTTTTTTCTTTAAAAAAGATTTATTTATGCATACAAGAGCTGGGGTACAGGCCAGAGATGCGGGGGGTGAGAGGATCCACCAGAGACAGAGTGGGAAACAGAACAGGCAGACCGACTGAAATACACTGCTGAGGGGAGCAGCAGGTGAGTCAGGAAAGGTCTGCTGCGCCATGTGGGTAGCTCCCTGGCTGGCCGGGGATCAAACTCGTGCTGCAGAGGCTGTGGATTGCTTCATAGTGCTGTGCTTAACCCCTTGCACCACCAGGGAGTCCCTTCATTTTGTTCTTTCACTGAGCATCTTAAAAACCCCCCAAAACCTTTCTCTGTTCACAAGCCTCCCTGGATCCCAGCACCATTCGAAGGCAGATCCGGGGGCACCTACCTGCCATGTCAGGCACGACTCCCCTTCACACACTGTTCCATGCAAATAGCATGGACCGCAGGCTCCTGGGAGAGCCGCCCCCCCCCCCAAGGCCTTGTACCTGCTGATTTCTGCCGTAGCACCCGCCACACTTCCTCACATTGCTTTCAGAAATGGGGCATCACCCAGGTGCACCCTCCTTCCCCCTCTGGACACTAAGGCCTCGGTTGTAGTGATCAGAACAGTTTCCCCTAATTTAGGGCTTTAGGAGACAAAAATCGGACGGGAGACAGGCAGGAGAGGGCTCGAAGGACTAAGCACCACCCCAGGCCTACTGGTGTGGCCAGTGTGGCCGCTGACTCGGAGTCTGTGGGTGGCCAGTGACAGGAGCTCTCGCCACGCGCCTGCAGCCCGGTCCTGAGGTGGGATCGGCCCCGTCCTGAGGTGGGATCGGCCCCGTCCTGAGGTGGGATCACCCCAGACGGTGCGCCTCCGAACCTCAGACTCACCCAGGTGTGGTGAGCACAGCGCTTCCTCCTGGGCTGCCTGTCTTGGGGTGTCTCAGGTCCGACCCTGCTCCCTGAAGGGATCAGCCCCGAAGTAGCCCGAAGGACCGCCGCCACGTGAGACCGGAGGTCCCGCCTCTGTCTTTCGCGCCAAATGCAAACCGTGTCTCTCCTGCGCCTTCATTGGGTCAGGGCGCTGCCACTCGGCGCGGAGCATTCTGGGTAGGGCTGCAGCAGCCTCACGCGCAGCGCATGCGGAGGAGGAGGAGGGTGCCCCACCCTCCCCCCACTCTGGCCCCGTGCTGGGGGAGTCACCCAGGTTGTTTGGCATTGTTGCCCCGGATTGCACAGCAGAGTGTTGATACATATTACTTCAGGCCCCCTGGAGCGCAGCACGGGGCCCAGGGGCCAGAGGTGATTTCTCGTGCTCCTGAAGGCTGCGTTCCCTCGTGTCACTGAGCGAAAGGGCGGCCGCTCCTCCTTGGAAACTATTATTTTTAAAGATTTATTTATTTATGCATGCAAGAATGGGGGTTCAGGCCAGAGTTGCGGGGGTGAGAGGATTCGCCAGAGACAGAGCGGGGAACAGAACAGGCAGACTGACTGAAATACACTGCTGAGGGGAGCAGCGGGCAAGACAGGAGAGGTCTGCTTGCCGTGTGGGTAGCTCCCTGACCAGGGATCGAACTCGTGCTGCAGTGGCTGCTGTCGGCCTCATAGGTTGCGTCTTAACCCCTTGCGCCACAAGGAGGCCCCAACAGTTGCTCTTCAAATGAATGTAACCTCAACAGTCAGTCGGTTTTGTGAATTTTAGTATGTTCTGTGCTGAGACAGAGAAAAAAGCCTCCAAGAGAAGGTCACGGCAAGGCAGGCAGAAGGGGGACATTGGCTGCCCTGGAGCAAGCAGACAAGGGTGGCGCTTTGCCCCCAGTTCCCACCAAAATAAAATCCTTCCTGCAAACGTTGCCGGCGGTGATTGCGTTCAATGCAGCGAGCACCACTCTTTCATCCACATGGGATTTCTTATTCCATGTGCTGATGAGATATACTCCTTTCAGGAATCTTGACTTCCGAGTGCTGTGGAGGGATAGGACGGTGGCTGCCACCTTCAGGGTTGGGGTTTGTGTACCCTGGAGGCCTATGAACCCTGAGATGAAGCTTTTGAAAGCTGCGATGTCATCTCCTTGTGGAGATTATTTGGCCTATGGTTGTGTGGACAGTCTCTGCACCGCCAGCAGTGACTATCTTAGAAAATAGTCGTGTTTTGTATGCACTTGGAAACATATGAGGGAAAATGTAACAAACTAAAGGATACTGTACAAATTATCATTATTAGAGATGTTAATGCTTCTTACTGTTTTTTTTTTAAAGATTGATTTATTTATGCATGCAAGAGCTGGGGTACAGGCCAGAGGTGTATGTGTGCGTGAGTGTGTGTGTGTGTGTGTGTGTGAGAGAGAGAGAGAGAGAGAGGATTCACCAGAGACAGAGTGGGGAGCAGAACAGGCAGATCTACTGATATACACTGCTGAGGGGAGCAGCGGGTGAGACAGGAGAGGTCTGCTACACCATGTGGGTAGCTCCCTGGCCAGCAGGGGATGGAACTTATGCTGCAGTGGCTGTGGACAGCTTCAAAGTGCTGTGCTTAACCCCTTGTGCCACCTGGGAGGCCCAATACTTCTAATTGTTCGAGCAAGTAGAGGAAAAAAAAAAATATCCAAACCAACCCAAGTGTACAAAAAGATTTATGTACATCTGTTGATTTAATGGCATCTGTTAAACACCATATCAAACATTAGCTGAACACACATTCTTTTTCAAGTGAACATAGAATGTTCATGAAGCTACACATATTTTGGGTCAAAAATAAGTCACAACAAATTTCAAAATGTTAAAAACGTAGTGTTTTATCGGAATACAATGGAATTGAAGTAGAAATCAATAAGATGTCTACAAAGCTTTTAAATATTTAGAAATAAAGCAAATCATCCTTTGACATAACCAATGGGTCAAAGAAGAAATAACAAGGGAAGTTAGAAAACAGCTTGAACTGAATTACAAAGGGAAAAATTGTGTAAATAGTCAAAACAGCCATCAGGGGATTTTGCAGCATTAACTGGTTGTATTAAAAAATAAGAACAGAAATGATTTATTTTTCCATCCTAAAAATAAATAGAAAGCAAGTTAAATCCAAATTTAAGGACTACTGGTGCTTTGGTGGTGGATGTGGTGTGGTAACATACATCTGAAGAGGTAGCGCCTCTATATGTAAATCATATACAGTGAGGTAAACAATTACCACCATAAAAAATAATACAATTACTAAAAAGTGAAAATAACTGGAAGAGTAGAAATAGAAAATATATAGTAGAGGAAATGTACAAAACCAAAACTTGATTTTTTTAAAGATTTATTTATGCAGACAACAACTGGGGTACAGGCCAGAGGTGCAGGGGGAGAGAGGATTCACCAGAGACAGAGCAGGGGGAAGAACAGGCAGATCTACCGAAATATACTCTGAGGGGTGCAGCGGGCGAGACAGGAGAGGTCTGCTGCGCCATGTGGGTAGCTCCCTGGCTGGGGATTAAATTCGTGCTGCATAGGCTGCGGATAGCTTCATAGTGCTGTGCTTAACCCCTCGTGCTACCAGGGAGGCCCCCAAAACTTGATTTACAAAAGACTCTTGGTTCTGCCTGCCTTCAGCAAGTACCCAGGGTTCCCACTCAGACAGCTTTCCTGGTGGGACATATTACTCAATTAATCTCTGTTCTCCCTCTTCTCATTTCCCTTGTAAATAAATCTTTATTAACCTTAAAAATTAAAAAGTGGAAAATGTCAACTAATATTAATGGAGATATAATAAAGACAATTCAAATTACCAATAGCGGTGGGAGTGGGGGGTGTGGGCGCTGTACAGACCTGGCAGGCCTTAGAAGGATAATAAGGAAGACACTTGTAGGTCCAAACAATTTCCCCAGTGCATTTTATTAAGCATAGAAGGAAGGTGCTTTAACAGTGGCAAAGACACTCTTAGAAAAGAGACAGTAGTGCTTTTCCTAATTCACCCTGCCCCAGTGCTAGGCTCTGCTCCTGCACGGTTCCAGGGCAGAACTTTATCCTGTGCAAGGAAAACCAGAAACATTTCATTTCACACACCACCGAGCAGAGCACACCCTTCTGCCAATTGTGTTCTAGGTGGAATCATTTTCAGGAGCTGCTGCTCCTCAAAAGCTCAAACCACAGACCTGGCCAAAGCCAACTTGGAGGTGCCCCAGGAAGAGGTGCATGCTTGTTGAACTGCAACCCAGAGGTTCACCTGCAACCAGGTGCAGGAATTCCAGAGACTGAGGAAGGGCACTGAGTCCCACTCCAGGCTGGACAAGGAAAGCCTGGCCTAGGAAGAGTGTCTCCCAATCATATACTACCCTACCAGGGGCAGAGAGAAAACACGCTGCTCTTCATGAACAGTTTTTAAAGAAAACTCACCCCTGCATCCCCACCCGCCGTTCTCTCTCCCCAGTCCACCCTGATGAGGTGTCAGCCCCCCTTCAGCCCACCGCGATCCCCCTCACTCCCACCAGTACCTCTGTCATCACAGTCCCCATGACATCCACGGAGCAAGGCAGCACATCTGCAGGCTTGTCCTCCCAGCTGGCTTTGGAATCGAATGTGACCAACATGGGCGCCACGTCCCCTTCACAGATTGTCATCTCCAGGTCTCCCTTGGGGCCTAGTGTCTGCTCTCCCTAACACCCCCCCCCACCTTGACCAGGCCTATCCCATGTAGAACACTTTTCAGTCTCTACCAGGAGCCATACTCCAGCTTTGAACTTTTCTCTGAGACCAGGAGCCACCCCCCAGTCACATTTGGAGCCCCTCATAGGCAGCTTGGGAGTTACTCTCCCCAGGGCACCCCCCATCTAGCTAGAGTGTCCATCACTGCTCTTGGTTACCTGCATCCCTGCTGCCAGGACCTTAGCCACCTGCACACGAAAACCTAAGTCAGACTCTGATGAAAAGATGTGGCTACAAGTCCTCTTCCCCAGGCTCCTCCTGGCGTGGCTGATTGCACGTCCCCTTTGGGCTGATTGCACATCCCCTTTGGTACCAGCCCCAGGCTTCAGCTCTGCAGCAGCCCAGAAACCCAGTGGGAGCACAGGTCAGTCAGTGTTTGCACACCAGCTCTCCCGTTCTGCCTTTGGCAGCTCTGTCAGGAACCCAGGCAGCCTGCAGTGGCACCTCAGCTATGGCCTCTTGCCTGGAACTGTTACCAGGATATCCGACACTAGACACGGTTCATCTTTTGCTCACACCTCCCTAGACCCATTTCTTTCATGGGATCTGCAGCTCAATGACGTCGGAGTGTCACCCCAAACCCCTGCTCCATGTTTGAAGCACTCAGCTTTAGGGCAGGTGGAGGATGACACCCCCTGGCACCTTAGCGTCTCATGTTGGGAGACGCTTAGCCCTGAACACCAGGGACTTGCCAGCCTGTCACCCCCATCACGCCTGGAGAGGCAGGTGTTACGGGGAGCAAAACTCTCTTGGGAGACGCTCTTCTCACTAAGGTTGGATCACCTGGGGCCTGCCCAGACAAAGCGCACCTGTTACTACTGGCAGCGATAGCATCACGGGGAAAGTCATGTGACGTCAACTGCCTGGGAAGAGCCAATTCCCCACCTGGGTTATAGGGGGCCACCGTGTCCCCAACAGTGATCAGAACCCTTGAGTCCTGCGTGTCCAAACACAAGTGTCACAATGGACGGGCCGGGACTGTGACTATGATAGAGAGTCTTCTCTTACCTCTGGCCAGGGCAGGTATCTATCTGGTCAGAAAAACCCTGTTACTATTGGAGAAGCCTGCACCCCTGAGAAACACGTGCCCGAGAGGCTCCCGGCAGACATCGCGGAGCACGTCTGTTGCTGTTTGAGGGGCTAGTACTGTATCTGTGTTTGAAGAAACTACTGTTCATGACAGTCAGAGCATCCAGAGGCCATGAGTCCAGGGTGCAGGTGGTGCGACGGAGAAGACATCATGTGTGTGTTTCCAGAGACTTCTATTCCCACCATCATTGAGAGTAGCTGGGGAGCTCGTGGCCAGAGCACATCTGTAGCAGTCAGATGGGACAACATGCCATGCCTATAGGAAGATGCTTCCAGCCTGGCTTCCAGTCAGCACACCTGAGGCCTACCCAGCAAGGGCCCCCCAGTTTGACTTTGTAAGAGTGACACCACTGAGAAAACACTTGTGCTTCAGGCACTTTTCCACCTACCATTGATCACATTAAATGTGCCTCTTTGGTGGGTTCAGTGAGCAGCAGCCCTGCCTTTGGGGGTTGCTTGTCTCCTGCCCAGGGATCCTTTGGGGGCAGAAGTAGGGGGGCACCAATCTATTTACTTGCTTCTCATGCAAGAAGTAGGATCTCAGCAACTAGGAAGCAAAGTCTCCCTCTAGAAATGGGTGCCACTGTCCCCCAGGAATGAACGGGGGGCAGTGTTTGGCTGGTAATAGACCCAGCCCCTTTTCATTATATCAAGCAACTTAACCTATCCTTTGTTCTCCTACTGCAGCCTGGAGGCCCCAAGTCTCAAGGTGTTTGTGTATGTATCGAAGGTTCTGATTTCAGAGGAGGCTGGTCAGCAATGAACATACTGGCTTGGGAAGTTCCTCTGTGGAGAGAAGAAAGATATGCATCAGCCACGCTGCCCCCTCTTTTAACTGTTAGTCTGGACGACTCCAGCGCTGGCCAGTTCCCTCTGGTGTTGGAACTGGTAGGCTAAGCCTCAGACCCAGAGCTGACCCCTTCCTCTTATCTGTTGGCCTCAGTGGGCCCTTACCTTTCTTTCCCAGGTAAATATGACACATATGTATGTATGTGGTACTATCTGACAGTACAGGGATGTCTGACAACAGGTGTAAAAATATGTATGTCCATATACACATAAATTCACGCACAGCATCGAGATGGACGAGGACAGAGAGGGACATTTATTCATTGTTCTTTTCCATCATTCCCCTCCTCATGTATTTTGCTCTTTAACCCTTTGCACTCCAAACCATTCTGGACATTGGCTACCAGGTACTCGACGCTACTTTGCGGCGGAAACGTGCATTTGCAGACCCTCGTATTATTTAGTATAATTTTGGAACCAAGTAACGTATTATAATGATATTGGACTTATATGAATTGGGTGACCTCGAGGAATGTATATTTGCAAAAAAACCAATATTTTATTGTTTATAATTTTGTACAGTATGATAAGTTTTGTAACACTCCCCAATATGCACTGCAGGCTGATTAGTGCATGTTTGACAGGTTTGTATAGAGGTCGATCTGGAGCTCATCTTCACTACTACTTGTGTCATGAGACTCATTCGTGGTTGGACGCTTTGCCATTGTTCTAATAAAAAATATGAATAAATGCGTGGGTTGAAAATTTCTAATTGTTATTACTAACTGACAAGATGATATTTACCAAAATAGCTTTCACCGAACAATTTATTCACTAAGAAAAGAATCACTTTTCTGATTTTCTCCTCGTTAGATCTATGTGCACTGCTCGAAGCTTCAAACCAAAATGAGCTCAGCTTTGAAAATCTTTGCCTCCAGATGTAGACTTGTTTATTTGTAATTATGTATCTCACTATACAGTGCGCTATGTTCGAAAACCGACCTTTCTTCTACAAACTCCCCTTATCGCTCTTTTCAAGTGGCGTCACGAAGTGCTCGGACCGTCGTGAGCACGCATCTCACGTTCTCGTCCGACACAAAATCCGCTGACATTTCTTGTATATATCTTAGTAATTTTACGATATTTGGATTTAATTTCTTGTGCCATTTCAAGATAAAACTTCAGGGAAACATGCATGTCTCAAAAAGTTGCATTGAAATAACCTCAATTCCCTGTAATCACTAATAAATTGCAGTGTCCCCTGAGAGGGGACATCCGAGTGATATGCTAGAATTCCGATGTCCCCTGAGAGGGGACAGCGGAGTGCAAAGGGTTAACACAGTGGTGGAGGAAGAACTGACTCTAAGAGTGGCGATGTGTTGAGTTAAACTTAACTGTGCAAAGTTTCTGCGGCCCAGGGACTGGGAGGGCCAGGTAGCCCCACTTTGAGAGAGCAGGCCTGTGTTTTGAGTGTAAGGGACAGTAGCCCAGGAGGAAGTGAGGTGCAAGGGAGAGGGATTGGGGGGGGATGTACCCTTGCCTCTTCTTGCTGTGCTTCTTCCCTGCCTTCTGACCTCCCTGTACACCAGCTCACCCCTGCAGACCACACTCTACAGTTTTAGTCTTTAAAAAAATGGTTCGGCACCTTTTTTGTTTAATTTGGCTTTACGCAAATCCTTCGAATTTTGTCCAGCAAAATTTACCATCATCAGTAACCGGAAAAGGATTTCCATGGTCACTTTCAATATTTTACTGGATGTCATATAGCAGCGGAGAAGGTAGGAAGGATTCTTAAAAGGCTTACAGATTAAAAAGGAAGGTAAAGAGCCTTTAGGCAGAGAAAATGTGATTGTGTGTATGCCAAACCCAATGGAATCTTCGAGGAAGCTATAAGGAGCAAAGAATGCAGCATTTCCAGTGTGAAGGTCCATATATAACAAACAACTGTTTCTTTTTCCTCTGGACTACCATATACACATGTATATATGTGCATCCTATAATCTGTGCATGTGTGTCTATTCATACGTACACACGTCATCATCCTCATGGATTAGACAAGTTAACACTGGTAAATTGTCAGTTTTGGCCAGGCCTTGAAATATGCCTATGGCGGGCCTCCCTGGTGGCACAGCGGTTGAGCACTGGGTTGCGAAGCTGCCTGCAGCCTCTGCAGCACCAGTTCGATCCCTGGCTGCTCCCCGGCCACAGGAGGAGGGTCCCACATGGTGTGCACACCTCTCCTGCTGCCCGCTGCTCCCCTCAGCAGTGTACTTCGTCAGTCTGCCTGCTCTGCTCCCCGCTCTGGCTCTGGTGAATTCTCTCACCCTCCTGTGCTTCTGACTGTACCCAGTGCTTGTATAAATAAATAAACCAATCTTAAAAAAAAAAGAAAGAAATATGCCTATGGCATTTTTGTAAATGATATCGGTCCCTTGGGTGAGGCTTTTGAGCCAGAGTAGATCTTTCACCTACCTGATGTGTGTCCCTGTTCTGGTATCCAGGAGAAGGGCGCTCACAGACAGCTGCATGGGCCGCTGGAAGTCTTAATCAGAAAAGCAATGCTTGATGAGGCCTGGCAGACAAGTATTGGTCTCTGCAAATGTAAAGGTCTAGGAAAGAAAAATAAAAGGCACGCGAGTTAAAGCAGAAGTAAAACTAGCTTTATGTATAGAAACAAGAGTTGTAGAAAATATGAGTGTAATGTATAGGAAAACCAATGGAATCTACAAAGAAACTACAAGAAGTGAGGTGACTTTAGCAAGGTGCCAGAGCACCCCTAGTTGCTGGGGTGGGGGAAGGGCTGAGCTACCTGGCGAGGACAGCTCCAGGTAGCTCTGTGCTTGCTTGTCTGCAAGGCTCAATTCGAGGGGAAACTGACAGCAGAAATACGGTCCCTCCCTGCTTCTTCTGAGGAGACTGAGGCCTTGTTGAACCCAATTGGACTTCCCAGTAGGTGGTGCACACACCCCATTGGGGTGTGCTGTGGTGTACGTACCCTACAGACTGTAAAGTGGTAATATACGAAGTGCACTTGGTAAGGAGACACTGTAGTCTGAAGTGTTAAAAACACGATCTACAGAATCAGCTTGGGTCAAATTCTGGCAGGGCCAACGCCTCTGTGTTTAAAGAAAGTTTGGGACCTAAATGCAGGTTTACCAAATTTACAAAAATAAGTGAAGGGAACCTGCCTACCAGGGAGGGATGATGTGGGGTGCACCAGTGGGGCAGGCCAGAATACCTGGTGCCTCAGAGACCTGGGCAGCCCGGTGGGTGACAGGCCAGTGTGGTGCCTTTGGGGGGGCCACACAGGTGCTGGGCTTTGGAGAAGTGCAATGGAGGGCCTTGGTGTCCCCAGGCCTGAGCTTGCTGCAGACAGCAGGGGTGAGAGTATGGGGGTGTTAGTGTAAATTGGTGTCCTCTTTGGGGGTGACAAGAGGAGAGAGGCTGGGGTTCTTGCCTCCAGTGCTGCTCTGTCATTGTCTGTTCTCACCTTAGCCCTTACCTCGGCCTCGCTGGCGGCCAGGCCACTCAGTCACCCTGGGATGCGGCACAGGCCTCCACCCCTCCCTTCTCTGATCTCCGCATCCAGCCCCTCAGGCGGTCTGATCCTCGCTGCAGGATTAGCAGCTGCGCTGCTGCTCGGGTATTCTGGTTCTGCTCAGGCTCTGCTCTCCAGGGACCCCCGAGGGAAAGAGCTGGGGGGCCCACCGGCACGCGTTACCATGCTTCCGCCCGGAGTCAGGCGCAGGGAAGGCTGAGACCCCACCCCGCGAAGGTCCCAGAACTGCTGGTGTGAGTGGAGCTAAGCCAGCTCCGCAGAGCGCTGGGGGACTTCTGTCTGGCACCCAACGCCTGCAGCCAGGTACGGGGAGTCCCGAGGGAGGGGGCGCTGGTTGGCGTTGTCGGTTGGGCTCTGTTCTTTGCTCCCGCTGGCTCGTGCGTGCAGTGCGCTCGCGCCTGAGGCTGCGCTTTCTGCTGCTGAGCGTGGGTGCTGCGCCGCCCCCCGCGGCCCCCGGAGCTTTCTGCCCCGAGGACTCACCAGCACACGCTGCTCTTTGAAGCAACTTCAGCAAATCTTTGCCCCTGTTCCGCTCTGCCTCACCCACCAGTGTGCCTCCATCTGGTCTGATCACCCCACTGTCTTGGCTCCTCACCTCCCCCTGTTGCAGGCTCTTCTGTGGCAATAGCCGGTCTCCTTTCTTCGTTATCTCGCCCCTAAGAGGTTGTCTGTGATCCGGGCCTCTTTTGGGGGCTCTCAGAAGAAGCCTGTGTTGTCTTCTTACAGCTCCAACTCGCCCTGGCATGCAGGAAGGAGACAGATTCTCCTGCAGGACTTAAATCTCTCCTATTTGTCACTGGAGCAGGTGGCACCTCTGGAAGGTCTACGACATCCAATGGTAGTCCCAGACCTTTGTCCCAAGGGGACTGACTTTAGAGCTCTGGGGGGCTGGAGGGGAAGCATTGCGTAAGGAGGAGGATGGAAAATGACAGTGGCAGGGCCACCCCACAGCAGGACTGTCCCATCAGCATGTGCCCTTGGAGACCCATCTTTTCAGTGCAGTCTCAAGGGACCCAGAAGACAGTGGGGGAAGAAAGTGAAAGCATCTATGGGCCACTCACCAAGGTCCACCATCCCGTGCTCACAGCCCTGCTGAAGATTTAAAGTATAGAAGGATGCATCTTTTTTTTTTTTAAGATTTATTTATGCATACAAGATCTGCGGTGCAGGCCAGAGGTGCAGGAGGTGAGAGGATTCATCAGAGACAGAGTGGGGAGCAGAACAGGAGGATTGACTGAAACACACTGCTGAGGGGAGCAGCAGGCCAGTCAGGAGAGGTCTGCTGCGCCATGTGGGTTGCTCCCTGGCTGGGAATCGAACTCGTGCTTTAGTGGCTGTGTTGAGCTTCATAATGATGTGCTGAACCCCTTGCGCCACCAGGGAACCCCCCCAAATTCTTTTTTTTTTTTTAAGATTTATTTATTTATACAAGCACTGGGTACAGTCAGAGGCACGGGAGGGTGAGAGAATTCACCAGAGCCAGAGCGGCGAGCAGAGCAGGCAGACAGTCAGAGGACACTGCTGAGGGGAGCAGCGGGCGCGGCATGAGAGGTCTGTGCGCACTATGTGGGACTCTCACCGGCAGTCGGGGATCGAACCGGCACTGCAGAGGCTGCGGGCAGCTTAGCAGCCCAGCGCTCAACCACTGCGCAACCGGGGAAGCCCCCACCCCGCAAATTCTTTGAGACAATAAATAAACTGCTAAGCTCTCAACAATGTAACACTCATAATGTCTAGCACCCAGTGAAAATGTACATATACTGGGAAGCAGGAAAATGTAACTCAGCCTGGAGAAAAATCAGTCGATCAAAATAGACACATGCCTGAGTGCAGGAAGCTGTTGGGTGTGCAAGGAGCGAGCAAAGGCTTCAGAGGCCAAGGTGAGACACAACCCCGCGGAGTGAAGCCCCGCGCCTGCCTGACCAACGGCTGCCTCAAGGCTGCTGCTAAACCAAGATGGTGAAGACCCAGGAATGAGGCGGCGACCTATTGGGCGAAGGGCGGTGGGGTTGGCCTGGAGACGAGGGGCGGGGTGGGGGGGGAGCCTGCGAGAGTTGTGCCTCCAGGGCCCTGTGCGGGCTGAGGGTGTCGCTTCTGGCCCCTTTGCAGGGAAGCCCGACCCGTCCAGCTAAGGTGAGACTCCAGCGGGGCGGGGGATGGCGCAGGGGTGCTCAGGCGCCCGAGGGGGTGGGGTGGAGGTGGGCGCAGCAGCAGCAGGGCCAGAGGGCAAAGGGCAAGGCCCAACGGCTCACAACAGGGCCACAGGCTCTCAGGGCCTTGGCGGCGCCCAGGGGAAGCTTTGTGGACGGTCACACACAGGCCTCGCGCTCACGGTGGGGACGGTGGCCACAGGCCTTTCAGCACTTGAGCCGTCGTCAGTAGCTTCTGCAACCAGTGCTGGGTCTCCTTTACCTTGTCCTTCCGTTCCTGCTCAGAGAGCCAGGCAGGTGGGGACCAGGCTCCCTCAGAGGACGAGGTCTGAGGCCTGAGGTGGGGCGGGTCAGAGGCCTGCGGGACTCTGGTGTCCCCTGCCTTAGCATTCGCTCCTGCGGCCTCCCAGGGGAAGGGGACACCAGAGCCCCCAGGGCCCTCTTCTCTCAGGCAGTTGCCGCCTGAAGGCATCACTCACAACCCTGCCCGGCTGTCCCCACCCCCCCACCACACAGGTATCTAGGTGCTCAGACCACCACACCACTTTTTCCAGGATTGTTTTTTGTTCATTATTTTTTTATATTCCCCATACAATTGCACCCCCTTTATTTTGACCCCAATCTCTCCTTTCCCCGCCCCCCCCCAAAGTGTGTCTCTGGGTTCATAGTTGTTTGTTGATTTTGATTTTTTCTTTCTTATAGTTATTCTTTTTCCTGGTCCCTTATTTAGGTTTTCTAGATTCCTGCTATGAGTGAGACCATCCGGTATTTTTCTTTTTCTTTCTGGCTTATGTCGCTGAGCATGGTCCCTTCCAGCTCCATCCATGTTGCTGCAAATTGCATGTGTTTATCTTTTTTGATTGCTGAGTAATATTCCATGGTGTATATGTACCACATCTTCTTGATCCAGTCATCTATTTTTGGGCATTTGGGTTGTTTCCAAAGCTTAGCTATTGTAAACAGTGCTGCTATAAACATAGGGGTGCAGGTGCGCTTTGGAATTAATGTTTCCATGTCTCCAGGATTCTTTCTAAGCTTCCCTTCAAGTTCTGAAACCAGGGCCTGCTTGGAGACATTCCGGAAGGTGTGAGCTTCACCACCACTGGGTTGTCAAGGCTTCTGAGGTGAGGATCCTGCCCTGGAGCTGCCCAACCCTGCAGCCCATCAGCAGGCCCTGGCAGCAGCTTTTGTTTATTTATCTTAACAGACTTGGTAAAATAGCATTTTAGTTCCAGGAATTTCTTCAGCACAGGTGAAGTGGTCTTGTTAGGATTTGACCCAGGTTCTACAGAGCAGGCATTTAACCATCAGGGAGAGCTGGGATCCCTCGCTTTGCCTGCATCAGGCATTGCTACCATTTTTGTAGTCCTTCCAGTATCATGGGCACCCATATTGAGCACACTGCTGCCTACCAGGTCTTTGTCTCTTGGGTCATTCAGCCATCACCTTGGGCCACACAGTCTCCTCAGAAGGTGTAGGGAGAGCAGGTACTGCTGTTGTCAGCTCTTCTCCGTGGGGCTTTTCTACTCTAATGAAGCTTTGCAGCAAACCATGAAGCTCCCTGACCTACCTTCTCCCAGGACTACGGAGAGGAGGTGACACATGTCATGTGGACACATGTTCCATCTTGGATGAAAAGCCTTATATTGGGCCTCCCCTTGTGGCGCAGCGGGTTGAGCAGTGCTGTGAAGCTGGCTGCAGCCTCTGCAGCACGGGTTCCATCCCAGCTGGCTGGCAAGAATCCCACATGGCACAGCAGACCTCTCCTGTCTCGCTCGCTGCTCCCCTCAGCAGTGTATTTTGTCATTCTGCCTGTTCTGTTCCCCGCTCTGTCTCTAGTGAATCCTCTTACCCTCCTGCACATCTGGCCTGTACCCTGATTCTTGTATGCATGAATAAATAAATCTTTAAAAAAAAAGGCTTATGTCCCCAAATAAATAAATAACCCCAACCAAGCCAAACAAATAGCCGTATGCTTCCAAGGGCACCACCATCTCTCATAAAAATTCCAACGAACAGCTTTCAGGTCCTGTCCAGAATTTACAATTTATCAATATTAACTTTTTCAGTGGAGTACCATCATATATATCTTCACATTTAGGTCTTTTAAAATTTTCTCTCAGCAGTGTTGTAACCTAATGTTACCTCAGGGGAAAAAAATAGATGTTGTTAAGAAAATGTATACTTCTGCTTGGTTTAAAAATAAATACAGTAGAATCTCTTGAAAATATTTTTTTCTTTCAGCAGTGTTTTGTAGCAGGGTCCCCAGATGTTTTTATAAGGCCAGTGACTACAGCATTAACATTTTAGAAAGGTTTTTAAAATATAAAAATAAGAATATTTGAAAGGGGCCTCCCTGGTGGCGCAGGGGTTAAGTCTCAGCACTATCAAGCTATTGCCAGCCACTGCAGCACAAGTTCGATCCTCGGCCAGGGAGCTACCCACATGGTGCAGCAGACCTTTCCTGTCTCGACGCTGTTCTCCTCAGCAGTGTATTTCAGTCGATTCACCTCTTCTGCTCCCCACTCTGTCTCTGGTGAATCCTCTAACCCACCCCCCACCCCCGCAGCTCTGACCTACACCCCAGTTCTTGTATGCATAAATACATAAATCTTAAAAAAAAAAAGAATATTTGAAAAAGACCATAAGTGATTCGCAAAACCTATAAGATTTACTATCTATCCTTTAAGAGAAAGTTTGCATCAACTGTTAAGTAGTTTCCTGTGTACACATCTTACATACCTTTGGCAAATTAATTTCTAAGTATTTTATGGGGTGTGTAAGTGCTATTATAAAATATATTGATAGCATTCATTGGTGTTATACAGAAAATACATTTAAAAATACACCTTGACTTGTATAAATTTGGTAAATTCACTTTTGACTCCTGGTTGCTTCTTTGCTGATTCCTTAGGATTTTCTACATCTGCAAGAATGTTTTTCACGAATGGTATTTGTATGAATAAGGCCACTTTCACTTCTCTTTGAGTCTACATGCCTTTTATTTTCTCTTTCTGTTGCAGGGGCCAACAGTTGTCTGCACAGCTCTGTCAGGCATGTGTCTTGTAACTGAGCCTCCAGTAAAGCCTTCTTCAGTGCGAGGACAGGAGATGTACAGCAGGTGGGTCGGGACTACCCTGAGAAGCCTCCGGCTCCAGGGCATATTATCTCTTCTAACAATTTCATAGACCAGCTTTCAGAGTCCTGGCTGAAGCTGACAGCTTGTCAGTATTAATTCTCCACTCTATGAGCCGATGTGTGGCATGTGCGTGCGTGCACACACACACACACAGGTATCACATATAGAAGTATATGCAAAAACCAATTTATACATATTGACCAAAGTCTTGCTATATATTCTTACCATTCTTCTTTTTAGTTCCTGTCTAGATTCCACAGGATTTTTCTACACACACAATCACCATTTCTATGCATTTAAGGCAATTTTCTTTCCTTTTTTTAGTATAATTTTGCTTTATTTCTTTATTTTATTTTATTTTAAATTTATTTTTTTATTTTTATATTCCCCATACAATTGCAACCCCCTGATTTTGACCCTAATCTCTCCTTTCCCCGCCCCCCCCCAAGTGTGTCTCTGGTTCATAGTTGCTTGTTGATTTTGATTTTTTCTTTCTTATAGTTATTCTTGTTCCTGGTCCCTTATTTAAGTTTTCTAGATTCCTGTTATGACTGAGACCATCTGGTATTTTTCTTTTTCTTTCTGGCTTATTGCGCTGAGCATGGTCCCTTCCAGCGCCATCCATGTTGCTGCAAATTGCATGTGTTTATCTTTTTTGATTGCTGAGTAATAATCCATTGTGTATATGTACCACATCTTCTTGATCCAGTCATCTATTTTTGGGCATTTGGGTTGTTTCCAAAGCTTAGCTATTGTAAATAGTGCTGCTATAAACATAGGGGTGCAGGTGCTCTTTGGAATTAATGTTTCTGTGTTAGGCAATTTTATTTCTTATTAATCTGTATGTCACCTACTTAATTTTCTTGCATTCTACATTTGCTCCCACCTCCAGTAAAATGTTTGATTACATGTGCAGAGATGGACACTATCTTCCGGTTCCTGACTGTAGAGGAAAAGTGTTCAGTGTGCCTTTATCTGAAGTTTTAATTTTTGATGCATGTGTGACCTCATAAAGGACAGTCCCTTCAATTTTTACTTTGCTAAAAATTTTTTGAAAGTAGCATTAAATTTTGTCAATTAATTTGTCCATAGCTATATTGAGATCATTGTATGGCTGTATTTATGTTCTGAATATGTTGAATTACGTTGCTTTTTTAAATTCAGGCAACAGCTTTTTTGAGGTATAATTCACGGGCCATATAATTCACTCATTAAAATATCGAATTCAGAGGTTCCTTGCAGCCCTATTACATATACAGCCTAAGTGCTCAAGGACAGAGGAGTGAATCAGAAAAATGTGGTGTGTATAAGTACATTATGTATACACACACATACACACACACAGTGGAATACTACTTAGCGATAAAAAGAGTGAGCTTTTGCCATTTGTGACAATATGGATGGAACTGGAGAAGATAATGCTAAGTGAAGCAAGAAAGAAGAAGAAAGACAAATACAGATGGTCTAACTTACATGTGGAAATAGAGAAACATAGCTGCAGTCAGCCAAAACCAAAGAAATAATGAATTCTTAACATCTGACTGCAAAATTGAGACAACCAGAAGGGGAGGGTGGCAGAGTAGGAGTGGGAAAGAAAGGCCCCCAGTGCAGCAAGGTAGACGATTATAGGGTACTAGTGGTAGGCAGGGTGTGAAGACATGCATTTATGGAGGCTTGAACCCCCAAAGATGCAATAATGTAACCCAACTTTTCCTTAATAAATATAATGAAAAACTAAAAAACTAAGGCTGTTTCTATAACTTAGCTGTAAATAGGGCTGCAAGGAACCTCTGAATTCGATATTTTCACTAAAAGGCTTTATTATATAAACAGTTATATGCAAAAATCACCACAGTCAATCATCCCAAACAGAGAGTCTTATTATTAACTATGAACTATTAAACAACTGTTTCCCCAGTATAAAAACATGAAAATTTCATACAACAATTGATCACAGAAGGAAATTCTGTTCACATAACAACAGGAATAAGCTTTATGGTAAAGCAAACAAGGGAATAAATAAGCAGTAATTAAGGGTCATGATATACTTTAAAAAGCAATAAATGATATGTCTGTGAGGAAGCACCTTCAGACTTTACAGAGAATATTACATTTGTTTAAGTTATAAAGTCAAAAATGTATTATCGTTAACAGATTTCACTATTCAAGTAGAAAAATGTATTCCTATTTTGCATAGTGACTTACACACTGTAAAGAATCCAACATATGAAAGAAGAGCCAGGGAAATGATCCCCAGAATCTCTGTAGAGATTTTCCATGGAAAAGCTGGATCCCAAAGAGCTACAGAAAGAGATCAATAAACATTATGGTATCTGCCTAAAAAAAAAAAAAAAACAAAAAAAAAACAACTGTTTCCCACTACTTACTCCCCCAAGCATCTTGGAACCACTGTTCTACTTTCTGTCTATATGAATTTACCTATTCTAGACCCTTCATAGAAGTGGTATCCTACAGCATTTGTCCTTTTGTGGACAAATTGTATGGTTTATTTCACTAAGCATAATGTTTGTATCAAAATTTCTCTTTTAAGGCTGACTTTTCATTCTCTTGATAATATGCCTTTAAATACAAAAGTTTTAAAGTCTGATGTGGGGCCTCCCTGGTGGCCTAGGGGTAAAGTCTCAGCGCTAATCACTGCTATGGCGGCCTGAGTTTGATCCCCAGCCAGGGAGCTACCCACATGGTGCAGCAGACCTCTCCTGACTCGCCCGCTGCTCCCCTCAGCAGTGTATTTCAGTCAGTCTGCCTGTTCTGCTCCCCACTCTGTTTCTGGTGAATCCTCTCACCCCCCGCACCTCTGGTCTACACCCCACTTCTTCTACACCAAAAAAAAAAAAAAAAAAAAGAGTCTGATGTGAAGCCTTGCTTATATATTTTTTTTTCTGTGCTTTATTTTCTGTGCTTTTACTGTCCTGACTAATAAATTATTACTAAATCAATTTAAAAAAAGGTTAAATAATAAATGAAAAGGAAGCTTTGCTCTCCCCCACCCCTCATGTTCTTCTGAGAGTTTATACATTCAGCCTTTATGTTTAGGCTGTGACCCACTGGGGTTGCATATGGTGTCAGGAGCCACTTCATTGTATTTTGCATGTGATCTCCAGCTTTCCTGGCACCATCTGTTGCTGCCTGACCTTGCCCCACTGAATGGTCGTGGGCCCCTTGTAGCCAATCACCAAACCACCCGAGGGGAGGCGTGCCTGTGCTTTCTGTGGACCAGCTGGGAAAACTGGCCCAGCGCTGGAGTCATGCAGACTAACATTTGACCCCAGAGGGCAGCACGGCTGAAGCATGTACGTCTCTCTTCTCTCCACAGCAGGACTTCCCAAACCTGTGCGCTGATCTCTGACTCGCCTCATGTGAACCCAGACCAGATGGCATGTACAAAAGCGCCTTGAGGTGCTGGGTCTCCAGCTTGCTTGCTCTGGGAGGGAGAAGAGGGTTAAGTTTGTTTGATATCGCTAGAACAGGTTGAGCCTCGGCCTAACGGAGAGAGGGTCACTCGCAGTGGACAAGGCCGTCTGATGCCATTTCTAGGGGAGGCCTTTGCTTCTTTGCTCTTGAGCATCTGGTTCTTTTATTAGAAGACAGTGAAGGGGTTGGTGATGGAGTGAGGAGAGGGCTTCGGAGACAAGGCAGGTGTTGGCAGGCCCACTGCAGAGGCACGTTTGCCTCTGGCGAGGACACACGTGCCTGAGAGTCATATGTGTTTTCTCTGTGGTGTTGGCTCCTACAAAGCCGGAAGTGGGGGGTAAGGGGTGGGGGTGGTGCCTGCTTGGTGGGCTCTGGGTGTTCTGCCTGAAGGTGAGACTAGAAATGTCTTCCTAAAAATGTACTGTGTTGCCAACTCTGGCTGCAAGAGAGGTGCTCGGCCACGAACCTTAGGTGCTCGAATAGATGGTGGGGGTACAAGTGTCCCCTGCACAGTATGGTGTCTCCTCCTCCCATTGTGCCACCTGTGCCCTGGACTGGGAGGTCCCTTGTGCTCTGAATCCAGTCACTGGTGCGGTTCCAGCCCCGTGACAGTGACAGCTGTGTGCTCCTTAGGCCAACAGGCTGGAACAGAAGTGCTTCCTGGCCAGCTTTGCCCCACGTGCTCTGTCCATATGCAGGAAGAGAACTGCCTGTGTGCCCCAAACTCAGAGCTGGGTGGGGGGCTAGACCCAATCACCCCAAAGCTGCCTCTACCTTAGAGAGGAATAGATGCTGGTGTCCCCTGCTGCTGAGGTGGCCCTTGTCCAAGCATCCTGCCCAGTGACCACGACTCGATTGCTCTCCAGCACAGCTGGACAGCTGTTGTACTGTCCCCTCCCTGACTGTAGGTGGGCACCAAATGGCCTTCCAGCGCACAGGGTCCTTGGAAGTTTCAGAACTGCTGGTGGGCTCTGGTCTGGAGTGTCCTGGACGGGCTGACTGTAGGCAGGAATAGAAGTATCTCCAGGACAGACATGGTGCGGGGCCTCCAGCAGTGGGGCGGGCTGTGCCACAAACATGGGGGTGGTGGCGGGTGCTCCATGGAGAGCTGGTGCGCCCTGTGGGCTCAGGTGCACTGACTGTAGGCAGGAAGGAAAGGTCTCCCAAAACAGGTTTCCGTGCCACATAACTGGTCTTTCCGGTGGCAGCAGGTGCTGTGGGATGAGGGAGCTGATTGATGTTCAGTCTACGCTTCTCCGCACCTGAGCTGTGGGCCTGAGTGGCCCCCTCAGCCTTCTTCCAAAACTGGGTGCCCAGGATGTGGAACTGAGTTTTGGGATGGACACAATGACCCCAAAGCTGCTATGACCCAAAGGGACCTAGATGCTGGCCGTCCCCTCCTGCTCTCTCCCCGGCCCCCTGACAGGCCTGCCTGGCACCACTCTGTGAGCCTCCTCCTCTGCTGTCTCTTTTCTGTGAGCTCCTTGTTGCGTCAGTCAGGTTAGTCTCTTAAACACAGATCAGGCATGAGAGTGGACAGTCCAGGCCTCAGGTCAGGGCCTGCCTGCCTTCTCCTTCCTGGAGAAGGGATCTTTACTTTTCCTGAGTGCCTGCACGTCTTTGAGTTGTGGCCGCTCACAACCGTCATTCTCAGAGCCCTGTCGGGACACCGGGGCTGGGTGCTGAGCCTGCCAGAGGGAATGTGGCCCCTTGGGGGTGGGGACCTGGCTCGGCAGGGGCGGGGCCTGGCCCAGGGGCGGGGCAGGGGCGGGGCCTGGCCGAGGGGCCTGGCCGGCTGGCGGCTAAGGAGGCAGACTCTGAAGGGCAGTCTAAGGTGTGCGTCTTGTGTGTCCGGTGCTGGGCGTGCACGTGGAATCTGGAGAGAGCGCCTTGCCACCTGCTTCTCCAAGCAAGTCATGCACCCTTCAGCCTGATTTAGCCCATCTGCTCAAATTTTATTTTATACTTCTCAATAAAATTTTAGGAGTGTTCGTCAGACCTGAACGTTTATGCACTTGGTAGATGTAAAATTAAGGTTTCAAATGGGCAAACCAGTGAAATAAGATGCCCAATTTCCCAGGAGGTCAGAGAAGGGCCTCTTGGCTCCGAACCCCAAGTTCATCTCTCTGGATGTGACCTTAGTGCCCCTGTCTGTGCAAGGAAAATAGCTGTTAATGTCTTTTCTACTTTTGTTTTTTGTGGCCCCTGCTCACTTGCTCTTGTGGGTGGGCACTGACTGCTCCAGTTTCTAGGAAGGGGGAGGGGAACCCCAGTGGTCCCACTTCACCTGACATCGTCCCCGCCGTGTGGCTTCACAAATTGCCTGAATGATTTGATCCCTTTTAGGTGCACAACTGTCCTTCTGGCAGGTACAGTTATCCAGGGTGAAGCTTTTGGAATGGGCTCCGGCTCAGGGGTCAAGGGTCAGAGGTGAGGTGTCCTGCCTGCAGAGTGGCACACCCGGCCCGCAAGAATTCAGGGCCTGGACTCTTTCTGTGGCACCAGCATTCTCTAGGGGTGAACTTTGCCTCTTCACCCCCTTCCCCTTTATTCTGGACCACAAATGTGGGGGGCCTGGTCCCAAGGACAAAGCCAAGAAGCATGGTGCTGCGTTTCTATGACGATGACAAGGAAACGACAGAAACTGGCACGTACTCCTGGCTGGCCGGCCATCAGCTCGTCTGGGTCCTCTCTAGAGCTCCCCTTAGTCCCTGTGGAGGCCTTTTGCGGGGAATAGAGGCAACTCTGAAATAAGCTAGAGTCAGAGACAGCCCGTCTATGCCTTTTGACATTATTGTGAACCTTCTGGGCTGCTGAAACCTGGGTGACGTGTTGTTTAATGTAATCAAACAACATTAGTGCAGATGAAGAAATACACTCAGAAGGGCAGACAGCTCGCCCAGGATTATGCAGTCAGTCAGGGGCAGGGCCTAGACTGATGCTGGAAGTCCATCTGACTTCTAAACCCACGAGAACTGAAACCACGGGATGGCAGCCTGTTCTTTGAAGCCCAGTTCAGGGGGCAGAGATGTGCCCATAGCCTCTGACTGACAGTGGCTATAGGCTGAGGGTCCAGCTCTGGGACACCCCACGCCTGGAGGCATGACTGGGAGCTCCAGGATCACCTGGGACCCCAACACTATTCTGCTGCCCCACCTAGCAGAGTCAGAGGGAATTGTAAGCTGCCTTAGAAAGAAAATATTTCTGAATTGTCCTTTTGTTAAAGGGTTACTCAACAGTGACACAGAAAAACACACAGCGTAGACTTCTTGGGACCTAACAGCTGGTCAAATTATGAAACTTACCAGCCACAGCAGCAACAGAGATGAACGGATGGGTGATGCTCTGTCGTCTGCACCAGGGAGAGGCTTATAAAGCGGGGAGGGGTGGGAAAAGGCAGCATCTCGGGCTTGGACTACAGGGCAGTGAAATTTTCTGAGTAAAAACATGTTTTCATGACAATGATGAAAACCTGTGATCATCTAGAATTTTCTCTCAGGTGGTAGGCACCTCACAAGTCCCTATAAATGAATAAAACATCACTAAAGTGAAGTGGGCAGGAGGCCATCCCGAGGGAGGGGCCAGGGCAGGTGGGGGAGCGGGGCAGCTGCTTTGCTCCTGGTGGATAGAGGGGGAAGCTTTGGGGAGAAGGAACTGGGTGCTGTAAAGAGGGGGGTCAATTCGGCTTTACTACTTCTCCTGCCCACTGAAGGGACCTTTCAGCTGTTCCAGCTGGGTTCTCAACTCTTGGAAAGAAGGAGCAACGAGGCTCCAAGGTGGAGACATTAGAGCATGTGCGGGCCCGAGGCTGAGGCAGCGTGGCTGACTGAGGGTCACAGCAGGCAGGAGGTGACGTGTCAGGCCCTGCTTGCGCCTGCTAGAAAGATCTCTCCTCTGACCCCTTGGTTGTCAGCACAGGCCTAGACTACCCGCCTCCTCCATCCTGTAGGAATGAGAAGCTAAAGATGGTGGCATTTTAGGAATTTGCCTACACCCAGAAATCAGGCCTCAATGCCTGGGTGCTTGGAGGTGGCAGGAGGGTGGGGGAGGGGCCGTGCTGGGTTCCTCCCTCCCCCCTCCCCCCAAGTCAGGAAAAGCAAGCAGTTCTAGCTTTTCTCTTAAAACTAGTTTTATTTAAGCATTGCGTGCCAGGGGAGACTCAGGCTACCTGGCCCTCACCCTGTTCTCCATCCCCCCTGGAAGCTTCGCTCCTCACTCTGGAGTCTGGTCCTTTTCCCGCCAAGTGGTGAATTTGATCTGCTTGGTGATTTTGGACAAGACCTGGGCCTGCGCTTCCCCGCAGCGCTCCAGCATTCGCGCATCCCACGTGTATTCGGGGGAGAGCACCTTGGTGGGCTTGTGGGCCAGCAGGTACTTGTTCAGGTGGCTCTCGGCGCGGCGCACGGCCTCCACGTGGTTGGCTCGGTCCAGCGCCATGGCCTCGTGGCAGGCCCTGGTCAGCCTGTACACCTCCAGCACCGACCCCCCGAAGAAGGAGCCTGTGTAATAGAAGTCGCCCTGGCCCTTGGGGATGTGGGCCTGGGACTGGGGCCGGCGTTCGTACTGGAAGGATTTCCGACTGCGCCCCAGGTAGCCGGGGTGCAGGGCGGCGAACAGCGAGGACAGGATCTCCACGCCCACGTGGTTGCTGAACTTCGAGCTCACGTCGGCGCACACGAGGTAGCGCACCTCCCGCTGGAAGCGCTCCCTGGAGAAGGCGCTGAGCAGCTGCATTCGCTGCGTGGACGCGTTCTGCCCCCCGGCCAGGCCCGGGACCTCGAGGACCACGGTGCGCCTGCCGGGCTGCAGGCTCACGTCGGGGACCGAGTCCGGCCGGTCGGTGAAGATGTAGTAGTTCACTCTGTGGTTCGCCATGAAGAACATCTCCGCGGTCTCCAGGAACACCCTCAGGCAGGACACGTCGCTTCCCAGGGCAAACACAGTGAGGCCGATGGTGGCGTTCTGGAGCCGGAACTGGTGGTCCAGGATTTTGGTGTTGAAAGTCCCCTCCCAGATGATGGGAGCCAGCCACGGGGTCACGACCAGCACGTCTCCCCGAGAGGGCGTCAGCACATCTGGCTGGGGATACACCAGCTGCCATAATTTTATAATCTGCAGGCTGTGCATTTTTCTGACAACAGTGCTTGGCCCTGAGAGGGTGCTTCGCAGCTTCTGGATTCCTGGTTTCAGGTAGCAAGAGCCGAAGATGGCCAGGGCAACAGCTATTAGGAGAAGATACTGAGAGCAACTCTGTGTCCCAGCCAGCCTGCGCAGGGCCCCGGCCATGGCTGTCCCTTCACGCCACTAGGACGCGCGTCTCCCTTGACTGCCTACCTTGGTGATCGCCCCGCCGCAAGGTGAGGCGGAACCTCTGACCCCAAAGCACCGTCCCCCGAGACCCAGCTCACTGCTCCTGCAGTCTGGCCTCCCCGGAGCCCTGACCCCAGTGAGTGACCCCCTGGGCATGTGGGTACTCAGGGTGCCCTTGGAGAAAGACGGGATCTGAGCCGACCTCGATAAAAGCAGTTTCTCTTTCAGGTCATGTCACAGTAACCAGTGGCAGGTGTTGGTCAACACCCAGCTAGCATTTGGGGGCCAGTATGCAGGACCCAAGGGAGGCCACTGACAGGTAAAGGACAGAGATTGTGATGAAAGCAGGCAGGACAGTGGCCACCAGAGGGCCCGGCCAGGAGGGCAGGGCCCAGGATCAGCCTCCCCTTTACACTCACTGCCGGTGAGCTAAGCACGGGTTTCCTGAAAAACCCCTGAAGACAAGATCAGACTATCTTCAAGGTCACCTTCACCTGGCGATAGGCTAACACACATCCATTCTTCAGGACATCCGATTTTGGAGCCAGGTGGAACAAACAGAAGACCTGCAGATGGAGGCTGGCTTTCCCTTTTTCCCTTCTAAATTAATTGAAATCCACCAAGCATTTGACCTAGCTAGCATTATGTTTCTTATTTCAGCTTCCCTTTCTGTGGTTTCCCTGTATTTCTGTTTGGCTGTATTCCCTTCCCTTATTGAAACAGGACTCAAGTGCCTTTGATTCCAGCACATGGTGCAAGGAGTCCAGGCTTTTGGGGGTGCAAGCTTCTCTTTGCCAACACTCACTGCCAGGTTGGGGGCAGAGTCATTCATGTATGCTTCAATCACTCGTGTGTGTGTGTGTGTGTGTATGCGCGTGTGTGCCATCCATGGAGATGCTACCAACAAAAATGATCGACTTGCAGTTGTTGGACGGCCTGAAGCACAATTCCAGCTCCAGGAATGAGACAGCTTTGGTTAGGAATTCTCAAGAGAGAGACATCTTGTTCTTCCCACCTAGAGCCATGGCCACCACAGACTTGTATCATCATCATCCTGGCCAAGTGGGTTTTTATTTTTTTTAAGTCTTATTTATTTATTTTTAAAGATTTATTTATACAAGAACTGGGGTGCAGGCCAGATGCACAGGAGGGTGAGAGGATTCACCAGAGACAGAGTGGGGAACAAAACAGGCAGACTGACAAAATACACTGCTGAGGGGAGCAGCGGGCGAGACAGGAGAGGTCTGCTGCACCATGTGGGTAGCTCCCTGGCCAGCCGGGATTGAACCCGAGCTGCAGAGGCTGTGGACAGCTTCACAGCGCTGTGCTCAACCACCTGCACCACTAGGGGAGGCCCTTATTTTTATCATGACACATTACTGAATTTACTGTCCTCTTCTGGAAAACTCGGCTTTGTGTGGGAATTTCCAGGCTCACCAAATCTTTTCTGCCTCAGCACGTAGGGCCTTATTAAAACTGAGCTTCTGAGCCTGTAGGGACAGACAGACACTCCAGGGTAAGCTGCAGATTCATCTCTCACTTAATCCCTAAATTTATCTGTTTATTCTCTGAGGAAATTCCTTAACGGATACCAGCTCATAACTGCATGAAAAAAATTTTTTTGCATGCGTACTATCCATGAGCTGGAATTCTTAAATATACTAAAATTGGAAGCTTTCTAATTTGTCATATTGCTAGGAATAAAGTCCAGTATCTTACTGTTTAGAGGGCACTTTATTACATGTTGGTTTAGGCGATTCTTCCAGCAGTTGCTTTGTGGCCAGTGTTGATCCCATTTCACAAATAACTTACCCAGACTCAGGTGTTTATTGATTTCTGGTGGTTCTATGACTTGAGGTGGCAAATAGAGCTGTTGAGCTGAGAGCAACAACACCCAAGAGAATATTAGGAATTAAATTCAGAAGAAGAAAAAAGAGGAGGAGAGAAAGTGAGTAAGGATCCAGAGTTACACGGGGAGGTGTGTGGCTTAGTGGCTGGATGTGGACTTCTAGTGAGTCCGAACCTGGGACACGACGGGGAGGGAAATCAGACATGGGGGACTGTCATGTCCAGCATGCAGTCAATCTTTATTGTCTTAGTGCTCCTTATATACTATTTTAATTGCAGCAGGTGTAACATCAAAGCATACCACATAATGATAACATGCATGAGTGATTAGTCTATTTTCTTACTATTATCTCTTTACTTCAGCCAGTAGGGTACCAGGTGGTTAGTTCTCACGCACATAATCTTATTGCCCCCTAGCCAGAGCCTGGGAAGTTCGATCATTATTTTTGTTATTCTCAAACTGTGGAGATGTACGCAGATCACTTCCAGGCTCTCAACACCAAGTCCTGTCACCCAGAGGTTTTCCTCTGAGATGCATGTGTTTTCACATGCCTTAAAGACTTGGGTCAAGGGCCTCCCCGGTGGCGCAGCGGTTGAGCACTGGGTTGCGAAGCTGCCCGCAGCCTCTGCAGCGCCAGTTCGATCCCCGGCTGCCACCCGGCCATGGGAGGAGGGTCCCACATGGCACGCAGACCTCTCCTGCCGCCCGCTGCTCCCCTCAGCAGTGTACTTCGGTCCTTCTGCCTGCTCTGCTCCCCGCTCTGGCTCTGGTGAATTCTCTCACCCTCCCACGCTTCTGACTGTACCCAGTGCTTGTATAAATAAATAAAAATAAATCTAAAAAAAAAAAAAAAAAAAGACTTGGGTCAAGGCCCTTCTGCTCACTGTGCAGGGTCTCTCCATTTTGTTATTCTCAGATTGTGGAGATGTAGAAGCCTGACTCCACGCAGGTCACTTTCCAGGCTCTCAACACCAAGTCCTGTCACTCAGAGGTTTTCCTCCGAGACGCATGTGTTTTCACATGCCTTAGGGACTCGGGTCAAGGCCCTTCTGCTCACTACGTGGGGTGGCTGCCTCCAACAGCTGGACAAATCTCTTGAGGGTCAAACCCACATTAGTTTGAACTTAAACTCCATCCCTAGATTGGAAAATATTTTTACCTCACTGAATGTTCTGTCTATCACCTGGGGCTAATCATCCCTAAGTATGTCACATGACCAAAGTCTTGTCATTTAAAATAGAGATTAACTGCAGCAATTTTTGCATTCCAAGTACATGGCAAAACTTTAAAAGTTGCTTTGGACAATTACCTTAATGGAAATCATTGACTGTTCAAGGTGAAATGCTGTTTTAACCTTCAGGGAATTTTCCAGAAATTAAGAAAAATGGGGGACCTCCCTGGTGGTGCAAGGGGTTAAGTATTAGCACTATGAAGCTATTGGCAGCTACTGCAGCACGAGTTCGATCCCCGGCCAGGGAGCTACCCACATGGCACAGCAGACCTCTCCTGACTCACCTGCTGCTCCCCTCAGCAGTGTATTTCAGTAGATCCACCTGTTCTGCTCCCACCTCTGTCCATGGTGAATCCTCTCACCTTCTACCTCTGGCCTGTACCCCAGTTCTTGTATGCATAAATAAATCTTTAAAAAAAAAAAAGAAAAATCACTGTACTCAGCGTCAGAGAGAGGAATTTTGAACTTACATGCATCACTCTGGCAAGGAGGGTTGAGTGACCTGTGATCTGATGAGAAAAGAGACATGTTGGGAGAAGCCTCGGAGAATGAAGAATCCCAGAAATAAAGTAGGTGGTAGGACTCTATAGAGGGTCGTGGCCAGTGAGAAATCCAGGATGGGGACAGCAATGGTGCTTTAGCATAGTGATGGCCAGTGGTCAACTTTTGTCACCTATGGTGGAGTGTCATTTCCTACTATTAACCTAAACTTCCAAGAAAAGTCTCCCGACCATGACAGACTGGATGGAATGGTTCCTGGGGGATGAAGGGCATGACATGAGGTCAAGTGCATCCGTGAGAACATGGCATCCACAATAATGACAAGAGCAGTAATGACAGTACACATCATGGTGTGTTTTATGCAGAATCCCACAAAGAATCTTCAAGAAACCCTGGCCAACATGTGACATGATGCCTATACAAAAGAAGGCTCACAAATCCAATCGTGCATGAAAGGGCTCAATGTCGCAAGTCCTCATGGAAAAGAGAATGCAATGTGTTAGGGGATCTCCCTCCACAGCCACCAGGCAAAAAAAGCCGAGAAACTCTTGCTAGTCCCATGGAATCAGGCACTGAGGTGCCTGCAGACACAGCAACTGGGGGTGGGGGGTGCATTTTTAAGCAGCCTCTCGGAATTCAGCCTGGAATAGTCGCCCAATGGCCAGGCACATCTGGTGCCATACTCCTACAACCTGCAGCAAGCCATTAGGGGGTGCTAGAAATTTCTGTCCGGGTCCAGCCTCTGGGCTGAGCTTACCCTTTGCCACTGACACTTTTTCTCACCTCCTCAGCAGGTGTGTTTTTTCTGTCACATGTTCCCATGCTGTGTTATTAGTATCAGGCCAAACAGTGCAGGGTCTGCCATGAGCAGATAGCTGGGCGAGCTCTCCAAAGTTCATCCTTCACCCCCAGGACTGGACAGTGACAGATCACCCTTCATGGCGACTTTCCCGGCAAGTCCTGCCTGTCCTCGTCCCTGGCCACAGCTTTGTTCCCTCCTGGCTGAGCTCACCCACTGTCCTGGGCATCCCCTTGGGCCTTCTCTCAGGCAGCTCCACTTGGAGACAGGGCCTTTGCCTCCACGTGCTGCATCACCCCCACAAGGCCATCTCCCATCAGACAGACCCAGCACTCCTCAGGAGGGATGTCCTGAGGGGGCTCTCTGAAGAGGCCACTGCTGTCTGCTTGTCCCTCAAAGTGGCCACTCAGGAGCAGGAAAGATCCCTAACTCTGATGCTCCTCCAACACCTGGCCAGGTGGTCACTTCGATGAGACCCAAGTCAGCCAATCTCCTTCCAGATCCTTTCTCAATGGCGACTGAGCCAAAGACACCAGGTGCATGAAGGAAAGGGATGTCGAAGGAGGAAGACAACCAAAAGGTGTCTGGAAGGCAGGGCTGTTAGCAAAGGGGTTCCTGGTGGAAGGGCACCATCAGCATTGACAGTCCTGGGGCAAATGGGGTGAACAGAGATTTGGGAGCAGTCCCAGTCTCTCTGATGAGAAACCTCTAGTCCAAAAGGTAAGCTACGTAAGACTTCACGGACGTCTCCCATGAGCTCATCCACCAAAGGCCATGCCATCACCGACTTAGATGGCCCCGCTGCGGGGCGCAGCCCCTTTGCAGGACTGATCCAGATGCCCCAGGGTGCTCTGGATCCACGATGGCCTGGGATCTGCTGTCCAAGAGGCTGCAAGAGGGAGAGCTCAAAGGCCACCGACTC